AAGAAGTAAGAAAGGAGAATATTTGTTCATGATCACACCTTCCAGTTGGTGCTCATTTCCTCCCAACTTCTGCCTCTACCTTTCAGGTCCTGAATCCAGAATTCAAACAGCTGTCTACAAAAAGAATGGGGCCCAGCACCCCAGTTCAGTGTCATTTCATCAGCTGGAATCAGCACAATGTTGCCTTCCCAAACCTGGTGCACTCCAGATGTTTTGGTCTTCAGCTTCCATCATCCCAAGCTAACATGACAAATAATCAGGAATCCTGAGAGTTGTAGTTTAAACCATTTGGAAGGCACCAGGTTGAGGAAGGCTGCTATAGGGACAGTTCCCATCAGAGGGAAAAGCACTAGCATAGCTATTGGCATAGTTCTGTGTTGATCTAGATAGGGAGACTCAGTTGTTTTGTGGGGGGTGGTGTCTCCATATTTCCATCTAGCCATGGCAGATCCCCTGATCTTAGCAGCAGAAGAGGAAAAACTGTGATGATGCCATAACAAAATGCTGTGTTAACTAAATCAGACACAAATCATAGAGGAACAACAGGAGTGAGCATGAGAGAAGCATTTCTTAGTGCTACTCTTGCCTAATTCAGGATCTGATGCCAGGGCATACCTCAAGTCATGTTTCTAATTCCTTGCTAATTCTACAAACATCAGGACTGAGAGCACTGTGAAAATTGGGTAGTGAGAACACATGTTGGACTCTTGGGCAAAGTTGTGATTGTATCATGTTTAGAAGTGACCAGAGATTTGTCCTTTGGTGTATTCCTTGTTTATTTTCTTCTTTCACGCGTTGCATCATTTTTCTTGTTTGGGTTCTGTTTCAACAGCGTTCAGGTGGTAAACACTGTACCACCCCAGCAGATAATTACTATTTGGCTCGAAGGAGGACCCTCCAGGTGGTGGTCAGCTCACTGTTGACAGAGGCTGGCTTTGAGAGTGCCGAGAAGGCTGCTGTGGAAACCATGACTGAGATGCTTCAGAGCTGTGAGTATTTCTGGCTGTGGAATGCTGGCTTACACAAATGATGCCGTTCCCCCGGTAATGTCTTTAAAAATAAAGCCCAAAGCCAAAACCAATACCAAACACAGGCATTTCCAATTTCTGCACGAGGAAAAGGCCACAACAGGCCCTCTGCTTCTGAATGTTCGTCTGATCCAAGACATACGGCTCTGTGCAGCCATTCTTACTAGCAGCTGTTGACAAACTGTATCCTCCACACATTTGTCCTACTCCTTTTTAGAGCTGTCTAAGTTGTGGGCATCACCAAACTTGTGGCAACAAATTCCTTTGAACTATCCTGAATCTCCCAATACTATATATACTGTATTGGACTGGGCTCTGCTGTATTGAGAGGACTAGAACTACTGGGTTCTGGTATTTTCTGGTATTGTGAGAGAAGGAAGAAAACGTCTTTATATCCAATGTTTCCATACACATCCATTTTTCCCATGGAGTGCATAATTATGTAGACCTCTATCATATCTTCCCAAACCCACTTTTCCACTAAATTTAAAAGCTGCTAATATGGCAATCATTTCTCACAGGGGAATTGCTGAGCTGCCTAATTGTTTTGGTTACCCTTCTGTACTTTTCCTGTATGTTCATTATCCTTTTTCTGGTGTCGTGACCAAAACAGTATTTCAAGTGTGATTGCAGCACAGATTTGGATAGAGGCATCATGTTCTTTATTTGATGCATTTCCTAATGAGCCCTACCTGCCGCTCTACACTGAGCTACTGTTTTTATTTTGCAGTCCACCATGAATCTAAGTTCCATTTCCTGGTCTGACAATACCAGTTCAGATCTGATTAGTGTATATCAGAACTGATATGTAGATTGGAATTTTTTTGGCCCTAACCTGATTTGCTTTATACTTACATTGCACTTACACAGTAAGGATGTATGCTGAACTGGATTTGCTATTTTCCTGCCCAGTTCTTCCTTATTTGGAGAAATGCTTTAAAAATATTCTTAAACCATAAAATATGGCATCCTGGGCTTGTTCTTTTTTATATATTTCTTACTATTTCCCCGGAGGTAAAGAGTTAGTGTCTTAAAAGTGCAAAGAACTTATTTCATTTTTATACTGCCCAATAGATGAAGCTCTCTGGATAGTTAACAAAAATTAAAAATACATAAGCAACAAAAGTTCACATTAGAATACCAGGTTTCTAATTTTCCTTCCAATGCAGCTTAAATGCCGGGATGGTTGAGCTTTTTCAGGTATTTGGCTTTCTAAATGCATGGTTGGGCTGATGGGGACATGTAAGCATTTGAGATCTCAATCCTGTGGTGATCTTTGCTTTGCCAGATATTTCAGAAATTGGGAGGAGTGCCAAGTCTTTCTGTGAACACACTGCAAGGACTCAACCAACTCTTTCGGATATTATTGTCACCTTAGTTGAAATGGGTGAGTGCCAGGATTAATGCTTAATTCTTTATGTGGTCATATTGCAGGTGTGGGGAGGTAGAAAGAAGTTGGGAACTTCATGAATATGACTACTCCTGCTGAGCATTTACTGGAACATGGGGGTGAATCACCATAGCATCAGTGAAAATACTACCATAACCTTTTAACCCACCAGTCTTTTCCATGGTTACCTTGTCACCATGTCTGCTTCTCATCCAGAAGGAAGTCCAGTCCCCGTGCTGCTACACCTTGTGCTAGATTTGGTGGATAAATTTGCCTATTCAGAATGTTGGCTGCAGAACACCAACACACATGTATGTGTATGTTCCAGTGAACCTTTCTGTCTGGATTCCTGCCTGGTTTCCTCTAGAATCAGAGAGAGAAGAACAATGCTTTCATTTCTTACTTTTCTGTCTTGCATTTTGTCCAAGAAGCCAAAGGAGGTGTGCTCGATCCTCATCCACCACTATTTTAACCTCATTATCTGTGAGGTAGGTTAGGCTAAGAATCCATGATTGAAGGGTGGGAACTAGAAGCACACTCTCCAGAGCTCCACACCGAGGCTCTAGCTTGGCTATCTTTTTCAGTGCCACTCTTGCATTGATGATTGATTGATTGATGGACGCGTTATAGTAGCACTGCAGATTGACTTGCTAGCACTTGTTTTGTTGTGTGTTTCAGGCTTTAATGTGGAAACACTTCCTGCATATGCCAAAAGGTCTCAGAGGATGGTGATCACTGCACGTATGTGAGCTTCTGTCTAGTGTTCATTTTATTTGTTCAAATGTTTTGTAAGAGGAAGTCTAATCCAGTGGTTAGGAAATACACCTGGGCATTTTAAAATTGTGTTAGTTCATTAACTCTTTAGCTTGACATAACATCGTATGCTGAAGGTGTGGTTTCTGTAAGAGGCACTTTAAACTGGAGAAGCTGTTTGTAGTTTTTTCAGTTTGGAAATGTGAACTTCATGGGTCCCTTCTAGTCACCTATTTACATGGATTGAAACAGTCCAGCATTGGGCATGGTATATAGCTACAGAAGCTATTGCATGAACTGCACATCAGAGTTACTGGGGAGCAAACTTTGAAATCAGTAGGGCTTGATTCTAAGGAAATGTGCTGAGTATCATGGTGTGGCTTGTTTAGCAACTTGCTGGAATCAGTGAGCAGGGCAAATTCTCTGCCACTTCCAGCCTGGCAGTTTTCTCATTGAAATCAATTAGTGTATGCATGGGCAGGGAGATTAGCCATGCCAGCACAACGCTGGTGTAACCGAGGGCCCCAGCTCTGAGGCTTCTCAGATGAATGGAGGGGCTTTGGATTTTGCAGATCCAAAGTTGCCCCTGTCCCCAGAAGGTGCATTTCTAGGGTCACCCTCTATTGAAAGCACCACTGACAGTAGATGTCACATGTTTGTACCAGGGCTGTTGGGATGGACGAAGTGTCATTTCCGCCAGTAGAACTTTTCTCCAGACACTGGCTGGGTTCAGACAACAGAACAGCCCATGGTGGTTTTTTACCATTGTTGGTTTGTCATGTTGCCCAAACCCAGTTGTGATATTTCACCATGGTAAATTTGGTCTTTAGAATTCACAGTAAGAAACAATGGTTTGTTCTATGGTTTCTCTGTGCCACCAGGGCTTGTCTGAATCCAACTTCATCTTTCTGTGGTCCTGATATGCAACTAGTACAAAGTCCCATGAGAACCGTCACAGTTGCAGGAACTGCGCAGCCATTGAGTATCTGTGTGTGAACCAAAGAGGAAGAGACAGGCAACATAGGCAGGGTGCAATGCACCTTGGGATTGAATTTCAGGCACAGTGGCTAATGGGATATGTGCCATTACTGGGAGGACGGAGTGTGGGGGTATGAAAACCACCTGATTGTCTGTCAGGTGCATCGTTGTAAAAAACTGTGAACCATGGTAAACATGCAGGGCTGTAATTGTCTGGGAGTCAGTAGTTGTCTGCACTAATGGGCTTTGAATATAAGCAAGTTAATTTCCATTTCTAATTAACAGGCTATTTAGATTAGTAATACATGAGCTAAAGTTTCATGTATTTCAGGCAGTTTTGTATTTCATTAATTACTTGAACAATCCAATTTGTGAATTCTATGTTCAGCAAAAAAAAAAAAAAAAACCACTCAAGCTGCAATGTAGTTCTTTGACAGTAGCAAGATTTGGGCTTTAGGCCTGTAACCACACATATTTGGAAGACAGTGTCATTTGAAATCTTAAGACTTTGAAGTATATATGTTAGGAACGGGTCACAGGTGTGCTGGTTAAGGACTGTAGTTTGGTGTCATCTCAAAGTATAACAGGTTGGCCAAGAAAGGAACCATCTCGGCAGCCTCCAAATAAAGGCTAGAAGCTTTCTGGAAGATGCACTCTGGCCTACTCAAACTGCTAGACTAGATTGGTGGTAATCTAGTGGCCTTTTGTGTAGGCAACCACTCTTGGTTTATCTCAGTAAGTCCTTGTTTAAAAAAATATGAGATGTTAAATGTATTTCTTGGTGTGCACTGTTTTTATCATTTGGCAGCTGAAGAATGAGTAGCAGAATATATTGCTGACTTGTTACCATGGAGGACAAAATCACATATTACATGGGATATAGGTCTTCTGTCAAGAAAGGCACCCTTGTATGAAGTTCCCTTAACCTTTTCCTGTAAAATTTGTATCACCTGATATCCATCGTAAATTGCTGTCCATTTCCCCATCCTGGCTCCTTGTTATTGGTTGAATTTGAGAAGGCAGTACATGATCTTACAGAATTGGCAGAAGGAGGAAAAGAATTCAGTGTGGGAATACTGTGTTTGGTGATAGCCCTTTATCTCACTAAGCAGCGTCTTGATATTCCAGGACAGATCTAAGTTAAATCTTTATATAAGCATTTCTTTTACAGTAAACTGTCCATAGGGTACCCCACCCTCATTGTGTCATTGCCTAAGCAAATTCAATTTGTCAGCCATCCCAAGTTGAGTAGAATCATTGGATTACCTCCCTGTTAAACTGGGACAATAGCCTTGTGCTAGAAGCACTGCCATGACTGATGTTTTATTTCCAATTGCAGCACCTGTAACAAATCAGCCTGTGACTCCAAAAGCCCTGACAGCTGGACAGAACAAGCCTCATCCATCACACATCCCCGGTCATTTCCCAGAGTTCCCAGACCCTCACACTTACATCAAAACACCAGTAAGTAGGCTTGCCTTGCATAGAAATGACCATATGCTGCCACTATAGAATTGCCTGCAGCAGAAATTGACTGGTGCTTTAAATACAAGATTGTATACTGGCTTGTCCAAGATATTTTCTGCCTTTTAGAATGGAGCAGTGTTCATTTTCCACAGAGTTGTTCCTTTTCAGTTACTTCTGAAAAGTATCTTGAATAAGAGGTTTTGGATGTCCTCTGGATAGATAACTTTATATGAATGGCTGGCTGGATTGCTCCCTGTGAATCTGAGCAATACATTTTGAATGCCAGTTATTTTTGCCTCCTTTCCTTTGCCTTCCAGACATACCGTGAGCCTGTACTGGATTACCAGATCCTACGAGAAAAGGCTGCATCCCAGAGACGTGATGTTGAAAGAGCTTTGACTCGCTTCATGGCAAAGACAGGAGAGACACAGAGTCTTTTCAAGGATGATGTCAGCACCTTCCCTTGTGAGAGATGCTTAAAATTACAGTTAGTCTAGTGGCAGGAAAACTGTTCGTCTTGAAAAGCATAGGTCTGCAGCTGATCTGCCATTCGACTTTGGACTGTTTCCAAACAGTCACTTGACTGCCCAGCAGCCAAAATGTTCTGTGTGGTTTGCAAATTAAAAACCTAGAACTGCAACATGACAACGTAAGAGTTTTAAATAGCATAAGCCAAAGTAAACATCAGAGTAAAAGTGCACAAAATCGAAAGGTTGTAATCAATCTAAAACATAGCAACACTTTTAAAAATCACAGCTGAAGGGCTAAGGAAGACTTTAAAAACAATGCTGTGTCTAAATCCAGTGGTATATCTGATTGACTCTGAACAGTAAGACAATGCAGGATGATCAAAAGCAGTAAACTCTGGAAGGATTACCACATTTAGGGACAAACTAAGCTAACAACTGGGCTGGCATTTTATTGAATAAATGCAAAAATACAGCTGGTTTTGGATAATGTTAAGAAGGTCTCTTGTTAAGATGTTGCCTTTGGCATGAACTAAGCAGCCTCAAGTAAGCCATTGTTTCTCAGCATCACCAGTCCGCCTGCAGTATGGCTACAATAATACCAACCTTCCTGGTCTGTAAATATGATTTCTTTCTTTGAGTCACATGCTTATTTTGGCCTTCCCCCAAGCAGAACAGGTCAGGCTGAAGGGGAGTGGCTGGCCTAAGGTCACGCAGAAAATGGGGGTATGAACCAAGTCTTCCTGAATCTGGTACTCTCCAGTTGTGTTGGATTAAAGCTCATGCTGGCTACAGGGATGGAGTTGCATTCCAATATATGTAGAAAGCACTCAGTTGGGGAGGGTGCTGTTCTCCTACACTTCTGATGTCTAAGCTAATCTATATGAAGTGCTTTGAGTATTTTAAAGTGCTAAAGAAATGCTTAACTTTATTATTGTTACTATTACTATATCACTGTAGCTATTTATCGGTTTGGATGTTTAGAAACTGTCCTTCAGGAAAAGATATCAGGACAATGGTTAATCAATATGCAATAAAAAGGATACGTAATAAGTGACACTTGAAATGTAAAACCTTCAATAATACCTGGTTTTCTTTGTATCAGAGAATGTCCTTGCATGCTTCATGCAGATTAGGCTGGAAATCTGTGGATTGAATGTCTGTATCTAAGATCTTGCCATCTTTATCCCCAGTGATAGCTGCCAGGCCTTTTGCAATACCCTACCTGACAGCTCTACTTCCTTCGGAATTGGAGATGCAGCAGATGGAAGAGACTGATTCATCTGAACAAGATGATCAGACAGACACAGAAAACCTCGCTTTGCACGTGAGCATGGTAGAACCCTTGAGACTCAGTCTTAATGCAGTGTGACATTGGCCTTTAATGAAACTTCTGTATTACACAGCCACCAAAAGTATACATGAAATCTTGGAGCAGAAATACATTGGGCAAAGATGTTTATTTACATAATTCTGGATGTGGAAAATGCTAGATATTTTCACGGACCTTTGGTGCAGGCCTTTCCTGTACACATTCTGGTTCCCCCCTGCAAAGTAATGGCCCCCCTTTCTCAAGAGTTTGCATCTTCAGAAGGGTGCAATACTGTGCAAGTGGTAAGGAATTGGGGCAAGGAAGAAGGACTATGTTCTTGTCACTAAAGATCTGATTCAGTTAGTTATAGTTGCTGACAGGTCACCTGTGTTCTGCCGCAGCTTGCTACATGTTGTTGTGAAGCTTCATCAGGGAAAAAGCAGTGCGATATAGCACTCGTAGGAAAAGAAATGTTCATCACATGAGACAGGGAACATTGATCCAGTTGCCTGGGGAACAGAGATGCATTTTCGTCATTTTCTTCTTAGTGTTCAGGGTAAAAGCAACAGGAGGGCTTTGTTTTCTTTTAGCAGCAGCAGCAGCATCCTGTAGTTGAAACTGCTTGGTACAGTGGCATTAACACATGTACTAGGTCAGAACTCTTTCAGGGTTGTTTTAAATAATAAAGGATGCCAAAATCAGCCAAGACTGAGGAAACAGTGGCTTCAAACAGGTCCCAAAGTACGAGGGAGTCAGGGAGTGGAAGGTGTGTGTGTGTGTACGTACACTCTCCATTTCCCCCATTCCTTTCTTTGTCAAATTTATCCACATGATTTTTTTTCTCAGTGCTTAATTCCATAAGGTATTTTATGATATCCAGCAGAGGGCACTGTGCTCTGTGCTATATACTAGTGTGTGCTTGTTGCCTTAACTCCTGTGTGTCTTTCTTGTTTTCTGTTTCAGTTTTCCTAGTGTGTAGTTGGTCTTTATCTGTGAATTTGACATTGTTGTTCTCTTATTTTGCAGGATGATTCAGGAGCTGAGAAGGAGAATTCATCGGTGCTACAGCACAATCCCTCCCTTTCCGGTAGCCGGAATGGAGAGGAGAACTTGATAGACAACCCCTACCTCCGCCCAGTGAAGAAACCTAAGATCCGTAGGAAGAAATGAACTGTGGGGATATTAATGGGGTGGAATCAGAGGACGCCTTTGATCCGCTAGTGGTCCCTGTGCTGTTGAGACACAGCATAGGTAAGGCAGAAGGACACTGCTGCTGCTTCAGGCATAGCTGGAAAGATGGTCTTTCTGCTTGGATCTTTTTCATTTGTTATAATTTAAGGTGAAGGCTAAAAGACTTGACCCAGAAGTGCTGACAGCCATTCAGTTTGATACCACCTCTCTGCTGGAGACCACAGTATGCTATAGCTTGCAATTCCTACACAACATCTTGTCGTCTTCAAGTAGATCTTCTTTTTGAGGTGCAGGCAGATCAGGAGACTTCTTTCTCATATTTTTCCAGATCTCCTAGGACTTCAAAATGGGAACCATCCTGCCCACTTTCTGTGTTTCTGGGATTCAGGGCCAGCTGCCTTTCTAAATATGACTCCATTGGATGAAAGGTGGCTAAGGGTTCCAGCTGGATATCAAATGTTGTGCCTTTACAATAACGAGCTGTTCAGAGTTACATGGTTTACATTTTCCCACAGTCTGTGCATGCTTTGTGCTGAGGTTTTTGTCTGAAAGCATCTCTCGCTATGCTGTCAGATGAGCCAGGAGGGGAAATTCAGCCATCGGAGTAAGAAGTGAAACTTTTTCTGCTGACCTTGGTGCTTGCGAGCGCATTCCACTGGACATTTACTTCTTAAAGTGCATTTATGGCCAGCATTCTGATTGTGGCTTTCTGCCTTCCGCTAGATCGGAAGTTTTTTGTTTTGAATTTACAGTTGCACTTTATAGATTTCTACTATCATAGCTGTATATACACCAGTATTTACACTTGCACACCTGTCTCTTGGCTCCAAATGAAGTATGCAATGGCTCCGTTCCTGTCAGTGTAATAAGGCAGAAAAAATGTCAAGCAAAACATCGAAGGTCTTTGGTAATTGGAACATCATCCTTTCAAAGCATAAACAAGTTTCCTTCTAAGTAGAAAGTACATGGTTCAGGTACTTTCAGTGAGAGACAAAGGGACAAGAGCCACAGAGAGCATCCTTTTGCTACATCTCAAAATGACAGCATCTGCAATATAACAAAAAAGCTTTAAGTGCTACAATTATGCCATTCCAGCAGCTGGAAGCATGATCCCATGTCTGTAGTTACTTCTTGATGTCACTGAGATCTGTGGTTTCCACAGCAGCCTACTACAGAACTTTTAAACTAGAACAAGGATGGGAAAACAACTGTTGCTGGCTTTTGAGTTATAAAAACTTGGCAGGTAGTGCTTGTGGTTCAGTATTTTTTTCCCAGAACACACTGTGTTTTTGCAGAACACACTCCCACCTAGGGAAAATTCCATGACTTTTATCATTACCTTGCAGTTTTCTCCAAAACAAGCTTTGCCCCTAGAAACCAAGGTCAATTCATTATTCAACTTTCCCAGGGACACTGTTGTTGTTTTTGAGCATATGGATTTTTGTGGCATAAAGAACTGATTAAAAGCTCATTAGAGAAATGTAAGTCCTGTTGGTTAAGCTCATATTTGTACCTGGCTCAAAGAAAATATTTTTCTCTGAAAAGTTTAATGTAGAAATAGTTTTTCTGAAAGCTTTTTACAAGGCCAAATCAAATGCTTGTGAAGAAAGTGACAGTTCTCAGTCAACATAGGCCACTGCACCCACCCTTTTTTTAAGCAGTAAAGGGAAAGTTGTGGCTATCCAGATGTTGTTCGACTACAACTCCCATCGGTCATTTTAAGTATAGCCTATGAGGATGATGGACATTGCATTCTAACAACATCTAAATAACTGTGTCTTCCGTGTTTCTAGTATAAAATTTGCTGTCTTATGACTTGCTCTTCAAAAGCATCCCAAGGCCCTGTATGTAATATATGCATAGTATTATACTGTCCTAAGTACTTGATTGAGAAAGGAGGGAAAAAAACCTTGCTTTTTTTCTTTTTTCAAAAAATTTATGATGGTCTTCAGGAATAATTCTTAGATCAGCTGGATCTGGAAGGAAACAAGTAGCAAGTTCATCTGAAGAAAGCTGGTTCAGAAGTTGTGCTGTTTTTCCACACTTTGGAGAACTGCTGGCATGTACAAATAACATCCCCCTTTTTCCTCTCTGGTGTCAATTTGTTCTATTTCTTGGTTTCATCTAACCATAGTTTGCCACAGTATCTGAATCAAGCAAACCATTGCCAGGCAGCACTCCTACTTAGCACTATCCATTTTTTGGAAGATTAGCTCGACTGACATGAAAATCAGCTGTCTTGTGCTAGTTGGTTACTCTTAAAAATTGAGGAAACTGCCTTCAGATCTAGGGAGATCTTTGGGAAAAACAGCTCTAACCACTTTCTTTAGCCAAAAAATTTAAACATGCTATGGTGAATCATACAGATGGACTTGTATAGACAAATATACAGATAGTTGTATATTTATATATTTTTGGTCATGGGCTAGGCTTTTTGGTGATTTAAAAAATGTTGCTCAATATACAGGAATAGTGAAAATAGTTTATTTTTTCAGTTCATAATAAAATTGTGCTTGTATAAGCCAATACTGTGTCTTTATCATTTTATATGAATATGGCTTGCATAAGAATTGATTGTTCATTGACTTGCCTGTTCCCCATGGTCTGAAATTCTTTGTCGGTGAGTCTTACGAAAGCTTGTTGGATGTCCTTAGTGTTGAGGAACACTTTTTTTTTCTTACGCAGTAACATGTGCATTTGAGCATTGGGCTGTTGTACACAAGACCATAATTGTAACCCTTTCAAAAGCATTGAAATTTGCTTTTCAGGTGGTTTGTTCTTGGAGGTCAGAAATAAACTGAGAGAAAGTTAAGAGTGAATGCATTTTTAATATTGATCTGCTATACCAAGGGTGGCTAAAATGTGCCCCTGCAGATATTTTGCCCTACAGGCCTCAACCCTCACCAATGACTTTGCTGACTAGTCCTGAGGAGAGCTGTAGGCAGAAACATCTGGAAGACTGCAAGGCTGCAGACCTGTGCTATACATACTGCCTAGAAGCCAGTGACATTGCTTTAAATGCAGTTTACTTGTTGCACTGTATTCAAAGGAGGGAACATTACACTGTCTTTCCACTTAAAAGCTTTCAAGACATTTCACAACAATGTAAACTGTTGAAAAAGTAAACACACAAGCAAACATAAAATTAAGTAGCCAGAAAGAGTAAGCAACAGTTAAAGCAGGTTGTGCATCAAAATGTCTGAGTTAATAGAAACATATTCCCTCTGTGAAAAAACAGGCAGCTGGATAACATTCAATATATACCAAAGAGTCCCAAAGATGTGTTATTGTACAAAAGGATTATTAAAGGAAGACTCAAAGATTGGGTGCATCTGTATGGGAACAGAGCATCCTTCAGATGCCCCAGAACATTTCAATTAACTTGTGTCTAATATGAGATCAGAATATTAGTTTGTTACACTGGATTTTTATTTTTCCTTAGTAGACTCTGAAGTTTTAACTTTCTAACTCCTCATTATGTACCCTAAGCTGTGGAGATAGACCAAACAATACATTTTAAACTTTCACAATATCATGATTAGAGTACCTAGAGTCACTGCTAAGAATGGGTATCAAATGTGTATTTTCTTAGACCTGTAAACTGGGACATGTTACATCTTTGCAGCATGGAACTGGTTGCATGCATTCAAATCCATGGCACCCATTTTTGATTAAAGGAGTTTGCTCTGACATTGACATGCTGGCATTTCTGAGAATGTAAGAGTGTATAGTAGGTTGAAGAAGTTTAAATGGGCTGCATAGGCCCAAGTCATTGATAAGGAAGGACTTTGGGAAGTATACTCAGTGTTAGTCCTATATAGAGTTGTCCCATTGAAATGAATGTGTCTCAGAATGGCCATGTTGAAAGCAGTATTGGATCGATGTATTTTAAGGCTAAGATAAAATATGGGGCAAGGACAACTTTGCATGAAAGTTCGTAATAGAAAGTTTTCACCTTCACTCCCATGCACCTGTATGTCTTCCTTTCTCACTAGCAGGAGGAGTGATTCCAGGGTTTGAGAAGGTGGAGCTTGTTGCTTTCATTTCCATTGGAGGGTCCTCAAGGTTTACTTCTCTGTGTAAAGATTAATTGCTTTGAAACCTTGGGATGTTGGCCAACTAAGAGAGTATGAACAGCAGCATCCAAACTGATGAAACCTACATTTATGTAATGATTTATTTTGGCTCCACTTACATCTCAGTAGGTTTATTGAGGTCAGAAATGACAGTTTTGATGTTTGTGAGAAGGATAAGAGAACTGGGTGCCTGATTTTGCTCCAAGACAAGAGTGGCAGTTTCTGAAGCAGATCAATTGCTGCTTACGTATTCACTGCTTCAAAGTGAAGTGCAGAAGTGATAACTCTGCAATATGGTGGCTAGTGCTAGCTACAGAAGGGGAAAAGGTGTGAAATAAGAGTTGTGTCTCCCCCAGCACCTCCTGGGCCAACATTTGGGGCTCTATGAAAACTAAAGCAACATTTGTGTGTTTTAAGTTTTCTTTGTGTCTGTTGCAGACCATAACCAGAACAGCTGCATGCATGCATGCATGCATGCATGCATGCATGCATGCATGCATATATATATATATATATATATATATATATATATATATATATAGTTCAGGTGAACAAGTTACAATCTTGAGATAGATTCATGAAAGTAGATGCAATGCTCAGTACAATCGCTTCATCCAGCAGGCAGTGATGCCGATGGCAAAGAGCAGCTAAAGAAGAGCTGAACCGTTTTTCATAGCTGTGAAAGCGTTTGGCCCATGCATGTCCTTGGCAAAGTGCACTAGGCAACTGGGTTAGGGTTCCAAGGCTGGTGGCATTTCCCTGAATTTGCCCCCTTCACCAGCGGATGGTATGCTGTCTTCCATCGCAAATGGGGAAAACTCTTGGAACCATCTGACATCCAAACATCAAGGCCTTCCAGGCACTGCGGGAAATCATTTCCAATAAACAAGGCTGTAAGGTCTAACTTTCTAACCGACTGAAGTTGCATGCTAATAGAGAAACACGGGAAAACATCACACAGTGTGATTTTTTTCCCTGCATGTTACTGGGGGTTGGTGAAGAGGAGGAGACATGAAGGTGCTGGTTTTTGCAGAAAGCACATATACCCTTGAACATCCTCTATCCTTTATGTAAGCCTCCCAGAAAGCCTATGGCTAGGCGGGTGGCTTATAACTCAATTAAATCAAATAACACCTAGTACTGCCTAGACATTTTTCTGAATAGAATTTTCCTTTTGTCTATGAATTAAGCATCTACTGTTGAAGATGCAATTGTGGAACACAGTCTAAAATATATTCAAGCAGCTTGAAAATTCTGCAGTTCACATAATGAATACAAACCATTCAGACATCTTCTGTTACCTTGGTGTCAATGTTGAATTCAGTGGCATTATATCAAATTGTGGTGTCCTGTACCATCATCCCTTGTACCTGGTAGGACAAGGCTGTAGTACACTCATAGCCCCAAAGCAAAACTTTTGATTCAGATAGTTTCTAAGAGAGGTATTCCCCAGGCTCACAGGACACAAATGTGCACATTCTAATTTCTATGTTTCTGTATACGGATATGTAAATGCTAGAATTTAGATTTCACACAAGGACAGCAATTAATCCCCAGTCCAAATAACTGCAAATAATTGTTTTCCACCCAGATTACCTTAAATTCTTGGGGTACTTTATTCATTTCTCTAATTAATTTCCTACCCAGATGATTCATCTCCAGCTCCAAAATTAATTTTTAATCACATACCCATTAATCAAGCACCTTGTTATTAACCCATAAATTAAATTTAAAATAAATAGAGTGCAGAGAACAGTGTTGGCAGCAGGGAAAAATTTCCTTTACTGTGAGATGAGCTGGCTGGAGGTGGTTTCTCTCCCCCTCTTTCTTTTAACTTAGCTGAGCTGCTTTCTTTGCCTTTCTCTGTTTTATTTTCTCTTTCTTTTGACTTGTAAGCCATTTTCTGATTCTCTTTTATATTAAGTTAGCTGCGCTGCTGGCTCCCAGAGTGGAGTGAACAACCTTGCCTGACTTTAGCAATTAGCACAGGTGATTTATAGACCATTCATCCTTGTCTGAAGAGCACATGAGTGTTTTTGACACTGGGGAGTCAGAGACTCTCAGACCTAAAACCAGCACAGCTAAGAACTTGTAATTTGCTTCTATCAATACTCGGCTGGGTTTTGTGCTTCCTATCAGGATAGGAGCTGAGGATATCAATATCTTGGGGACTGGTTTGTTTGTTTGTTTGTTATTTATGGACTTATTGTCCACTGCATCAGTCCAAAGGCTGCAGTCCAGTCTTGACTCTTGGAGCCCTCCAAATGTGAAGGGCTATGGGCAGGGTGGGAAGAACATGGAGGCAAAGGTTGCTTCGACACGTTTTTCTCCAAAGCATGGAGATGGCTGATCCTGACTAACGAAGTGTGAGACTTCAGAAGTGGACAGAAGGAGGCTGAGATGCCACCAGGATAGCTTATGATGGTGCACTTGCCTCCTCCCCTTCATGATCCTGCAGAACATGGACAGAAACCTTTCTCCAAGGTCATATTCATGACTATGGAATTTGCTGCCATGGGAAGTGGTGATGGCCACCAATCTGGGCCGCTTTAGGAGGGGATTGGACAGATTCAATAGGCTGATCGGAGAGGAAGTGCTACCTCCCTTACCAGAGGCGGCATGCCTGCGCACATCAGTTGCTGAGGAGCTTGGGCAGGGGGAGGTCTTGCACCCATCCTGCTTGCAGGCAGCAACTTTGGCACTGTGTGTACAGACTTCTGGACTAGATGGATTCGGCGTGGCTTTTCTTGTGTTCTTATGTTCTCCTTTTCTACCTGCAGTGCACCTGTGTAGCAGGTGTTCAGTGGGCTTCTCCCTGCCTCAGCACAGGTTACAGCCCAGGGATGTGAGACCAAAATTGGGTGAGGGCTGGGTCAGAGAAGCAAAGGTGATGGCTGGCACAGACCCTTCCCATGAGGTGGGAAAGAAGGTGGCACAGGTAAAGCAGAGCCTGCCAAGCGCCCTTCACACGTTGAAAGGAGAAACGAGGGCTCCCTTGGCTCTGCTCCGGCTTTGCTGCCCATGGCAAGCCCCCCATGCAGCAAAACAACCATGTGGGGGAATCCCTGCTGCTATCGCTGATCTGTGAGAAGAAACAGCAGTACAGTTTCCTCTCCCCACATTCTGGGACTGGGGCTTGTGGACAGGTGGGGGCTCTCAGAGGTGCTGCAAACCTCCCCAAGCTGAATGCAGAGCCTCTGCCAGCTGGTTGCGCACCCTTGCCTTGGCCACTACACTCTCAAGCATGTTCAGCAAAAAGGGTATGTTTGATCCTGGATGATAATTACCTAAATCAGTAGAATCCCAGACTGTCTTCTTTAACTGAAGAGCAGCTCTCACCAATTTTAGTTATGCTGAGTGCAAGCTTCATGTAAAGTAGGGCTGAGATTTTCCACAACCTGGGCAGCCAGTCCATCTTGGGCTGCCATTCAGTCAAGCAGGACAAGGGTTAGAAGTGCTGCGTTCTGAGAGTCCCTTCCATCTCTGGCAGGACTCTTGATCTGAAGAAGATAGATCAAGATCTAGCAGAGGCTCTTGAGGAGAAAAAGGGAAGCAGTTTTTGTCCATTAGCAGCCCCTCTTCGCTGCCTACAACACTGTTCCAGAGACTCCCCCATTCTTCCACAGCAGCTTTCAAGGGGCTGCAAGGGGAAAGGCCTTGAAAATAGTGAAAATGGCCTTCCTTCCCCTTGCAGAGGGGAGAAAGCCACCTTCTGCATCCTGTAAGTCCTCTGACATCCCAGTTCAACACTTTAACCAATGCACCTCACTGACTCTCTGTGCAAAGATGATGTCCTTGTGGATCCTCATGACACAGCAACCTGTCATGAGTGACAAACCACGATAGGTTGTCATCTTGTACAAACTTGGCCTGTTTCCTGCAGGTGGCTTGTTCATGGTTACCAAACTACTCTTGACAACCACAACCCATGGCTTGTTTAAGACATTATTGTGCACAACTGAACTGAAGTGACTGTGCCTATGAAGGGTAGTGGGAAAAGGTAAACAAGCAAGCAAGCAAGCAAGGGCCTTTTGCATCTTCTGCTAAGCTTGCTTGGGCTGCTGCCAGTGACAATCACTCCACAAGTAATTGTAATTGGCTCGGTATTGCCTGCCACAATTGTGAACCCTTTTGGGTCAACACAGCTTTTCCCCCATTTCCAGTGGAGATTGCAAAGAGCAGTCCTCAAACTGACATTTAGGGACAGCCCCTTCCAAGTACCCAGGCAGCACATTGGAGGAACTGTCACTGCTTGTCTATCTTTTTTTAAAGAAAAATTGGCACCCCAAATGTGTGCAAATATTTCTGGGTCCAAAAAGCTACATTAGTCTCTTTCTAAAAAAATGTTTGAAAGGAAGCCTGAGTTTTGATTTGTGGGGTGCAACCCCCCACAAAAAACCTTGGGCACTTTGAAGGGGCTGCCACAGCTCACCATTTCTGCCAAAAAGAAAAGGTAAATGACAAAAAAGGTGCAAATGAACTAAAAAGGGCTTGTGATTTGGTGCAGCGGGGACAAGTTGGTCCTACAGCAGAAGTCCCCCAGGTTACTTGTGAGAAGATTGAGGGGGCAGTGGGGGACAACCCAAAGTGAATCTGATTTTGGGTCAGGAGAACAAAAAGGCTATTGCCAGAGTGAATTGGCATACCATGTGAACCTGCCACATACTCTATAGTAAACCTTGAATAACTTGCTATTGGGAGGTTTTTGTCCTTGTAAGACATGGCCATTTGTCCTTGTAAGACTTCCAAGACGTGGCCATTCTTGACTAAATTAAATTTTTTAAAAAATTGTGACAGCTTGATTACGTCAGAAGTGTTTTGAAGCCTCTTTGTAGCCAGGTGTCCAAGTCCCACACTGATAAGTGGGATTTTCTCATCTATATAAAGCAGCGCTTCTCTGTGATTCAGGCAGTTACATCTGAGAAGATGACAGGAAAAGCCGTGCTTTGCTTTGGTGAGTAAGTTTCCACCCATCTTTCTGTAACTCAGGAAAGGGACTTTCCTTGCAGAAGGAGCTTTCAAGCCATTGCTTCAATCTATCACAAAAATGTTGCACAGGATTTCTTCTTAGAATGTACAATAGCTAATAATTGTGTTACATGCTTTGGAATTATTTCACCTAGGATATGGAAAATTTCAGGGCAAAATGAAGAATTAGTTCAGGGCCAGGGAGGTGTCTCAAAATACTCAAGTACTTTTTTTTTTAACCTTGTTTACCACCCCTTCTTGCCCTGATCTGCACCTTCAATACAGGTGTTTTTAGTTAAGAAGGGCATCTTTGTGAGGTGATTCTAGCCAATCAGAACTCACTCAAGCAAGTACTTATTGTGTCATGATGCAGCCAATCAGAATTAACTATGTGATGATGCTATGAAGCCAAGTCAGAGTGAAATCAGGGCACACTGACCTGTATGAATAGTATTTGGCTACACTATGATGCTGTCCATCACCATACAGCAAATTCTTCCTGTGAACATTTTGGCCCTGACTTGCAGTCTACCCGCACCCCAGATTCCAGGAGTTGATATGTGATGCTGATGGATCTCACAGGGAGCAAAATAATTATGTATTAAACAAGATCCATCAATTTCCTTTCAACTATATTTTTGAATGTTGACAATAATATATTTAGCTTGTTTGTAACACATTCCTTTTTCCCTTGCAGGTTTGGCCATTTTGCTGCAACTGCAGCTTGGTAAGAACCTTTTATTATATGTTTAATTAAAATAAGGTAAACATAGCTTCACAGTGAAGCAAAGCAGTTAAGCCTAGGGCTTTCATTATTCAGCTGCAGTCCACAAGGGTTTTACAGTGGATGGGTTCACATGGCACATTAAGCCACCTTGCATATAAGCCACAGCGGGTTGGTTGTTCAGGGAATAACCTATGATATGCCTGACGAGGCTTGGTGTCGCTTGTTCTCCCCCTCTATCTCCCCTCAGTCCTCCAGTCAGCTCCAACATACATCCCGGGGGACTTTGTGCCAAACACTATTTTGTCTTCTGTTCCTAGCTCTGACAATTACTCATTTTGTTCTTTGGCTTTTTTCGCTTTGGTGCCTCAAAAATGCACAATTAGGAGGCATTTTGTTGGTGGTATTTTTCAAATATTTCACACTTACAGTGGCAAGAGGAGACTGCACACAGACAAATTTGCTCACACTTCTGAAGGTCCAGGGGAAAATAACAGTAAGAGCAAGTAGAATCTCAGAACTACAGCTTAGAAACACTGAAAATGGGGGTGAGGGGAGAAGCCAACAGAGCGAGTACATCGAAAGTTTGTGGGTGGGGGAACAAAATTTCCCCTTTGGCAGTGTGATGCTTGCATTTGAGGAGTTGGACCAACACTTCCTCAGTGTCCTCTACATTTTCAACCATTTCCTGAAGGCAAGACCACAAATATCAGATAGGGTCTCATATTTGCAAAAGCTTGACAATAACCCCAACAACAAAAACAAAAGTGCAACCCTAGTCATGCATTTCTGAGGCACTCAGAGAAAATAGACAAGGTTTTTATGCTACTCTTCCTATGTGGATCTGTAGCTGCTCATAGCATCCCTTGATGAAATCGATCTTCCAGGGTCAGAGGACCTGCCAACTTATCATGAGTATGACCTACAGGCTATGAATCATCTGCATGGTCTGTCTATGAGAAATATATCACTCCATGGAGAACCCTCCAGGTTTGAACAATGCAACAATCCACCACAGCAGGCTTCTCCTGATGGGTTGTCATGTCCTGGGAACATAATCACTTAATAGAACTGGCTTTAGTAACTAGAATCTTGATTGATGTAGCATTAACAGGGATCATGTTCTTTGAACGTGTATTTTATTGAAGTATACCTAGCTACCTTGGGTTCCTCGCAAGAGGAAAGAGGGAAGGATATAAAATTGTAATGAAATACTAATAATTTTGCTATGAGGAGTTCATGAGAGAACAAGGTTGTAAAGTGAAAAGGTTAATGAAAGAGAGACTTCCTAGAGGCAGATGGGATCATGGAAAACTACATGGAATGTCCGTTGTGTGACTCTTTCCTCTAATTGTTGCACGGGGCATAGGTGGTGGTGCTTAACCATTCCTGCTGTTATTCAGAATTGCCTTGCCCAGATGCTTTCCCTCCATTTGAGAAATGGATAAAAGCTCTCTGCACAGACATAGCTTTCCAACCTTTTGCAGCTTTTAAGAAGCCTCCAGCTCAGAAAAAGCCACCCTTTTTTGTCCCCAGCCCTGCCATCCATGTGTTGTGGGGAATGTATGCGAAAGGAACTTGCTGAAGGCTTGCAGGGCTTGGGAAGGCCATGTGGCTCTCAGGGACATCATCACATCTGCAGACACCTTTCTTGGCTCCTACTGGTTTGTCCTACCCTTCCTACCTACACTTGAGTGGCCTGAGTGCCATTTTTGGTAGAAAGGTGGGTTACAATCCAAAATCAATCAATATTTATTTTAAATGACCACATTTCTTACTGGCAGCTGGGGTCATTTCAATGCCAAGTGAAGGCTTCTAGCTGCTCCCAGCTCCTTTTCCAGAGGCTTAGAGGAATTTTCCTCTAAGATGACAGGTGGATGAAGGCTGATGCTTTCATTTGCGGCACTCACGTTTTCCAGTGGTACCCAAGACAGTTTCTCAAATTGTCAAATGGCCTTAGCTAAGATCAGCTACCCTGGTGCAAGCTTTTCCCATGATGGAGCCCTGCCGACAGATGTTCCCCTTGCATGCACTGAGAGTGGGGCGGCTGGCACTGGTGGGCTTTGCAACAGCCCAGGTACAACCACTGGGTTCTGGCTTCCACCTGGTTACACCTGCTTGTAGGGGTCACCTGGAAAGGACAACTGACTAATGGACAGCTGCTGTACTTTTTGGCTACCACAGGGGTTTTTATAGCTTAGTTGGATGATGAGCAATGTGGTCGGGAAATGGATGCTCACCCTGGCTCCTTTTTTCCCTCCCTTAACAGGCTCAGCCTATAAACTTGTGTGCTATTACACCAACTGGTCCCAATACAGGCCAGAGCCAGCCAAATTCTTTCCAAACAACATTGATCCAAACCTCTGCACTCATTTGATCTATGCCTTTGCCACTATGTCTGGAAATAAGATTGCACCTTATGAATGGAATGATGAAAGCAGGCTATTCCCGGAGTTTCAAGCACTGAAGAAAAGGTCAGTTCTTTTTTTTAAATCATGGAATCATAGAATAGGAAGGGGCCAGGGGGCTTTGGGTCCAGCCCCCTGCTCAGTGCAGGACTCCAAGTTAAAGCATCCCTCTCAGAAGGTTGTCCAGTTGCATCTTGAATGCCTCTAGTATGGGAGAGCCCACTATCTCCTGAGGCAATTGTTGTGTTGTTCTAACAGGAAGTTCTTCATGATGTTCAGTCATCATTAATAAAAATGTTGAAGAGCACTGGAACCTTCACACACACACACACACACACACACACAGAGACTTTAAAACACTTTCACATCCTTATAGCATTCTTAAGTACAATCCAATCTATAAACTGATTCCAGGGATCAGTTCCTGATCCCAACATTATGGGATCATCATAATGTTGATATATACTGGCAAAGAATATTTTTGTGCCCTTATGAAAACAAGCAAACACATTTTTGCTCAATATTCTAAAATCCCTTCAACATGTCACTTCTGAATCTGAGCTTAAGTGCGAGTTTAATGCCCTGATATATTCTCATATTTTACAGCAACCCCAATCTTGTCACTCTGCTAGCAATTGGAGGCTGGAATTTTGGCACTCAGAAGTGAGTATTCCTTCTTTATCCCTGCTTAACTGAGAACAATATTAAAACTTTGCAATGGGGTGCAAAGTTATCTATAATCAAAAAAAGAGGAGTTGCATCACTAAAAACACAGGACAGGAGGAGGGCAGGCACAAATTTGCATATTTGCATGAATAAGGTCTGTACAATAGGTGCAAATTTAGAATTAATGGCAATAATGTAAATAGCAATACAATCAATCTCCTTATGATTGAGAAGACTGACTTGTGGGGCTGCTCGGTTTGCTGTCCAGGTGCTAAATGCAGATAGGCAATTTCAAGGCAGCTGTCAGGTGGTGGTTGGGTCATTGTAGATGGCTGAGCATATACAACATCAGCATAGACTCTGACCATGTTTAAAGGGCACTTGGCAGCATGCATTAAGGAAGGGGCAGGGAGGTTGTGGCCCTTTGGATATTTTTGTCTACATGTCCCATGTAGTCAGGATGAGCAATGATGGGGGGAGATGGGAACTGTAGGCCAAAAAAATTTACAGGGATATGAGTTTTTTCACGGGTGTATTAAGGTAAAGAGCTTGATGCAATCCTCAGGGTGTGAATTGTACGTCCATGAGCAGAAACTCCCCTGGCATGAATCTCTTTGATTATGGGGATCTGTGATAATTCTGGCAAAAAAACAAAATAGTACCTTTGGCTTCATAGAAATGTATTTTGGGTGTAATGATATGTATGTAAGGTAGGGCCCCCAGTCTTTTTGGATTTGTAGGCATATTTGGCAATTTGAGGAACTGCTCCGGGCTGTTTGAAATTAACAAATGTAAGAATAAGTATGTTTTTTGGGCCTTTTTAACAGCTAGTAGACTGAAAGTACAGAATGGGAAGGCTAAGCACTCACTTCCTATAGTACAATGGATTAAGGACCCACAACACTTTTGATGTATGGGCTGGAGGAATATAAATACCAATTACAAATTGATATTTATCTCGGCATTTGGTCTACTTTTATAGAAGCTTCTGGATAATTGCTAGAAAATGATATGCATTTCATGCAAATCCACATAAAAATGTTTAAAAATATTTTAAAAATTAGTGCCAAGAGACTCCGCATTGGGGATCCCTTCATGGTCACCACTGGGAAGACCCTGATATAAGGGCACATGATAGAGATTGTCTTTCTTCATCCCAGGTTCACTGAAATGGTTGCCACAGCTGCCAATCGTAAAATCTTCATTGACTCAGTGATAATATATCTCTGTAAGTTTGGGTTTGATGGGATTGACCTGGACTTTGAATACCCAGGATCCAGGGGAAGCCCTCCCGAAGACAAGCATCGCTTCACCATCCTAATTCAGGTGAGAAACCAACACACTACCTGAAGATGTGTAGTCTGACTGATATTTCTGACTGACTGATATTTCTGACTGATATTCTACACTGTCAGGAATCATTGCTTTGCTTGCCTTCCACATGAACTGAAACCATCCTATCCTAGCGGCCTCCACAAACACTTCTGCCTTAAAGTTGTGGATGGCCATTCCATATGAGACTTGAGACCTGCATGAAAACCATTATAATCTACACAGTCATTGGGACAATGCCTTTCTAGCATAACTGGAAGGTAGTCATTTTTGCATTTGGCATATTAGAAGAAGCCTGCCTTACTGGAGTTATTCAGCAAGTGGCACTCTGCCTCCCAAGATTGAAGAAAATGGCTGCAGCAGAAAGAACTAAAACACAGGTCATAGAAGAGCTGCTACAACTTAATAATAGCAACTTTGGGTGAAATTGTATGGCCTTCTGATACTGCTTGGGAAGCTATAGAATTCTTAGGAGTCCTACCTCCACGATCTTAGAATATCAGGACTGGGACTCTGAAGGCTCCTTTCCTCACACTCTTGTTTCAGCATGGAAAGAACTATGCCAGATACTTTCCAGAGGTCGCAACTGGGCCTTGCATAGGGGAAGCAGTGGCATGCCAGAGGCTGAGAGAGGAGCAGGCTGGGGCTGTGAACTCATGTTGATTGCAACAGCCACCCAGGTTCCTTGCCTCCCCTTTCCCAGTGCTAAATCTAGACTGTCAAAAATGGCCATCTAGAGAAAATGGAGTGTGCAAGGTGTTGTGGCACAGGAAACATGTGCAGATTGAGCAGAATATATGGGAACCAAATGTGCAATAAACTAAGAGTGTGGCAAAGCTTTTAAATTTTCACAATGCCAGTAGGTCCCGAACCTTGAATCAGTAGTAGATTGCTATGACTGAAAAAGCAGGACAAACTCAAGTGTGCTGAGCAAACCCATTGTTAGGCAGGGATCCTGATTCTTTTATCTCTGACAAAGTGGTTGGGAATTTACCCCTGATTTTAAGTTGAAGAGGATTCTTTTTACTCACGCAAATCTATAGGCAACATTGGGAAGGAATGGTTTGCAAGACGTTCTGGTACCTAATTCTGAAAATGTCTGCTGGAGCAATGTGTACAGAAAAATGCTCATCATGGATGAGAAGGCTGAAAGATCTCCTCATATCTCTCCATAGGAAATGTTGGCTGCTTTTGAGAACGATAAATGTGAAGGGAAGAGACTTTTGATCACAGCAGCAGTGTCTGCAGGAAAAGGAACCATTGATGCAGGATACGAGATTGCTGAGATAGGAAAGTAAGTAGCATGCAGCTCAACTGAGGATTCTAACACTATTTGAAATTGCTTCTCACCTGCCTTAGGCCATCAATCAAAATTAAACATGCCAACTGACTGCAAAACTACTACCAAATCCATGGGAGCACTCCTAGGTTGCACAGTTAAGCAAAGTTACTAAGGTTTAAACTGTCTTCGGCATATCACATTGGTCTGTTGAAACTCTTCATCTGCTATAACATTTTGCTCTGCTTTATTTATGCCAGACTTTTAGATTTCATCAGTGTGATGACGTATGACTTCCATGGAGGCTGGGATACCTTCACAGGACACAATAGCCCCTTGTATGTGGGATCAAAAGACCAGGGTGACTTTAGGTATTTCAACTGTGTAAGTATCCTGATCCTATACGTAACGTTTGTGTGTTCTTTTTCAAGAACCCAAAGAAAGAGCTAAGCTCTAATGCCCTGTCCAACTGTACCTCCTCAGGATTTTGCTATGAAATACTGGAGAGACAACGGTGTCCCAGCTGAGAAGCTTCTCATGGGGTTCCCCACCTATGGACGCACTTTCAGGCTTACTACTTCAGACACTAGTGTCGGCGCACCTGCTTCTGGAGCTGGCTCAGCTGGACCTTTCACTCGCGAGGCGGGCTTCTGGGCCTATTATGAGGTAAGCACCCCGATCTTATATTTCTCTTAATTGTTTATTGTTTTAAATCACCTTTCATCCATATGGGCTGGTATATATGTTGGGAGTTAGGTTCCTCTCTTCTCTCTTTCAAACAACAGCTCTGTGGAAAAAAAGCTCCCTATGTCCAATGTATATCCAGCAAGCCAAAGCCAGCAAAGAAAGCATCTCAGGGCATGCACAGAGTGGTTCAAATTAGAAACTGTGAGCCCTCATTTGAGTAACCCTGGATCCCACCCCTCCGGCAGTGCCACTAGGGAGATGAGCAGGCCACCCAGCTGCACACAGCCCCTCCAGTTGGCTAGCCCATCTCTCCCTTTGCCACATCATGGGACCAAGGGTCAGACTAGGCTCTTCTCCCATGCCTCCTCCTGGCACTGCCAGACCCCAGAGTCTGCCTGCACGCCTGGCGATGGCAGCCTTGAGATGAGCTCCTCCTCCTTCAGCCCCTCTACATCTGTAGGCCTCCCTTCCCAGGCTTCACTGTCCTCATCCAAAGAGTTGATGTCACCCTGGCCACAAAATGCATGCTAAGAGCAACGGCCTCTTTCATTGCCAACAATACATGCCTAAGCCTAAGCCTGCCAAAATAAAACAGGATAATTCATTAATGGTTGGATCCAGTGGGGTTGTACATCTGGCAAAAGGAAAGATGATGGAATATGCTCCCCAGCAAGGTTGGCCTGGTGCCAAGCCTATATTCTTTTCGGTGCCAGGTTAAAACCTTGTTATTTAATTGTTATTTTAAAAGTTAGCATTTTTACTGATTCACAGTCACTTTTGTTTTGATTGGATTCACTTATATTGGTTTTGGTAATTTTGTTGTATTATTTTACTGATTGCTTTTATGGTTATTGCTTTTAATCTTGTAAACCATCTTGAGACACGATAGGAAAGGACAGCATATAAATGTTTTGAATGAATAAATAAATAAGCCAGTGATGGAAAACATTTCCAGTCTTCCATGAACACCCCTGCACACCCTGCATCTGCTGGGGACCATAGCGAGGAGGGAGGGGAGGAAGTTCTGTTACATAAGCAGGCATCCATTTATGTGATTGATTCAACCCTAACAATGCAATAATACAATGCTATAGATTTCCAAGATGGTTAAAAAAAATAGAATGGTGGACAGGCCAAGTCTTAAAATGCTCTTTCAGGCTCTGCTTTGCATGTCAGGCTTCTTCCTTCTTCAGAAGGAACATATCATGGGAGGACAGTTGGGATAAGAAACTTTAAGAATGAGGATCTGTCCAGGGTCCTGAACGACCTGGGTTTGCCTACTTGTTTTCTGACCCATAGCCTTCAAGTAATTACAAAATCCCTACTTGCAGGTCCAACTTTCTGCTCCAGAATGGGCCAGCTTCAGACTACCGTGGGCTTATCCTTGCCAGGATTGGTTCAATAATATATATTTTGGGGAAGAAATCCCATTCAGCAAATGTCCTAGGCAACTTTAAATAGGAATGTATTGATTGAAGGTTCAGTCCATGTTATTGGTTCCCATTGAACAGACTCTTTTTGAATGCTGCATATCAGTTTCTCTTGCCACAGGGGATGTCAGGTGCTTCCAGGCGAGGCTTTTTGGACCATCTCCTGGCATCATTCACAAGATCCTCTGCTTGTAACTCTCTTGAGTTTTCCCACAGCTTCTCCTATTTCTTCTATTACTGCAGAAAATTCATGCCACATAAAAATATGAAATAGGTGCACAATTCCTTCTAATAATTAGAGTTAGGAGTCCTCTGTTTGGAAGAATCCTTCTCACTGCATGTAGTTGAGGATCTAATTAAAAGACCAAAATACATTATTTTTTGCCATTAGCAGTTCAATCCTATGCATGCCTACTTACAAATATATCCCTTTGAGTTCATAGAAGCTTACTCTCAGGTATGAGTGCATAGAATTGCAGCATAAATGTTTTCTTATATGGTGTCTATGCAATGCATGTGTATGCAATTTTAAATCACTATCAATTAACTTAGCAATGATTGTTTCTTTTGTCCAATAGCTGCTGAATAAATGATGGCTTCCTTGCTTATTCTCTGTTTCTATGCTTTCTCTTTAGATACTGCTCAGATCTAGCATAGAATAATTATTGTTTATCCAGCATTTCAGATCAAAGATGTGATGGTCTGGGGATCCTGTGATATCAGAGAATAAAGTTTATCAAAGACCGCTACACAGCCTTTACTAGGTTTTAGTTTGCTGGATTAACACAAAGCTGACTTCTTGGAGGCTGCTTTCTATGACTCATTTTTGTATTTGGAATTGTAAAATGAAAACTTGTGTGATATTTTCACAGATTTGCACATATTTAAAGTCTGCCACAGTAAAATGGATAGATGACCAGAAAGTACCATATGCCTACCAGGGGAATGAATGGATTGGATTTGACAATATTTGCAGCTATAAGCACAAAGTAAGATTACTGTGTTTTAAATGTTATCATTTCTCAGATATTAGGATATGCTTGGGCATAATCCTCTGAAAGGCAAGATCTGCATGGTGGGAGGTTGAGGACAAATACAAGGAAGTAGTACTTGGCTCAGTGCATAAATCAGTGGTGGAAGCTGCTACCACAAGATGCAGCAAACTGGATGGCTGAATCATGAAGGATAAGGCTATTAGTGATCTGAAGGAATGATTACTGTATTATCTCCAGAAGCAGAAGTCTGCCTTTGTATGCCAGGTGCTGGGGGACACGAGCAGGAGGGTGCTGTTGCTTTCGTGTCCTGCTCATGGGCTTTCCATAGGAATCTGGTTAGCTATAGTTGGAACAGTTTGCTGGCTAGACAGTGTTTTGGTCTCTTCCAGCAGGGTTTTCTTATGTTCCCATGTATTCCTGTGCTATTCAAAGAATATCATATACACTGCCCTATGATATTGTGACAGCAAAAGAAAGCTTTCTGGCTAAATGCATCCTGAAATATTATTTAGCAAATCTATGAGCCACCTCCTTCCACATAGTAAGTAGTTTTCACAACAGGCTTGCAATGGAAAGGAAACATGCTATAGCATTTTAAAACTATTAGCTAATGTTATGATTTTTGTTCATCAGGTCAAGTACCTGAAGGAAAACAAATTTGGAGGTGCTATGGTTTGGGCCATCGATCTGGATGATTTTCTGGGCACTTTCTGCAATGAAGGAGTATATCCTTTAATAAGTGAGCTGAAGAGACTTCTTGAATCAAATGGTAAGATGATCTTTGAGTACTTCTTGCCCAGTTATGGTGACATTGGTGACCTAGTTACTGGAGGGTCATTTTAAGAGGTCAAAAGACTATTTGACTCATATTTAACTTCTTAGATATGCCTTAAAGGTGAGTGATGGTTGGGCGCTATTTGTAAACTGCCAGCAAGACTTACTGGTTCCACTGATGATGACTGGGTGTCACTGGGATCCTTGCACTGCAGTGAGGACTTGTTCTTAGCACAAGGACCACTGCCACCTTCCGTATTGCCGTACCATTGCTTGCTGCTGCTGCCTGAAATTGCTGCAAAAAAGGCACTTGTTGCAATTTGGCAAGATGATGGGACTTGGGAAGGTTCCTTTGGATTACCTTGTGCTCCATTTTGAGGGCTTCCTATCATGAGAATACTTCATTGGATTATTTTAGCCTCTGAATGGTTCCATACAATTCAGGATGGTGCTGTAAGGTAGTGGAGAGGTTTTTAAGGAGTTCACAGTGACTGAACTTTGGCCTGGTTCAGAGGTCTTTTCGTTGTTGGTGCCAAGAGCCTTCCATCTGGAAGTGCCCTGTTGGTGGAGTGGAAATAAGCTGTGGAAGGGGGCAATGCCCAGGTAATTTACAGGCCTTATTGTGTTCATCCAGAGTCACAGAGCATGCAACCAGCTAATGCATCTGCTGCCCAAAGTCAGAATCATCCCTTAGACCAGGAGCGGGCAACTCCACCCCCTTAAAAACATACAATAAGTACATTGCATTGAAAGCAATGAGATTTGTTTCTCGGTAATGGGTGTAGCTTACATGTTTGCCTTCAACTACCATCAGCCCTAGCCAACAAAGCTTATTGGGAGGGATGATGGGAATTGTAGGCCAAAACATCTGGAGGACCATGAGGTGCCCACCCCTGCACCTAGATGCTCATATGCCTTACTAAAAAATACTAACATTCACAAGAATGCAAGCTACTCCTCTTATACAGGAGTTACCAATGAGCTCACCTTTGGAGTTTGGAAATGTGAAGAGTAATGTAGCGTGGTTTTCTCACTCTCTTGTTAAACATTCATCCTAGAACCCATTGTGCCAGACTGCCCTGAGGACGCTCCCGGGCCCGAAATTCCAACTCCTCCCCCAGATACTACTACTACTACTACCACAGTTGTGGAACCACCAGTGCCTGGTGACTTTTGTGCAAACAAGCCAGATGGTACCTATGCCGACCCAGAAAACAACACCAAATTCTATATATGTACTAACAAACAGACTTTCAGTTTCACTTGCGCAGCTGGATTGATATTTGATGACAGTTGCAAGTGCTGCAACTACCCTTAAAGATGAGCAGAAGAGTTCCAGCAAACATAGTTACTTAAAATTATGCAACACTGTGGCCCACTGCAGGCCATCTTTCATTCTCCCTCCCCATCCCTTATATTTTCTGTGTCATGTAATCTGTACTGTAATCATGAGGTCTGATTTATGACCAATTTTTAAGCTATTCTGGGAGACATTTTGGCAGGCAGAATAAAGAATAAAGAAATAAAACAAACATGCATAACCAAAGTGTATTTGTGTTGATAAGCTTTTGTAAAAATCATTGGCTGGGTGCCCTTGCTTTAATCCAAGTGATCAAACAAACAGAGTCTGTGTCACTTTGTGGCTTGAACTAGATTCCCTCCTTCCCTCAGTGGAACGAATATGGCTACTGGAAACAGCATGCCCTATCCTTTCTCTTCCCCTTGCAGCCCTCCATGTCCCCCAATCTGCTCCATGCAACCCCCAACCTGTTGGACCACCACGCACAGGGGGCTGCAGGGGAGGTTCTCTTCTGGTGAACTAAAAAAATGTAGTCCATTCCATGATTAGCTTAATTTTTAACGAATGGCATGCAGCATTCTAGGTGGTTAGTGAAAAATGAATCCACATCCTGAACACATGAAAGCTTTTATTTCAAACATTCTATTCTCCCTGTTTATCACAAACAGCAAAAACAGAAAAACAAATATTTTGTTAAGGAGGGTTTGATACTTTGCAGGCATATGTACCCCCCACACACTTTGCCATGGATGTAACTATCTTGTAACTTCCCTGCCAAAGTAAAAAAAGAAGAAGAAAGCATCACTAGCCATCCACATAAGTGTCATCAGTTTTACAAATGAGGACATGCCTCATGAGGTCTTGAAAAGAGATGATCAGGAGGGGACAAGATAGCCATCTTCAAAACTTGAGGGCATTTTGACAGAAGATGGAGCACAGTTGTTTTCTTGTGCTTCATCACTTATGCAGCAGTCCTTTGAAGATACTTACCATATCACCACTTTATTTGCATAGCACCCAAATGTCGAATAACAGGAGGGGATTCGCACATTACATGGTGATTTAAACTTAAGAGGAATGGGAACTGTTATGTGAAGAACTTGATACACCTCTGTAATTCCTGGCTCAGTGGTGCTTATAGGTTCTTTAGACCAGTGGTTTTCAACAGCTGGGGACTGGTGAAAACAGGAAAATCACCTCAGGGACACTGAGGCAGAAACAAAAATCACCCTATACATAATACATATATTCTGCATATTAGTTTCCAAACACAATATCAAAAAAATGAAAATTCTCCAAAACAACCGGAAACCGAGCGACAAAAAATGCCAACAAAAGAACAAAATACTGAAATCGGCACAGCATTGCTCCCAGCTGGCTCCCACTGAGTCGTCTCTCCCCTCCTTGGGCACCCTGGAGGCATTGGCACACCCCCATGAACCGAGGAAGAGGTGATGGAGCACAGCCAGTCCCTGCACCGGTCCTTGGAGAGCAGGATGCGGCCCCCCACAGACCAGCAGGAAATCTCCCACGGACCGACATCGGTCCATGGACAGGTGGCTGAAAAACCACTGCTTTAGACAACACTGTGCTTCTTCAGGTTTCTTCAGTTTTTAAGAGCACTTTCCTATTTATATATTTATCTATTTATTCATTAGAATGTGTGAGACATTACTTTTGAAAATGAAAGAAAAGGCATCTCTATCTTTTTCTGCTATTGCACAGCACTACCTAGTGGTTATGCAGTGGAAAAGCTGGGAAAGAAATACTCTGTAAAGAGCATAGTTCTCAGTTCTGTGACAAAACTGAAGGTAGATACAGCAATGAGCACCCTCGTGTAGAAAAGCTCACTGTCACGTTTGCATCTAGGTTCAGTACCCCTATAAAGAATTCATTTACAGCACAGTTCAGCCATACCTAACCACTCTGAAGTCTCACTGATTTCAAGAGAAAGCATTAAAATGTGCACTTATCCTTCCCGTTGAAAGCAATGGAACTATAAGGACTTAAAACTGGGTCAGCTGAGCTCTTTGTTGTCATTTGTTGTTTGAACTTCCTGGTTCTTCGTGATGCCATGCTTCAGAAGGTAACCTCATTCTATGTGCTGAAAGATGTTTTACTGGCTGCCTAGGCTGTGAGTTTGTGTCCTGACCATTACATAACATGATTGAGCAACATTCTTTGATCAGCTAAGTGATAGCTGCTAAAAACTAGTCACTGTCCCATGAGACATCTAGGTTTATGAGACTCAGGCCAGATACCCCTCTGTGACTATCTTTTAACCTTGTTCAGAGGGCACAGGACTGGGGGTAGATACGTGAAAATGGCACCTTGTCTTTGCAAGCAATATAAGGTGGGGTTTCAGGCTCATGTTGGTAAGGTAGAGGAGGGTTGGGTGGGGTGAGTCGCTTGAAGAGTGAAGGTCATGTCACTCCAGACATGCTGGCAGATGTAGACCTTTCTCTGCCAAAATAGGTGTAGGATTTCACCCCAAAACAAACAGGAATTACCATTAGGTTCACTGTGGGATTCCTCTGCTCTTCTGAATAAAATTGTGATGCACCCACAGCTTTAGATGGATTAACTCTGATGAAAAACTCTGACATGTTACTGGTTCATGCTCAAGTATTATACAGAACCCAGCTTCTGAGATGCTTTATAACTAGGAATATACCTCTGAATAGGATATAGTTATTATAGGATTTCAGAAGGCACCTCACAGAGGTTTAGAACTACTTCACTGTTTGGAAATGGAGGGTGTGCTACATACACATCTCACATAATCAGCATTCAGGCATTTATGCGAATGGAATGGAAGAAATGAGTTTTCTATAGCAGTTTTCATCCACTGCGGTGACACTTTAGGTAACTTTGGTGCAATGCCTCTGAATGAATATTTGTGTATACAGATAGTCCACACACAGTTTCTGTTCACAAGTCCTTGCTAATAAAAAGGTTTCTTGATTGTGTGGAGGATTTTAGGATCTGAGACATTATATTAAAAGTCCACAGCAGGCAGAGCTAGAGACTCCTGTTCCCTCCTCGATGCATGTTCAGATGAATGTGTGAATGGTGCTACTGAGCCAGTTGATGGTTATTTGACATGGTTTTGTGACACCACAAAAGCTTAATAATAGGACCATTATGAACTGCCTGAGCTAAAGTAGCATCTCAGCCCTGGCAAGAGGAACAGATGCAGTTCTAAAGATACACACAGGCAGGCAACATTTACCACTGCTTGACATTTGCTATACTGAAAGAAAATAAGGACAGGACGTTCTGCCCCTAATACTGGGCAGGCTACCGCACAGTATTTTAAATTTCCACTCAGCTGAAAAATGGGTATTGTTCCTCCATTAAATGATACATGAGCACTCACAATGTTCCCTTTTCTGTGGGATTATACAGGATCTGCACTGAGGACAGGCTAACCCAACTGTTCCAAGGCAGGCATGCTTTACTAATGATAGCATTGCAGGGTGTCCAGTCTGGCTGAGCTTTCGCTCCATGACAAAATTACCATAAGAGTTAGAAACATAGGCAACTGCCTTGTTCAGGTCAGACTGTCTGTCCATCTGGCCCGCTCTGACTGGCTGGGGTTCTCCAGGGCATCTTCCCCCAAGTTAGTGCCGTCCACATGGTTATTTATTTATTGATAATACATCTACATGGCTTAATATCATAACATCCCTAAGCAGTTCACATATAAATATGAACTTATATATATATGAACATATATAAAAATATGAACCAGATGTTTTGGATTTTAACTCAAAACTGCACTTACCATTAGTCATACTGGTAATGAGCTGATGGGAGTTGAGTCCAAAACATCTGGAAGGCACCATGGTGTGTGAAGTTGCTCCAGGGTGAGAAACTTCACTATTTTTCAGGCAGGAGGCAGAGCCTCCAGTGGCAGCCATCTTGGCCACCTGAGGACCACTGTTGTGTCATGCCCCTCCTTCTCTTCTCCCTTTCTCAGGCAGTGGGGATTCGCACAGGATACCTTTTAGGGCAGGTCCTCTCCATCTCTCTCCACAGCATGCAAGCAAGTTCTTGTCAGTCATCAAGTCACCAGGCAGACAAATTATGGGAGGCCCAGTTGCTTCTTGGATCAGGATGGATCTTCTCATCACCAAGTGTGTGCAGCGTTCTTCCTGCTGCTGCAAATCTGCAACTTCAGGTCCACATTTTACCTGCATGTTACCCTCCTCCCCAGTACCTGCACTGAGCACCACTGCAACTAGCCAATCATGCTGCTCCTGACATCTTGGGCGTCTCCTGTGCAGCACTGACTGGTGGCACCCGTGTTTTCCCCATCCCCAAAAGCTGAGAAGGTGCAGTTCTCTTGACTCCCCAGCAGCAAAACTTCTCTGGGAGCCGAATCACAGCAGCTGTGGCAGCCTGGACTATGGCTCTGAGATCCATTCCTACTTCACCATTCCTATTGGGATGGGTAACTGCAAGCAGGAATCCCTGTGAGAATGGAGAACAAGGGAGAATTATTATAGCATAAGCTTTTGTGGACTAGACTGGAGCACATGCATCCAGAACTAGGCTGAGACATTTTGCTGCCGGAAGCAAAGGGCAACCTGGTTGCATCTACAGAGGCAGCTTGCACGGTCAGGGTATTTATTTTTTTATTTAATATATAGCCCTTGTTTCCAAATAAAATGGCTCTCAAGGTGGCTAACAAATTATTGATTTAGGTAAAACCTGAGTTAGATTTAAAACATGTAAAACAAATGGACTAGAAACGGCAAAAAAGCAACCCTAAAAGAAATCAAGAGCACCCAGCCAGTGAAACACTTCCTCAGCAACAGCTGAATTCTGCTTCAACCCCAGCAATGGCATAGCATCCTCCATGGCACCCCAGGACAGAAGGCAAGGTCAGGGCAATCTGCACTTGCACGTGGCCCTCTTCTCAACGCCCCCCCCTCCCCGAGCCACTCTCTGCCCTACAGTGCTGACTCTTTGATTTGGCAGCCTCACACCGCCTCGTGGCACTCGGGGCTGAGCTGGCTTGCATCTAACGAAGTGGACACCAGTCTATGAACGTTTCTGCTACAGAGCCATCGTGCAGGGCTAATTCTGAGTCCTGCCTCTGTTGCTCAGGAGGGATGTGGGGGGTGGGGAAGTACTGCGCTATCTTCCCTTCCATCTGTGGCTTTTTGTTTCCAGAGCACTAAGCACTTCTCCCTATTGTGTTATGTTCCTGCAATTTCTATACTGTGTGCAGGGAGGTGCTTTGTGTGGACAACTTTGGAAAAAGAAAAAAGGAACAAAGGGAGAGGCTAGCTGCTCTTTTAAAAGAAGTCAGATTGTTCCATAATAGGTCAGATGTCGGTGATCTTCTTATTCTCTGACAACCTTCCATACCAAATGTCTGAGCTACTCCAGCGAGGGTATGTCCTGTCTGTTTGAGTTTCCCCACATTTCTCGGTGCCTCTCTTAATGCTCATGTTCATGGAGTACACCTCTTGGTATATTAATCTGGGCAGCAGCAGACTGCCAAGAGCAAATACCCAAATATGATTTTCTACCATGCCCAAGTTGTGATTTGGTCCTCCAAGACAGATGTCAGAAACCCTCAGGGCAGCATTCCCCAGCCCAGGGTACTCTAGATATGTGGATTGCAACTCCCATCATTCCCAGTCAGCATAGTTATCTGCCAGCATTAAATGCAAGCGGCCCAGTCCTTGGGACAGCAAGGAAGTGAACAGGTTTAGGATCACTGCACAAATAACATGCGCCCTTGATGGAAATAAGCAAAGTTCATACGTCATGTCTGAAAATTGCACAAGTAACTATGCTGGCCTCACATTATGTTTCCAAGATGGAGTGTGCAGCTGCTTGCGAACAGCTTCATCCTGCCAAATAGGCACGATTTTCAATACAATGTTAGGCTACTGAACTGGATTTTAAAAGCATTGGCATTTGGCTATTTTAAATATGTTGACAATGCTTCATTAATGGAAAATCCATCTGGGGGCGGGACTTAGGCTACTTTTGAAGTGGGACCCTTAAGTGGTTTTCAAAGATGGTTTACTAAGTGGATGACTAAGATTATTAAAATAGTTTACTGCGGTGATATCACACCAGTATTTGTTTCGATATTTTGAGGAAGAAACAGAGGATGAACCGATGTAAAAGAGGATAGCAACCAAGGAGAACTCCTATCTATTTAATAGCTGTATAAAAGATGGCATTTCCAACAGCTGGGGTTTTGCTCCAACAGTAACAGATGGTGGGGAAGGTGACAATAATCATGCACAGTCAAATTATAAGGGTTATGCATGGCCACAGCTTTCTTGGTTACAGCTTGGCATTGCAAGAGTGTGGATCAGATGATTGGTCGGCCTGCCTCATGGCTAGTTGCTCTCCCTTTCTGCACATTGGGTCACCTCATGTGAGGCTGGAAACGGGACCCTTGATGGCATGGACTGCTCTGAAACACCATTTTTCCTGAGCTCTGGAGGTAAGCAGCACACAGCTTTTCTTCACTCTGGGACGGGATGCATCTATCCAAATTCCCTCTTCTGTCCAGGGACATGTATGATGATCAAGTTAACAATGGCCTCCATGTCACAGGATGTAGTTAAATTTTATTTATTTATTTAAACTTTTCTATACCATCCCATCACAGATGTCTTGGGACGGTTTTCTGGGTCCCAAAATGGGGTCCTTCATGGACTGGACTAGATGATATTGGAATATATTTGAATAGCACTGTCTCATTAAACTATATCAGATGCAATGAATGCAAAGAGCCCAAGCCTATGATATTTGTAAAGAACATTTTCAGAAAATTGACAAATATTTGTGGCCGATTGTCTCTTTCCCCGGGCATAGAGAAAGATAAAAGTGTTGACAGCTCTTGCATGATGTGTTTCATCATATCTTTCCATTCGTGCTTGCTAGTTTGCCTGCTTGCTGTCTTTCCTTGTTTATTTAGTTGTGCAGATTACTTCAGGCAGGATATAAAGAGTTCCAGAAAGAGAAAATTGCAGGGCGTGGAGAGTGAGGAAGTATAATTAAGACAGAGGTGGGAACGGGGGAAGGTGCTGTCTAGTACATTTGCTAGGCAGAGGTACAACTCCGCAGAGAGGTATGTAGTTCAAACTTCAGGATTTTGTCAGCTGCGTAGTTCCATGAAGAGTCATTTAAATGGGATTTTATTTGAGTGTTGAGGCTTGGTTTTGCTTCTTGAATCTCATACTAAATGGGAGGAATGTGCATTGATGAGAATACAGGTTATCTAAAATGTAGCTAGAAGTGGAATCTGCTGCCTTAAATAGGAATAGAAAGCAGTGACTGGTTATTAATTCTGCAGATGCCATTGTAAGGCATTTTCTGGTAATCACACAAACAGCTCCAAGAGAGAGAGACACACACATGGCTGGGTTCATAATGAAGTGCTTTGATTATGTAGAGCTATTATTAATATATATTGCATACAATTATGGATAGTATAGATTCAGAATAATAATCTCTTCTGAAATATCTAACAGCAGCACAACAGAATTCTCCATGGCTAGGATGTGGTCCCCTGATCCTGGTAAGAGAACATTTCTGTGCAACAAGGAGAACTAGATATGAGTGCCTGCAGAAATTCAATTTCTCCACCATGCAGGAGTGCCTTATTTCTAAAGCCTCCACAGGTTTAGGATATATGCAGATTCATCTATTTTTCAGCCCTATTTTCCTTTCTGCCTAGGTGCAAGAGCCATTATGGGGAAGCTACTACTGTGGATATGTGAGTATGTTTGCATTTCATAAATAAAATGATAAACAATAAAATAGCATATAAATGAATGGAGGAAAATACTTGTTCATAGAGTTCCATGATTCTTGCCTCAGGGGCTTACATGTACCAAATAAAGAAATCAGTGGCTTTTCTCTCCAAGGAATAAAAGATACAGCCCCTGTATCTTTTTTCCTCTGGAGACAAAATGTTAGCCAGTAAGACTGAAAAATGCGCTGTACTGACAATGCCATATTTTCCATTTATGAAGGCTGCTACGGAGTGGAGCTTGGATACATAGGGGCTGGGGACGCAGTAGTGAAATCTTTATATGTAGAACTGTACTGTACGTCCTGTATTTAATTTTGGTTGCGTTGTAGCCTTGAGAGCCAAGTGCGACACAACGAATGTTTCCATTCCTGCTTTTCCACTTCAAAACCTCCGGGTGGCACTGTGGCTTAGCAGAATGGTACAATACGCAAGAGGAAAGCACACTTTCTTTCACTTTTAGTCAAATGTTGCATTTTCTCTGCTGTAAAAAACAAATGGTAGTGCTGGTTAGACACGGAAGTGAACCGGAGGGTTACAGAACCCATAAAGAACCATGAGCGGGAAATGAGGAGCACAGAATCAATGCCTTATGTGGAAAAGCCCATAGAGAAGACTGGCTGTGTATGCTTACATCTTAGGGAAACAGTTTTTGTTACTGCACAGAGAACCCACAACTTGCTCCCATTTTCTGCAGCATTGGGCTTGCTTTTTTTTTTTTTTTAAGCCAGTGCCAAACTAGACAGAATTGGGGCAGAAGAGGAAATAGAGATTACTTGCCTTCCATGCCTCTGATTTCATCAGCCCTTCCCCTAGCTGAAAGAATTAGCATTTAAAAAAGGGATCAAATACAAATATGCTTTTACTATCAAATCTTGTTTTGCTCTCTGAATATTTTGTCAGGCTTCATGAAATGGACTCATCATTTATGTATTTATATCCCGCCATTTTTCCTTCCAAGGAACTCAAAGTGGCTTACATGATTTTCCTCCTCTCATTCCTATGCTCACAACAACAACCTTGTGAAGTAGGTTGGCCTGAGAGTCTGTGACTGGCCCAAAGTCATCCAGTTGGCTCCATGGCTGAGCGGGGACTAGAAACCAGATCGTCTTGAGTCCCAGTCCCATGCTCTTAACCACTACGCCACACTGGCTTCTATTTTATCAAAATCCATCAACATTTTGGGAAGAGTAGATCATTATTATGATGACATCTTAATATGCATTCCTTATTTTGAATATTTTTTGTTTCTCTTGCTTTGCAGGTTCCACTATTTTGCTGAATCTGCAAGTCGGTATGAATCTCTTCACTTCAGTTTGCTAGTGGGGGACCAGATTTAAAAATGTGGAGTGTTTCCGGAAGGCAGGATGCTGGGGCTTCTGATCAGAAAGCACTGTGCAGTGATTCCTTCTTCCTTATTGCCTTTCCTGCAACAAGTAAAAGGGCACAGGAAATGGTGAAAAAACATGGGGAAGTTATGACTGGAAGCTGTCCCTGTCCATACAAGGGATCCAAAGCAAAGGCTCAGGGGCCAAATTATGGGGCTTGCATAGAGCTATGGCTGCCCCATCCCCTAATCATTGACATTTTGGTGGTTTCCTGGTGTTTGTGCAATCCCCCTGCTCCCATGTCACAATTTGGAACGCCTGAGTTAGATTGTCAGGTACTTTTCATGCTGACATTTACTCACTGTTGGAATTGGATTTTGTGCAAATGCGTTCATACTCATTTGCCCAGTTCTGAATCATGTAACTTCATACCAATGAATTTGTACAACTTCATGATTGCATGCTTACTTTCAATTACAAGAATCCCCCCAACCATATTTTTCATGCTTTAGCCTGTGAGGGTAATGCAAAGTTTGGTTAGTGTTAGTTAGTTTATATAACAAAAATTGCATACAATTACATAAAATAAAAATCCTTTACCCACAAGTCCATAGATTCTGTATGACTTGGAAAACTTGGTTCACTGCAGAATCGGTGGGATAGTTCTTAGAAATTCAAATCCACTGAAACTGTTGTGGATTTCTCTGACATTTCTCCCTTGCAGGAGAGCTTGCTGGCTGGGGATGATGGAAGTTGCAATCCAGCGCTCGAATGGGGGAGACTATGTTGCAGCATTGCTGACTTCCTTAAATCTGGCAATTTAGTTGCAATTCATTCATTTATTAATTATATTTATATTCTGCCTTTTTCCTTACAAGAAACCCAAGGTGGTTTTCATAATTATTCTCCTTCTACCAACCTTATCCTTACAACAGCAACCTTGTGAGGTAGGTTGGGCTGAGAGTCTGTGACTGGTCCAGAGTCACCCAGTGAATTCCATGGCTGAGTGGGAACGAGAACCCTGGATCTCCTGAGTCCCAGTCCTGCACTCTTGAGCAACACCAACCCATTAGCCTTAGGAAAGTTCAGACCCCATTTTTAATCTTATTCAGAGCATTTCCTCAAAGGTGACAACCTGCTGCCTCTGTTCTTTTCATTTTGTATAGCAGTGATATTTCATCAGGATTTCAAATAAAACCATGGTAATCAGTATATTACATATGACATGTAGTGGAGCTATTACCTGCATCACCTTCTGCTTTTTCCCCCAGATTCCGCCTACAAGCTTGCATGTTATTTCACTAACTGGGAGCAATACAGGCCACAGCCAGCCACATTCACACCAGCAAATGTCGACCCCTCCCTATGTACCCACCTGATATATGCTTTTGCTGACTTGAAAGACAACCAACTTACCACTAAAGAACCGAATGATGAAATACTCTATAGGCAACTCAATGATTTAAAGGACAGGCAAGTAATTTCCAAAGTAAGAGAATTCTTATAATGATGACAATTGCCTTCCTGAACGATGATAACATCAAACCTGGAAGCAAAAGAGGAAGTGTCTTTTTGTGTTCTTCCTACACAGTGTGTGCTAGGTATGCAGATAAGCCTTTTCAAATGTTCATCTAAAATATCGATGCAGTATGAATGTGCAAGGTTCTCGAGAGATACTTGTCAGAGAGTTGGGTTTGGCTGCGACTCCTGTAGATTTAACATTTTGGATGTTTCCAGAGGAAGGGCTCCTGTTGCTACCAGTCAAAATACATGGTGCAACTATTCCATTTTTATGCTCAGATCCCAGTTCTGTGGCCAAACCATTAGTGGATACAGCAGATAACCAAGTTAACAGCCTTGTGTTATAAACCTCTACAAAGGAGGGTTACAAATAGAAGACATTGAATTCTGGATCCTCAAAAATGCCGTGAATGAGGTTGGGTAATTGCATAATAAAAGCCTTGTCCTAAAGTATTTTTTGGTAGCAAATCTGTGTTTTTTGCTGCATCGTGAAAGCAATATTTGTTTGGAGGAAACTGCTATTTGATGGAGAAGGATTGATTGGGGCTTCTCTGGCTGATTAAGAGCAATGGCTGTTATTACCCTCTGCTGATCCTTACCAGTCGATCAAGCTGTGGTGGACTACAATTTTTCAGAAAGTTGAAAGTGGCATGATTAAGTCAATATGCACATTCATTGTTCTGTCTCACTATAGTCTCTGGCCAAACAGTTTTTGTAAACCTTTGAAGTGCTATGCAGAGCATACTGAAAGAATTTTGCCCTAGCATCATCTATGACAATGCAAAGGAATTCTGCAGTAGATTTCTTAGGTTATGTTAGACTGAACATTTGGGTGCTTCTGGGTAAGAAGACTTCTGCTAAAGAATCCATTGTGTGTTGTTAGAGAATGTTATGAAGCGCAAATCAGTGAGTGAAGGGCCTGAGTAGATTGTCTGGATACATACGCTATCCAGGGGTCAATGAACTACATAGACATTTCCAATTCCCACATAAGCCTTGTGCAGGCACAGTTTTACAGAGCCTGTTATTTCACACAAGGAGTTCTCAGGCTGGAAGCCAAGGGCTTCTCCTCATATTCCTTTTCCAGCCTTAAGAGGAATGCCAACGTCCATTATGAAGGACTACATGGCTGTCTTATTCTGCTGAATATATGAAATGGTGAGCCAGAGTACGTGCATCTTTGCAGTGAGTGATGGCTTTAACCTTTGAAAATGCTACTTAAACATGCCTTGAGACATGAAGCTTTTATAGTTGAGGTTTTTATTCTGTGCTTGCCATTTCTTGCTCACAGCTGTATACAGATGCATTAAACATTGTTGTCACAATCCACTCTATCTTCTGTTTTTTAAAAGCAATGTCTTGGGCTGGCCAGGTTTGGAGCAGTGAGAACGCAATATCCTTTGCAAAAGTGAAACAAAGCACTAGTCTCTGACAGTGGAGTTGCATTATTCCATTTTGCCATTTCGTCGCCTAGAGGCTATGTAGTGGACAGTACAAAAAGTCAGAAAAGGAAAATAACTTTTCCTGTACAGCTGTAACCTTCATTCTGTAATGAAGCTGAAAGAAGAAAAAGTGAGTTAACCTCATTTAGAAAAGTTCGTGAACATTCAGATGTCCTCCGGAAATAAAGCTCTTTCAGAAATATATATGAGGAAGGATTGCTGGAAAACTCAAGCACAGAGTTTCTGGGCCACTTTAGATAATGTTGCTCATGGAAACTCTTTTTTCCCATTTGGCAGCAACCTATCCTTGGTACTGGAGCCAAGCATCTGGGAAAGTATTACTCACAGTTGTTCTAGAACAAAAGTACAGTGACAAACTACAACATACAAAACAGCTTTCAGATTTTACTTTATTTTATTTTGCAGAGAGGATTTAATTTGTTCTTAATGTTCACAGAATGCTTTTCTTGCTTTCTAGAAACAATGCCTTGCTCACATTGCTAGCTGTTGGAGGAGGAATCTTTGAAAACACAAAGTGAGACCTTTCTCCTTATTCTGTTAATAGAAATAGAGCGTGTATGGATTATAACTTCTAAGTAATTACAGGTCAATGCAAAGCCCTCAAAGAACTGTCTGAAAGAGGTCATGATAGGGCAGACATCCCCCTCTGCTGGGGAAGAGGTGCTCATTCAGTGAGGCTAGGGCACAGCACCCCATGGAAAGCTCCACTGGTCCTGCTAGTTCTTCTGCCCGTAGGTGGTGGCAGTTCCTGACACTTGGCATTCTGGAAATGGGACAAAGCCAGCTTCTCATCTGCTGGCTCCCCCGAGAAGCCCTCATTCCAAGAGAAGTTCTTGGATTGAGACCCTCAGCTGTGCCAACCTGGGCCTGGTATAGCTATCTTCCCTCTTATTCAGGGCCTGCTCTGCCATTAGGCAGAGTGAGCACATTGCCTCGGGTGGCAGAGGCATAGCGGTGTGGAGGGGACAGAAGGGGCCACCCTCTGGTCATTGCCTCTGCTGGAGGACGGAGCTGTGTGTTCAGACAGACAGCCCTGCACCCTGTAGACTAGCCTGCTGTTCTCAGGTGTGGTGGATGCCATCCCACCTGCAGCACTGAAATAAGACACAACTGCCAGGCAAGACACTTCTTAGGCGGAATGTGTGTGTGTGTGTGGGGGGGGGGCACCACAGTCTTTTGCCTCATGCAGCAAACATCTTGGATTAGCCCTGCTCCCATTCCTTTCAATGGACAGGGGAAGGGAAGAAGCAACATTCTTCATCCTCTCTTTGAGCCCCACTTAGAAACGCTCTGTTACGGATTTGGGATGCCCAGCTTAAGAAATTTTGGGGAAGGTGATGCTTGAGAAAGAAGGTGTTTTTGATTCTAGGAATTGCTATCCTTCAAAATGCTATGATTTTTAGGACATGTTTTTGATCTTTGTTTCTGATTTGGGCTATTATTCAGTGCTACTTTCCTTCCCAATGTCAGAGGTGATTTGTCAATGAAGAATGTATTTCTTCCAGGTTTACTATCATGGTATCGTCTCCAGAGAATCGCCGGAAGTTCATAAGAACTACGAAACATTTTCTTCGTCTTCATAAGTTTGATGGTCTAGAACTTGACTGGGAATATCCAGGTTTCAGAGGGAGAGCTCCAGAGGAGAAACATCAGTTTACCATCTTGATCCAGGTGAGAAATGGAAAGTATATTGATTTTCATCAAAGCATCATCAGAGAGTCTTGGAATCCTTAAGAGATTTTATGGATTTTTATTTCAGCAGAAAATCAGGAAAACTATTTTTAAACCAACAAAAATAAATGATTATAATAGAATAATATTGATAATTGACAACTGAATATTTTGCTGATAATTGTGCACAATTCATATTGTCCTGGACTTAGCTTTATTTCTAAATTCAGAATTCAGCCCTGGAATATATGAGTAGAAAAGACCATCCTCTTAAGCACGTACAGAGCAGTTTGGCAATCATTTTTTCCTCTATATTGTTAGGATGCTGAGGTAGGCTTCCACAGCAAGGGTAGGTCTGAGTCCCAGCACCTCATTGTTTACAAGAATTGGGGTCTTAAGTGAGCAATGGTGCGATCTCATTAGTGTCTTCTTAGAAGCAAGTCCCACTGAATTAAGTGGGGGTTTCTCCCAGATTTAATTGTATTTGGCGTGCGTGCAAGCATGGCTTTGCAGTTGGATGGTGCTCATGCCACAAAGGAGACTCTGGTACACCTGCAGAAAGCTTCAATGTATTGGTGTGGTTGGGGCAGTAATGAAGAAAAGGAAAATTAATGAAGGGAATGTGCAAAAGTTAAAGCCTGGCTGTGCTGAGCCAACAGCACAGAGGAAATGGTGGTAAACTGGCCATGGTTCTCATGCCACTCCTTCTATAGCATTGCTCTGAAATGTTGCCATCCTTACTTAGGAGTCAGCTCTATAGAACTTGACTTTCTTGGAGAGAGGGAGAGAGAAAGGTTTATACTTATGGTCAATTTGGAGGGAAATTTCCAACCTGAAGTCCACCTTTCCTCTGAAATGTATTCTGTTTGATTGCACATGAACAACACCAACTGCTACTGCTGTTTCTTTCTGAAGGAACTGTTAGCTGCTTTTGTGGAAGAAGGGGAAGAAACAGGACGGCCACGGCTGTTGCTTTCAGCAGCAGTCTCTTCCAACAAATATATAGTGGATGCTGGATATGAGATTGCTGAACTGGGGAAGTAAGCCATGTGGTTTCTGAAATGTATTTTCTGATTTCGCTGGATGTGCAAATTCTCTATGGAACAGTACCTCTGAATGCTTTGATTACAAATTGCTAATGAGCCCAAGAGAAAGCAATTATACTGGAATGATTGTTCCCTGCTCCACCCAATGCCTTCTTTCCACAAAGAACTCAGACCCCCACATATGGGACAGTTCAATTTCAGTTTTTATTTTACTGAAGCAACCATAGCTGCTCAGTTCAGACATGCCAACAAACCATAGTTGATACTGATACACCTAGCTGATGCTGAAGTTTGAACTTCCAGACATACAGCAGGTTATAGATTAGAACCAATCAGGAACCATAGGCTAAACAAGCCATGGTTCCTTGAGTTTAGATATAATAAAAAGTTGTGGTTGGTTTAGAATGAAAGTGGGTGCTTCCAATCTCATGGTTGCACCAGGGAAGGCAAGTGGAAAACATGGATGCCCGAGGCTGGAAGCCATCTGTGCACAGAGCACTAAATGATGGCTTGGCTTTATGTCTGAGCCAGCTTCAGCTCTGAGAATGTATTAGCAGGATGTTCTCGTTAGTCCCTTTCCGTGGCAGTGGCACCCATGCTTAAGCTCTGGGCCCTGGGGACCTGATGTGACGGTAGTGGTGCGCTGGTGCTTACAGAAGTGTTGGGCAGCAACACTGAGACCAGCTTCAGCCATCTGGGTCAGACCCCATTTAATTTTCCTACCTGCCACACAGTGGAACCATGATGGGGCACTGGGGGAAATTATAGCAGCAGTGAGCTGAGGCTGGATATCAGCACAGTGTTGGGCTTTGCTGAGGCTCTGGCAGTGCCCAAGTGTGCATGTCCTCTTGCTGAGCCTGGGTGCAAGTGGTAGCCTATAGCAACTTTCCTGGAGGTCCTGCATTTATTTCAAAGCCAATCCCTGTGAGGTTTGCTATTTTGGTTTGAGAACCCCTCACGAACTATGATTTATAAGATTCCATTCATTTACCACCGTCTCTATTCAGCTGTATTGCATTGTGGGTCTTGGGTGAATAATTCCACTTAGGCCAAACTCCCAGGTTTTGGAAAATATTTCTTTCCTCTGAAATTATTTAAGGAACACTAATACCACCAAAATGGAATCTTGCTTATATATCCGAAAATAACTAACAAGCTAAAACAATGAATGTATTTCTTAACCAAAATAATTGTTCTTATTCCAGTAACACTGAGGCTGTTAATTCATAGATTCCCATTGGAAGAAATAATTCCTTACTTTTCCATGCATTTTTATTTTGCTTTCAGGAGTCTTGATTTAATCAATGTGATGACCTATGACTTCCATGGAAGTTGGGCACCCGTAACAGGACACAACAGCCCCCTGCATAAGGGTTTAGAAACCTATGATCCAGTTCCTTTCTACAACTGTGTAAGAACAATCAACATATAATCAAATTTGAACCTCATAAGTAAATCTCAGTGGAAACTTCCCAGTGGATGCAGGGAGAGCTGGACAAAACCCAGGCATATGTAGAGTAACTAATGAAGCTCAAAATATAGGTTTCATTGTGAACATAAATGAAACTTGCCTTCATAGTTTTCTTTTAAACTCAAAGGTAACAGGGTAGGTTATGACTAAGTAGAAGTGGAAAGTTTAAGATGATGATGATGTCCATTTTCAGTTCAAAAATCCACCCACCCCAAGCAGGGATGGATCATTATGTCAGTTTCACTTTCTTCCACTTATACATGTTTACATCTCAAGTTCTTTCCATGATGATATTTGAGCATTTTGGTAAGTTCTTGTCAAACAACAAGCCAGATGAAATGCCCATCTATCTGCACTGGCCAAATTAAAGAAGGCTTATAAAAACAGACAAGCAAAAGTCCCTAACCTGAAGCTACTTTATCACCCATGAGGTGAATGATATGTGAAAGTCATGGAGAGCTTGCATTACATTGCTCTTGCTAGTGAAAGGATGCTCCAGAGAATCTTTCTGCCTGCCCATATTCCTTCCCCCTTGTCCAGTAGTTTGCCCAGGTTGCTTTGTCTTTGAAAATGCACAGACTGAACGAGCAAAGACTGCATAACGTCCTGCAGGAATATGCCATGAAATATTGGAAGGACAATGGAGCTCCAGCTGAGAAACTTTTGATGGGATTTCCAACATATGGACGAACATTTAGACTTACTAGTTCTAATACTGGAGTTGGAGCTCCAGCATCTGGTGGAGGTACTCCTGGAAATTACACCAAAACTTCTGGTGTTTTGGCATATTATGAGGTAATTTTCTATCTGCTATTTTATTACAAATGTGAACTATTAGAGATGAAGAGCTAGTGCAAAGAACTGAATGCTGTTACATTAGGAGAGACATGGGTGCAAATTCCTACACCCAGAAAGCATCAGTGGCTGGCTTGCTTGGGGAGATAGTCCTTGCTCAACTTAGTTTATCTTACAAAGTTATTGTGGAAATAAACTGGGTGAACCCTGTATCAAGGTACCCTGTACCTTGGAGGAAGGATAGGCTATAAGCAAAGATACAAACACAACTGCTAGACTCGTAAGCATGCTCATTTGGGAGCAGTGCCATAAAGCCATGGAAGTAGCTTCTGAGTGAACATTAAAGAGAAACAGGGCTTTAGTTAAGACTATAATCCACAAAGCACAATACTCTTTAATAGTGATTTAAATAATCATTGAAGCCTGGAATTAAACACTTCTAGGATTACAGATATTTTGTTTTGTGCTGTTTTCTCTCTGTCTCCTTGAATTTCTGTCCTCTGTTTATGAGATTTCTATCATTTGGGCAGGTGTGTGGATTTTTACAAGGAGCTACCAAGGAATGGATTGAAGAGCAGGAGGTTCCTTATGCTTTCAAGGATGAAGACTGGGTTGGATATGATGATGAAAAGAGTTTTCAGCTCAAAGTGCGTTCTTGCCATTTTCATGTAATAAGTATACTCAGCCAGCGGGAGGATCTTTAAGTACTTGAGAAAGTTCTAGCTGCTAATCAAACCTACTAATTTACACTTAGGAGGTGTAAATTGATTCATCCAAACAACATTGACTGAAATGGCTGATTTGTGACAGCTGAGGCTTGGATTACTGTTATCAACTGCTTTCTTCACAAACATAATGTGAAAACCTTGCAGTGTGGAGTGCTTCTGTTCAGGATTGCATCTAGCTAGCCATGTCTTTTCCAGGAAGTTCCTTCTCACCTTCCATTTTCCACCATTATCATCCTCCTACAGATACTCATGTATTGTAATTAGATGGTTTGGGTTATGTTTTTCTTCTACACATTAACTTTTCCCTTCGTATGTCTGTACTTTTGCAAAGCTTGGGGTTCCTCTGAGCATGCTGGTACCTCCTTCTTGTTTTTCAGTCACTACATTTGGATTGTTGTTCTTGCCAGCTGAGCATGGTACTAGAGGAAGTGATTATCATTCAGTGTAAAAGGCTGAGAAAGAATTGCTTATTTCCTCTTGGGAGGAAAATGAAATGAAGGTCTGATTCTTCACTGGGGAGAAATTATTAATCTCTTTCATAATTTTCTACTCATGGTTGGTTATGGTTGACCCTCCAGTTTGCTTTGGTTTGTACACAATACTTTTGATTAGTTTTCTTTAGAGCAGGGAAAATGTATTTTTACTGATGGTTAAAGAAAGCCCATTTCCCTCTTGCGTATTTTTTGCAACTCTGTTAAGGTACAGCATCACCAAGATATTATGTAGCAGAGAAACAGGAAAGCAAAAGCTGTTTTAGGTTAATTCTGTGATGAATAAAAGATATAATGGATTAACAGCACCATGTAGAAAAGCCCTAAATTATTTAGCAGCAAGAAGTACACTGTGAAATAAGTCCTACATGCCCTTTGGCTGGCCAATCTGCTCTTCTCTCAGGGAAGAGGATCTTATTTATGTTGTTAGAGAGTAGTATTGCAGCTAATCAGAAAACACCTTATTCAGCTAGGCTTAATGCCTTTGAACCTTACTTTTGTCTGTTTATATCTGAATCTTAGATGCATTGGCTTGAAGCCACGGTATCTGGGAGCATTGTATAGTTAAAATATATAAGTATAATTGTAAGAACTGTTATGGGACTGGTACTCTGTGAGTGTTGTCCTGTGGACTATTTACCGAGTGGTTGTTCATTACCTTTTCCTTTGCAGGCAGAGTTCTTGAAAAGAGAAAAGTATGGAGGAGCCATGATTTGGACTCTCGGCATGGATGATTTCTCTGGCATGTTCTGTGGTGAAGGAGCCTATGTCCTTGTTAATAAATTAAAGGATATCTTAGAAAATGGAGATAATAACGAAGATGATTAAGACAGCAGAAAGGCCGTGTGTATCACTAAATCATCAATCCAATGTCCAGTGATACTGAAGTTTGCTGAATCACTAATTGTATGAGAGTTCAAGGCTATTTTCTAAACTCTCCTCTCAGGCGCAGATATCGGGCTTAGTCTGAAGAGAACTGATATGATAAACCATATACTCCAAAAGCATTTGCATGATTTACCCATCTCTATAGCCTGTCTTTCAGTTATGGTTTCCACAGTGCCTCACCATGTGAATTAAGGGCACAGTCCAATGCCCCATTGCCCCTGAACTTCCATGGATCCTATGCATGGCAGTGGAAGTGCTGCTTTTATCAAGACGCTTGGTTTGGGCCATTTAGATAAAGCCCCAGGGGGAGGGAGTGAAGGTGGCTGCAAGACCCTGGGCTCAGCCTCCTCCCCTCTCCACCCCAGGCATGTGCCCGAAGCCCAGTTGCAACCTGGGAGGAGGGGCAGCTGGTATGATTGTTTCTACTCCAGCCATGGGGGTGATGGGTCAGGGAACTGTGGTCAAAGGACCTTGATGCTGGGACTCCAATGAATCCTATGATAGCTGATGTCTGGACGTCATAGGATTGAATCCTGAAACAAGTTAGACAACAATAAGGTTGTCAGGGATCCAACAAAGGTTTATTCTAACAGGTTTCCTAACCTCCCTCCCTCAGTGAGTGAATGGGACTGTTTTTTAAACAAACAACAAAAAATGGGCTTCTATTTCAAATGTCTTCAACTAATCACCATAATCTTTGATCTGTTTGCTGCTCTACTATCCATCTCTTAAGTCTATAGAACACCCTAAAGTGAACGATGAAGACAGTACAGAAGAGAAAGAAGCAGCTTTGAAAAAGAAGGCAGTAGAGATCTTTTCGGTCTTGCTCAACCAAGAGGGATGATGTGGGTTATAGTGCAGCATATCTGGAGGGCCCAGGTCAGGGAAGATTGATCTAGCCCACCCTAACATTGGTGCTTACAGCTGTTTCACTCTGAGGCAACTAGAAGTTCCAAGGGGATCTAAACTGGCTCTCTGATAAAAGCACAGGGTTAAATCCTTTCCCCACCCACCTTGTAATGAGATCACAGCCCAATTCCCCTGGCTCCTGTTTAGTAAGCAATAGTGAAGCACACAAGGTCCAATAGTGTGCTTAAAGCCATATCTAGATTAGCTCTATAGTTTGGAAAAGTATTGCAACACATGGCTGCTTCATTGCTTTTGGGTTGTATGTTAACATTGTTTTTCTGTTGAATGTTACAGAAGGTCCAGCAAATATTTGACAAGTTTCTGATTCTGAACTTGTTCTGCTGTAAGAATCATACCAAGCAAGCAGTGAGTTGTGAAAGAAAGCGCAGCCAGGTCAAATGGCTCCCTGTGCTTCCACATGAACTTTAGATAAGATCTGTATTCAAAATATACCTGTATCTATGGCCCTGCAGGCTACCTGCGCACAGCAAGGGAACAGATAAACTCTGTGGCCAACATCTAACACCATGCAAGTGGACCTCCTTTTTTTTACTACAGGTGTTTGTTTTCCCTCCTCCCAACTGCAGCTACTCATACTCTCCTTCCTGCAATCTGCTCTGGATGGTTCCCAAAACCACCGGAGGGCATGTGGGAGGCAACAACGCTCTTTGTTCTGTCAATAGAATGACACTATTGGATTCAACTTTATGCGCACCATAATGGAATCCATACAAGAAACATTAATTTACCATACATCATTGCAAGTTATAGCACAATACTGTGGCAATAAAAATATTTCTTTCATGCATCTTCTTTTTTTAACTTGGAAATAAATGTGAATGACTTGAGCAGGGAGTGCCTGCATCTCCTTCAGCCATTTGTTTTCATTTGTCCTTTGAAACAAAGCTCATAAAAATCAAAGACACATGCAAGTCTCTGGCTAGAGCAATGCATCCTATGATGTCATTGTAAGTGGCACTGAAGGAGCATCAAGCAATCAACATCAGATTGAATTTCCCACAAAACACCTGCTGTTAAAGTGGTACCTGTTTTCCCTTGAAAATGAGACCAACACACTGGGACACAGAATCGGTTTTAGACTTTTAAAAAATGGTACAGTACTACAAAGACAGACACTTAGCTATCAACAGTAAATTACTAATTACAACAGTGAATTGGGGATGGAATGGGTTGAAGAATATGGAAGGCCAGGGTTTGCACTGGAAGCTGAGTTTGAGTTTTCCTTTGCTAAGTGATAAACCATTTCTACTCTATTATGAAGCAAGCATTTCCATGACCTGATTGTAATTCACTAACTTGTCAGATGTTCAAAGGAATATTTCATATTTAGGAACAAGATAGGATTAAACAATGGTTTCAGATCTTGGCTCACTATTATTTGGCCATTACCAGGAACTGTGGTAAATTTAACCACCTCCTGACAGGTTATGAAAAAAGGGGAAGGGAGGAAGGAGCACCGAAGCCTGGGCTTCTAGTGGGAAGCCATTTTTTGGTTAGGCCTGAATAAAGCCTGTTTCTTTTCCTCAGCAGAGATCAAAACTGTGCATATCTATGTGATTTTCAGTTGGGAAACAGTATGAAGGTAAAGGTAAAAGGAGCCTGATACTCTGCTTCAAAGTGCAGCTTCAGCATCTGAACTGTGTTCATGAGAAGAATGTTGCAAATCTCTATCTCATGGAAGACTTAAACGGTGTCATTCCACTTTCAGTCAGGGATAGAGAAGGCAGGCACTGCTGGGCAAGGCATCGCACACCTGGTCAACTCTCAGTCTGTGTTACATGAGCAGAGCAGATTTAGCATATACTTTGAGTATTCCTCAGGCTTGGGGTGTGCAAAAAGTTCAGGATTTACTGTTCTTATATCAACATATCCTGTTTAACACAGCTTTTGTGCACATGGTGACCTCAAGCCGCAAAGGGCTGGCAGGACATTTTAAGACTGATGTACAAATGAAAATGAGACAGTGGAAATTTGAGTTTCTCAAGTATTCTTCTAGTCTAACCAATTGACTCAGTGAGCAGGTGGAAGGGAATGTGAAGGGCTAAAACAGTCATTGCAACAGCAAGACATTTGTAGATGTCCTTTCTGCTTTACAATTGCAGAAGTTTTGTTGAGAATTTTGAGCAAGACAGCAAAAATAGGAAGGTATGCGGCATTTAAAGGGAAAATAAACTAGCTGTTTACAGAGCAGTCTGGTTATTGAATCAAAGTAACAACAAAGTAACAAATTCCCTAATTATAAGAAAAAGACAAAGTATTTAGGTAGGGAAATGCTCCGACCAGAAGAATTAGTCATCATAGTACAAGCTCAGGTAGGCCACAAGGTTCCGATGCTTCCTGAATTCCTTGTCTGAAAGCAACTAAAATACATGCAAGTGTTATAATGGCACAGTAAGGAAATAAATGCCCCAGCAGTTTGCAGTCCAATATATCAATTTCCACAAGGCAAAGAAATTTCCTGGAAAGAAACATAGACTATTGCCTTCTAAAAGCAGCTAGCAGAAGCAAGTTTGTGGCCAAAGTGGATACAACACTAATTATGTGATTGTAATTTATGTATCCAGTTTTTAAAGTTGAATTATAAATATGGGCACCCTGGTCAGTATGAGAACTGTGGTGCACAAGGAGAGTTTAACCTTGTCTCCCTCCCATCCCAGAAGGCTAATCCTAATCTTAATTGGGTGCAACTGGTCATGGAGTTAGAAAGTTAAAAAGAGCACTTTGAGCTCAGAAATGGGTAGAGAAGCAATATTGCTGATGCAGAATTGCTTTTGAATGCACAGACCACTTGCATCCCTAGCAACTCATTTGCTACCATTGCTGCTTCTTGTGTGGATATACTAAAAAAATAATAATCAAAGAATCCAGCCTAATGTTGGAATCAATCAAATTAAGGGCAACACCCATGGCTTGTACAGCTAGGATTTTGTGTTTCAGATAGAACTGGAAATGAGCAGGAATGCTTGTTTCTGAAATGGAGCAGGCAGCAGAGCCCATACAATGGAGTTTCATTTATCTGTTCTAACCTGGAGACAAGCATGTGTGCTCATTTTGTAGCTTTCTTTATGAAGCACAAAAAGGATATCCTGCTTGCAGGACAAAACTGGTAGGAACAGAGCAGCCCCACTGGATAGTCCTCCAGAACCGCAGCCCTTGAGGGAAAATGCTACCTCTTGCTGTAATCAAGAGATCAAACTTTTAATGCCAAAGTAGTCATAGTGACCATTTAGATAAGTGTATTGAAATTTCATACCTCAGTTCTGAAAGTTCTTTTCACTGGTGTTGGTACTAAAGACCAATCTGGGGATCCAAATTTCCCTGGCCAGGTGACATGTCTGTGTGGCATCTTGTTTGGGTCATAAGTTCCAGGTCTACAGAGAAAGATTGAAAGAGAAAAAAGCAAGTTCTTTAAATATGAGACAAATCTGCAATAAACTAACCTGGCCCCATTTACAATGACATTTGCTTGTGCCACACTGAGATGGGTGTGTATTTTTGTTTTATCTTTTATTCTGTCATGGTTGGACTGGACTGGTAAATTTAGGAGTTAGTTTTAAGGAAACATTAACTGCTTCTTTTTCATTCAAAAACAACTCAGGCAAGTTGGCTAAGCTGTCCAAAGAAGACAAAATATGGTGAGGGTAGTGAATCTTTGTAATTAAATGATGAAAAAAATTGATGAACTTAGTTATTAGTCACCACCAAAGCCATGCAAAAATTATGCCTCTTAAACAAAGGATTAGCAAAATAAACTTTGCCCTTGGTGCTATGAATTTATTTTGCCAACTTGCACTATGTTCAAATGAAAATTCCACTCAGCTTGTGATGCAGAATCCAACAAAATACTGGATTCTGTTGATTCTCTATTGCCAAGGAAAGGGCTGAACCAACATAAGGCCAGGGCTCTCTTAAATGAGTCTGCTTTTGTGGAGGCACCTGCTTTTTGGGACAGGTCTGAGTGTTTTGGGGAAGGATCCTAAGGCTGCATGGCCACTGGTATTGCTCTTCTAGAGAGGGAAGTCTTCCAGTGGGATAGCAACCACTCACATTACTAGAAAGCCCAAGTATCCCTGCAGAAAGCATTGTGGGTATGGATGTCTCCCTGGCAGTGTTCTTCCAGTGAAGTTTTGTAAGCAGTTGGTGAAGGCCAAGGGCCCACAGGTTCTGAGCCACCTTGTTCCACTGACATACCCCCATACTGGCCTTAAATAATGTGAAACTAAAACGTCCACGCCAGAGAAGTGGAAGAAAGCCCTGCACCTCTTGCCCTAGCTGTAGCAGTGGCCTTGCCATGGAATCTCCCTGCTTTGCACTGCTAGATTGCTCTGTCCATCATCCTTGGCAACACCATGTGTTTTGCAGGCTCCCATCCTAATAGGCACTTTTATAGTTCTAGAAATGAAAAATAGTACCCAGGGAAAAAGTCTTTGTCCAGAAGCTGCTCTGAAAATCGTTCTGAGTTACTGCAAAATGGCACAGTACCAGGCTTGTACTTGTGGTCTTTGATCCGTATTGTTTGGTATGTTGTCGGGCAAGGAGACACATGCTAAAAATTGAGTATACAGAATGAAATTATGAGACAAACGATATATTGAAGAATCTATAAATGTTCTAACTAATCTCTAGTTTTAACCTGAGTGTGTGAGTGGATCCTTATCCCCCCCTTAGTGGAACTGATTTTAACAGAATTGTTCTGTTGATATTACTATTTTATGGCTAAGCCAAAAAATGATGCAGAAAATGTCCTTTAACCCTTGTCATGACAGTATAATCCAATGCATAGTTAGATGCTCCACTGTGTTCAGTGAGGCTTACTCCTTAGTAAGTGTGTTTCCTGTGCCAGTTAAGAAAATGAGCAAGCTTATTAGTTCATTTACTGAAAACAGCTGAAAAGCAGTTTTATGCTGAACATATGAAGCTGCATTAATTTGAGTCAGACCACTGTTCCAAGGAATTGTCTGCTCTAATTGGCAATGATTCTGTAAGATCTGAGTCAGAAGCCTTTTGTCCCAGAACTTGCTCCGCATGCAAAACACATGCTCTGCCACTGCCCATTCTTATTTATCATTCTCGTCCTTTTAGGCAACCTGGACAGCTGTTCGCCCATGTTCCACCTTGTGCCATTCCAGCAATCAGTGAAGATACATGCAGGTGTTGTTGCACTTTATCTTAAAAGAGGTATCCCCTCCTTCCCATGTAAACCCACCCATCCTTTGTAATTACCATAGTTGTGCATTACTAGAACAATGTGGAACAGAGCAATAGGGAGAGTGGCCGGCACAATGATCCCATCGAAACCCTGAAGAATTTTATTTGTGGCACATCTTTTATGAGAAAAAAGGAAAGGTGAACCAAAAGCAATACCCCAGATATTAAAGAACAATTCCTAGAGTCATCAGAACAAGAAAGAGAAATGAAAGTATGCATTATTATACACATTTTATTCACATAATACAAATTTATGTAATGCATACAATAAATATATTTGATTAAATCAATGCAAGTTTATGGCAGTACCTGCAGAATCTGCAAGAATATGAAGATCCTACCTGTACTGATGAAGTTTGTCCAGATTTGCACCCTGTTAGGGAACAATTAAATTGAGGTTGTGTAGGATTGTGTTCTTTTTTTGTGACTGGTTGAACTGAAGGTCTGTAGGATGGTGCAGTTTGTAACTGTCAGTAACTTTAGCATCTCCCTGCCAGCACCGCAGAGCAGATGTCAATTTGGAGAGAAGTGGTACTAGCACAGATGCTTCATAAAAGCTAAAGCTCTGGCTCTGTACCTAGCACCATGGTCAATATCTTGACCTTCAGGACTTGCATCTCACTCTTAGTAATGTCTTTGATCCTTAATAGATTGAGAATCTATGATATGCATTTCTGTTTTGACAAAAATGAGTATTTCACACATAGAGGAGTTTATTCCAGGAATATTTTGACCAGATGGAGGACCTCACCAGTTAAATAAACAGGGTTTATTTGCATTATGAAAGCATAACACTTGTAATCAGTTTAAACCAATGCTTTGTCAGTTAATCAGACAGATATGTTTTAAAGATCAACTCAAAATCTGCTCATGTTAATCAATAGGAAGATTTAAATTCCAAAAACTATTTTAATAATAACAAAAAACTGTAGAAGGCAAGCACAATCTTAAAAGAGGCATTCTCCCCTGTATGAAAGAGAACAGGGAATACATCTTCTAAGAGGATCTCTGCTGTGACACTTGCGTGTATCATCTAAGAACAAAAAAAGCATGCTTTCCCTCTTTAGAGGTCTTTTTCATATACAAATCTACACAGGCTTTATGGGTCAATCAATAAAAACCCACATGATCAATCAATCAAGTTGGCTTTAATTGGGCAGTACTTATACAAACAAAAGCTATTTTTTCAAAAAGCTGGCAGACGTCTCATTCTGTATGAACTTATGCTTAGTTCATAACAGGTACTAGATCCCACTGTGATTATTGCAGGAGTAACCCAGAGCAGCTATTTATGACCACTAGCCACCGTTTTAAGGACTTGTACTAATCTCATTGACTAAATTCAAGCTAACCCTACCAATGGGACTGCATTTAATACAATTACATAACTATATTGCTCCTAAAAATGCTATCACATGGTTGTTATAATACTTCCTTAGTTGCACATGGTAAGTGTGTCATGAGCAGAGCCAGCTGGAGCCAAGGGTCAGACTAGATGGCCCGGTAGGACTCTTCGGACTAGCTCTGTTTCTATGTTTCTACCTGCATTAGTACAGATTGGTCACTTTATATAATAACTGTCTTACAGTACAGTTTTACAATTCATAAGATCAGGATTTATAGAACAGCATATGATGAAATATGCCTTTACCTTGCTGGGTATTCCAAAACGTGGGGTTGTTCTTGCTCCCATAGTGTACCCTTTAGTACTCTCTGGTCTGTGAGCCAGGAGATACAGAAGTGTAGTCCTCTACGTAGTTAAAAAAGTAAAACAGTAAAATTATTTTAACATGAAAAACCAATGTTCCACTGGTCCGTATATCCTACCCCAACCCAAGGAAAAAGTGCTTTCATTACACAGATGCGTACGAATAGCACTCTGCTATGCACAAAGAAATTCTTACAAGGCAAAAATACATTCAGGTTTTTTCTCTTAAAATGTCTCTTTTTCTAGTGCAAATTGGCTGCACTAGAAACTCAATAGAGGACCAGCAGGGGGGAGAAGGCTGCTTAACTCCGTATTTGTCAGTTACTTTTTCTTTCAAAATCTTCACTCCTGTGTCTGCTTTTATTGATAAATATAGAAAAATCACAAATTTTCCACAGTATGGGGAGGCATTTTCTTAATCTCTTGGGGAGTAAAGCATCTTGGGGGAGTGGATTTTCAGAGGAAAGATGGTGGGCATGGAATAGGTTAAGCAGTCCCTTCTACTCTTGCATCTTGCTTCTAAAAAGAAAGCAGCCTGGGAAAAGAGTTCCAGAAGCACACCAATGTCTATTTTTACCCTCACTGTGAGTCCAGATTGCAACTAGTATCAGGAACAGAACACCCTCATTCAGCATCCTTTTAGCAATGGGATATACTGTTTATCTCATCACCACTAATATAATGTGTGTACTCCTGAAGAAAATAAAGACATTAAAAAAGAAAATGTTTCTCTCATTTACACAAAAGTTAATAGTAAAACTGAAGGGGAGAATCTGGAAGATGTTGTGGCAGAATATTCTCCCCTACCAATGAAACTGATAACAAATTCAGGCATACACATATAAATAAATACTTCAAATTATCTAAAAAATATCACTGTTTATTCCTATTATTTGAATTCCAATATGAACATGTGGCTCTGAAGCTGGTAGTATAAGAACATACAAGATAGCATTTTGACTCTCTTTATCATGTGTTTATTTAGCTTTTGTCTGGTATTGACCAGTTAGGTTTCGATCCTTATATTTAGCTTCATTAAGATAATATGGAATAAATACGAGCATATTTAAATCTCTCCTAATTCACTTGTGGATGACAGTCCCAGATAACCCAAAGAACAGATATTATATATTACTTATTATATTTTATATCTATTATTTAATATTTATTATTCACATGCCAACACCGTCTAGCAGATTTGGCTCACCGGCTTTTGAGAACACCTGGGGCAGGCACCCTCAATAATCCCTTGCCCTCAAGGGATTATTTTTGCCCTCTTTCTCCTCAGTAGGCTGAACTTCTTAGAACCCTTGTGACTATCTGCTAGGACTCCACCTCTTGCTCTTCACTTAGTTGCTCTGCAGGCAGAAAGCCAGTGAGCAAGCAGCCTGTGGCAGCTCCCGCTCCCTCTTCTCCCCACCCCAAAGCAAGAGACGGGCGAAGGTACAGGTTGCATGGCGAAGAGGAAGGGCGACTCCCCAGGGCTGCCGACAGTGGCTCTTCAGTGAGTGCCTAGGCATGCCTTCTACTGATGCCAGATTTTACAGGGGAGAGATGGTTGTATTTAATTAGAATAGATGTGATGCAACTGGGGATAGGTGGACTTCTATGGGAAACAGCTTAACTGATAGTAAAAGTGCTCAAGTTCCCTTCCTTACTTAAAAGTAAAGATTGAATACAGCCAGGTCAAATGATGCATAGCTTACTTCTCCATGGTTATAAGCTCCAGGTCCACGATGAGGTTCACCTCTAACTGGTACATGCTCATTCCCTAACCGGTCTGGTGCATAAGAAAAGGGGAAAATTCTCTTGTCTTGGCATGTTCCAAATGAAGTTCGTTTCTGTGCCTCTGCAAAGCCCAATGATAGAGTGTCAGTTCCTCATCCTGTCTCACAGTACTTGCTGCAAAACTACAGATACAAAAAACAGATGGTGAAATGAATCCTCTCTGTATTGCATGAGTCTTACATTCTTCTATGCAACATAAACTGATGTTGGCCCTTGATCATTTGCTGCCACTGGCAGGGAACCACTGAAGGCCTTTTCAGGTGGCGTGCTGCTGGGATCTGAAAGTTCCTGCCCAGCATCAGACACACAGCATGGATGCTGCTCCCCTTCTTGTTCATATAGTTGGCAGAGACTGGCAAAACCAGTGTGTTGATGTGTGGCATGCATAGCTCCCTTCAGCAGGGTGAAACAGGGATATGGACAAGAAAAGAGTGCCTTTCTTTCTTTGAAACAGCTGCTGCATGAATTCAGGTCACGTGCTTCAAAAGCCAGCCCAGATGAGATGGGAGTGAACTGGGAACAAATCATTCTGAAAGAATCCACGCAATGCAGGACACCAACTTCTACATAAACAATAAAATTAAATGAACATGCAAGGCGATGGTCATGTTGGAAGTAACCGGTACTGCATAAGCAATAGAATGGGGCTAGGGGATAGCCTTTTTTTGTGCAGGGAGAATACACTAGAATAGCAAATTGCAAAACTGAAGAATTCAAACAGCAGCCCCAGAGCAAAACCGCTCTACAAGCCTGAAACAGGGTAAGAGAGAAAGAGATGCTCTTGGTCCAAGGCGAACAGCTGCCCACTGTGCTGCAAGGCAGCCCCAGCGCTCTTTGGGGGAAGGAGAGTGCGCGCGGCCTGGTCTGGCCAGGTGAGCCGCTCGCCGCACGCTCCTCCGGGCCAGTCCCCGCCCGCCTCACCTGTGAGCTCCCACGCCAGCGGCCGCTGCCCCGACAGCATGTTGAGGACGCTCTTCATGTGTGTCATGCCCATTAGTTGCCATGGAAACGGGGCCGGGCTGAACTCTTGGTGACGGCTCGGATCCAATGGGAGGTGCGCTCCTAAAAGTGGCTGCTCCGACCCGGGGCTCCTAGAAGTAGCTGCTCCGATCGGGTGGGGAAAGTTGGGAAGAGAGGGATTTGTGTCGTTATTTTGCAGCGCTGGCGAGCGAGCGAGCGAGCGAGCACTCGTTCAATCACACACTCTTCGTACGTGTCCGTACACGGGCGCACACGCAGGGAAAGGGATCCATGTCTTGTATCTTGTTCAGTGCTCTTTCTTTTTCCTCCCCCCTGTTCATGTTGCTAAGGCAGAGCACTGGTCCGTTACAGCTCAGGCTGCATACGCTGACTGGCAACAAACCGAGAGAAGGGGTACGTTTTACATAGCCCGCTATTTTAAAATGACTTGGAGAGGTGGGAGACACTCAGTCCTTGAGAAGGCGCCGTCCTGGCCCTTTTTTCATAAAGGGTTTAGGCCCAGATGTACAGGTGGTTAAGCAAATGGAAGGAGAAAGCTTTGAGCAACTGCAGAATGTTTTTCTCTCTAACATCTTATTTGTGGGTTTCCTTGAGGCTTGGGCCACTGTGTAAACAGGATGCTGACTTGTGGACACCTGCCTGATCCACTGTGGCTTTTCTTATTTTGCGGACAATTTCCTGGTGAATGTGAGCTTTTCGGTTGTTGGGTGTGATTGTGTTTCCAGTTTTATTTCATGGGCACTTCTTATTTAAACAAAACAAAACATTTCTACTGTTGGAAGTGGGCTGGTTAAACAGTATTATTTTTCTTACTGTTAAAAAATAAAGAATGTTGGTTTTATTAGCACTGAATCTGTAACTAGTTTATTCTCCATGGGACATATCATGCTGTGAGACCACTGAAGTATTGAAATATTGTGTGTGTGTGTGTGTAGCTTGGAGATCAGACTTATCATTAGGCCTTGTAAGCAGTGAGAGAGAGAGATGTTGTGGAGAAGATCCTAGTCCCTTTTCCATAGCCAAACTATGGTGTTTTTAATACAGCTGTATTAAAAGCTTCCCACACAGCTTTTAATACAGTTGTGTGGGAAGAAACAGTAATGGCAGGCAACTACACGCATTTTCTTTATGCTTACCATCCAGTTAAAATGCACAGGGTAAGAAAAATGTAGGGCTGATATGTAAATCTTTTTACTTAAGGGAAATATGCTTAAAGACAAGTTATTAAAGACAAGTTATTCCAACATCTGCAAGAAGAATTTTAGTGTATTGAGAGGCATACATACTTACATAGAAAACAGACATTAATTTATATGTACCTATTGGGAAATCTAGGGATGGCATACCAGGAATTCTCTAAGGTTGGGTTAAGCTCATTTATACTTGACAAATGCCCCACTGAACTCAATGAGACATATCTGAATAGATATATATAAGATTACATTGCAAACTTGTCATTTTAGACCATTTTTTTCATGCGAGTGCGTCTGGTCAAAGTTTGGGCATGCTCTCATGAAGCACTTGGTGCCTGTTCTCATGGGGATTCAGATTCTGAGGCAGAAGGGAAGATTGTCGGTCGAATGGTCCAACTGCAAAATGAGTCTCGAGGTCTTGGCAGCAGACGGGGGTTGCCAAAGGGAGAGACTAGCACAAGGACACTTGGGCATCCACAGCAACTCTCCCCTGGGAAAGTTGGAGAGTTACTACCCCCAGGGCAGGATGTGGAAATGGAGACAGTCTCAGAGCAACCTGAGCCTGGGCAAAGTGTCAAGGTGAAACGACAAGGCAGGATACTGAAAAGGCCAGTCTCTCCAATAGGGAGCCCAAGGACATTGACGGGGTGGTTAGGTGCCAAAGCTCAATTGGGGGCGTAGAAGGAGAAATATCAACAAACATGATTCAGCAGTGCCCATCCTTCTGGGTTGGCACACAGAAAGGTTCACAAGGGAAGCTTTGAATATTGAACAGTAGATGGGGTTCAAACATTTTGCTGGTGTATGCTCAGAGGTTTTGTTTACTAGCAAAAAAGATCACTAAATAAAGAAACGCTGATGTGCCACTTGTAGCTGTTGAAGGGAGACAAACCAGATCATGACAATTTTGCTTTAGTTGGGGACAGCAGAAAAGCAATGGCTTGTATCCGGTATCAGTCTAACTTAAGTCCCATTCATTTTATTCGGTCTAGTATAAGTAGGACTAACACTGGATATGAACCAATATGCTGCTGTTTCATTTACACGTGTTTAGGCTTGGTTACAAGCTTAGTTGCAGTAAGGCAAGGAAAGTGGGGGATTAAACCAAAGGCTTTGTGAGCAGTCCAGGACCAGTGCTAGTTTAGCATCTCTTAAGAGATTCTTCTACCTCTAACCTCATCTGCTTTTTCTCTGCTCCTGCCTCCTTAATGTCTTTTCCTTGATGGTACAACCCACACTGCAGTGGTAACCTCAGCAGTGCTGTCACCTGAGGACCAACACTTTTCTGAACCAACCAAACTGCATCTCCGTTACCACCTGTCTCTTCTCAGTATCTCTGTCACTCGAAATTTGTCAGCCTCTGTCCTTTTCTGTTCACTTCTGTCTTGAAAATCCTTTGTTCAGGATTACTTTATATAATGCACAGCACCTATGTTAGCACTATGTAAATATTACACTTGGGTAGTGGGTCTGAACTTGACTTCTGAAATATTGAGAAGTATGAAATCACTCTGAGAAAAAAGGCATACTAAATAGATTCTATTGACCAGCAATGCAGTCATATCTACTTCTACTCAGGCATAAATGCTAGTGAATTCAGTGGTATTGTATCCCAATACTGGTGATGTGACAACACCACCCATTGCACCTGAGGGCCACAGACAAGAGGGCAGGTTATGTTGCGCATAAAGCTCTAACCAATGCCATTCCACGGCTCCCTTCTCTAAGCCTCTGCTACCTGAAGCAGCCATTCCATTCAGCTTTGGGTGCCAGTCGGGATAAATAGAGAAAAATTCAGAGTGCAACCTATACATGTCCACTCTGAGGTAGGGCCGGCTCTGAGGATCAGGTTTTTAAATAAAACTGTAGACCTTCTTCATCACAGCTTCTTGGACCTGTTATAACAGGAGTCATCAGTCTTTTGGATCTGTGGGTATATTTAGGAATTTAGAAATTTGAGAAACTGATATGACCACCACCACAAAAGGGCTCTCATAGAGGATGTGGCCAGTCCCACAGTAGCCATCATGGGGGTCTGGCTAGTCAAAAGAGATTTGGTGGGGAGAGAGAAAAAATGAGGCTAGAGCTGGAGAGTTGAGCAAAAACTAGATTTAAAAAGGCGAGCGGGAGAGAAAGAAGGTAGCTGTGGATGGGGAAAAGAGAAAATAGTGAGGAAAGGGACTGGATGGAGAGAAATTACAAGACTAGAGAGAGTGAAGAAATAGAGAAAGGCCAATGGGGAAAGGTCCGTGCAGATGGAAGAATATTGGTGGGACCAGGAAACATCTCCTTCCTCTTCTTCTTTGGAATGGCTGATCTTCCTATTCATGAACATGCCATAGGAGATCCTAGCATCCTAATATGCTTCAAGTTTTAAAAATTAAAAATAAAAGTTTGAGAGGGGCAGGTAATGGAGACCTTCATGGGTGTCGTTGGAGATGTCATGGATGCACTGACTCCCCTATCCCTAGGTTACAGCTGAACAGCATTTACATTGCTTACCTCGGTGAAATTTACTTGGCATGGTACAAACGGTGTTTCAGATGTTCTGGGGTTGACCAGCATAATAGTAATAATAGGGATTAGAATAGTGATTGTTTCCCACTCATCAAATCAACATTAGCTTTCAAAAGCAATATGGTTTTCAAGTATGACATCATACATGCTATAGAACTGTTACCCTGGGATTCTAATTATGACATATTTATGAAATAGTACAGGGTTAAATTGTTAAATTCTATGAGTTACAAAGGTTTGGGTTTACTCAGTTTATATCACACCTGAGTAGGGCTGTCCCAAGACATTCTTCTGCCCAAGGCAGTCTGTCTCCCACCCTGCAGGTCAAGGTGCTTAGTACCCAGCACTCTCAGCTAAATAAGATGACTCAAGACTATTTTGCTGCTCAGCTGTGTTGCTTTTCCTTGGATGGTAAATGCAGGATGTTTATATGAGATCCCGATGCTGTCACAGGAATTTTAGTTGTATTTTCTTCCATATAGAATAGTTAATCAACAGTCAGAAATATGCTTTTAAAAATGGGTTTTCCCAAACTTTTAGGTAAAAATCTTTTCCACAATGGAAGAGAAATACAGGGCTAACTCAGTTTTAAGGGCAGTTACACATTCCAAAGAAGTGAGTCAACAAAATGACAGAAATTTTGTTAGTGAGCACTCCAAACGAGCTTAGCTTACATAAATCTGTGCATGATTGCACAGAAAAAAAATCTGATACTTTCTACAGTCCTGCAGTCAGCATGTGGGATTTCTTTCTGTATAAACATGGATATAATTGTGGCCTTTGTTGTTTCCTTGTGTATTGGGAATGGCAGATGCTCTTATGGACCCTATGTGTATTTGCATTGATAGGAAAAAGAACTAATATCCTTAGCAAGCTCCTTTACTTTGTGTGTCTTCAGAGCTTTTCACTATATTTATTTGATTGTGAAGGACCATGGAGGAGAAGTGTACAGAAGAAGTGTGCTTTGACTAGTTGTTCTGGAGTGATTTCAGCTGTTACAGATCAGTATTTGGTATGCAACACTTTAAAGACAAAGCAGCAGCTCCTTTGAGTTCCATTCTTCCAAAATCAAGCCATGAGCCTTTTGCTATGGGCATTTAACACATGCAGATCTTGAAATGAAGCCTCCAGCTGCCTTAGGATCCTGTCCCTCTTTGCATCTTCACCTTCCCCCATATGTCCTTAGTAGCTCACACTTGAGTTACGCTGCTTTAGCATCATGACTCTGGGCTTAGAGGAGGGGATAAGTATCCATCCAGCACAATGACTGTAGTTCACATATACTTGCAAATTAGTTTCACAATCCTATGCATGTTTATGTACAAGTAAGTCACCCTGTGTTTAATGACACTCATTCCCATGTTCAGACAGAAGAAAGGACTACAACCCCCAACGTGCAGCCATGAAGCCTGTATTTCTGTCTGCACATGTATAGACCTGCGCATTTAGCTTGCTAGCTGCTGTTCCAATGAAGGAATCTTGTGGGCAGATAACATTCCATTACAGATCAGAAGCCCCCAGAGCAATATATTATGGCTAATTAGATGTGTCTTCCAACAAAGACAAAAATAACCATCTATTTAAAGCGAAAACAAACAAACAATTATATAATTCCAAAACATTTTCATAAACTAGGACAACACACTAGGGTTTATCTTGCATGTTTTGATTGCTTTATTTGCTGTCATGAAAACGAATTTGCAACTAAGAGCTGAAGAATCTGATTTTATGCCCAGTTACAGCAGCTGCAGCTTGGATCAAAGACTAAGCCAGCCTGGCAATGCTGCTCATAGGTCTCTCCATTCAGACAGTGCCAGAAAGCATTTTTGTTGCCAGCTACAGGGTACAGACCACTGGCTTTGCCAGCACAGAAACCACTGCCACTTCCAGAGCTGCCACCGCTGGAGCCGCTGCTGCCAGAGCTTCCGCTGCCGCTGTCGGAACCGCTACTGGGAGCTGCCGTGATTGGAGGATTTGGCTGAGCAGGGGCTGTGCAGCCTGAAACAGAAGTGATGATCACAAACTTATACATCAGATCAGCACTTTATTCATTCTCTCCCGGGTATTCCGAATTAATAGTCAGAACCTTATGAAAGCATGGCAACTTGGGGAAACAAAAGGTCTTGACAAGTTTTTTTTGTCCCTCATTCCCAAAGAGATAAGCCAGACTTGTGTCCTTGCTGTGTCACAAAAAGCAAAACTGATTTGATTATGATTGCTCTGGACTGCTGCTCCATTTACTTGAAGCTGCATGAAACCTTTGCATCTCTTCTCAAACCCCACCATTGCTTTGAAGACCTTGGCTCAACCCTTTAGCCCCCATTCTCTGATGTAGCCTCCCGCAACCTGGTATGCTCCAGCAGTGTCAGACTACAATTCCCAACATGCCTCATTTGGAGGGCAGCTGTTTGGGGATGTCTGCTCTGATGTAATCAAGCCCATGTACTTGTAATTGAAATGACTGCACATTCTTTTCTCCCAGTTTAGCCTTGCCTAACTTCCTTCTGTTGCTTTTCCTGTATTCAATGTTAAGATTGTAAGCTCCTCAGGGCAGAAAGCTATCCTTTCGTACTCTGTAAAGCACCATACACTATAATGAATAAATAATGTATTACTGGTGTAAAGTGTATGTAAAATGGTGTATTATTGCTCATTGCACACTGAGCCTTCCACTAATTATGTTGGGGCATGAGAGAGAGAGACAGTTGCAGAAACTTTCATGGACAAGCAGGAATTTGAACCAGGACTTTCACATCCAGGTTTAACCTTCTAGCCTACTGTGCCGCTGAGGAGCTCAATGATGTATCGAGAAACTGAAAAATGTTATAAGAAGTATGCACCCTCTATTGTATGTGACACGGCTTGCATGCTTGAGCCATTTGTGTGTATTTCCTAACAGTATTTTATGTCCCACTAAGTCTGTGTTGTATCACCACTCAGAATATGCTGACCAACTACTGGAAAATAATTATTCGTTTAAGGAAGCTCTTTCTGTTTTTACTTACTGGCGCTTTGAAGTCCAAGGGCATTCTTCAGAGAGTTGATCAAGGGGTATTTGCCTTGGTTGCAGAAAGTTCCAGTGAAATCATCCAAGTCAATGGCCCAGACCATGGCACCTCCAAAGTTGTTCTGCTTCAGCCATTGAGTCTTTGAAGAAGGAAACAAAAATGTAGTCCCAAAGCTACAGAAAAAGAGATACTGGTATACGGATTCCCCAAAGGGAATGTATACACTTGTGAGATTGGATCTTACTGTACCTTAATATTAAAGCTCTTGATGTTGTCATAACCAAGCCACTCATTGCCTTTGTAAGCATAAGGGACATCTTGAGGAGCATCCCAAGCTTGAGTGGCTCCGTTCTTCAGGAAAGTGCAGATCTGCAAGGGGAGGAGCACACAATAGCTGAAATGCACCTGATGGCTGCGAGTGGCAACACATAAAAATGGTTTTTGATAATAAACATGGCAAGAAATTGCATTCATTGGAGTTGAATTGTGCAGAATTTTTCTAGCTTGTGAACTTGAGTCTGAAATTGCTTGTTAGAAGGATTCAGTGTCTTCCATGAACCTGTAATCTACTGTCCAAAACTGAGTGCAATTTAAATACAGAGTGAGATGGGTGTTGTCTTCTAAGAAGGAATTTTGAACCTTATGAATTCAGAATTCCGATTTCATATGCTGCCTCCAAACAAAAAATTGTGGTAATTCATTTTGTGCATGTCTATGTCTTATTACTTTACATTAGGCAGAATATGTTAAAGCAAAACACTGCCAGTAGCTTACAATCTACAATACTTTTCCAGAAGCATAATTTCAGAATAGTAGCCATTGTAGTCTGGTGGCACTATAGCAATTATATGGTTTATGTATACATGGAATCTCATAGCTAATTATATTTTATAATTATAATTAAAATGCATATTTGCAAAATTTGTATTGAAAACTTTACATTACAAAATGGGCTAACAACCCATTATAAATCTAGGCTTTTCTATGCACTCCTGCAAGCTTTATCCACTCCTGCTAGGGTGGCTGCTTACCTATCCCCCTAGAAAAAGAACTGCATCACCCCAAAGGAAGAAGAAACAGATTTGCATAAAATGTGCATGTGTTAATTTGTGTGTATATGCACATGTTCAAATAATTGCTATAATTAGCGGCTTCATAGGAAAAGCACTGACCAAATAGAAAACTGTCCTCTGTAAAGTGGGACATGGGCTACCTTACCTCCTCCAACCCATTTTCTGTGCAAAAGGATTCCTCGCCTCTCCCCTCTAGGGTATAAGTATGCCATCTGTGATGTTTATGATGTCTTGAGGCAAAGTTCTCAGTGATTGCCATGGAATATAACCTGGTCTTCCTGCTGCTGAAGACAAAAATCCCTCTAATTCCAAGCGTAGGAGAGTGTCACATACCTCATAGTAAGCCCAGAATCCGGACTGTCTTGTGTAAGGTCCTGCAGGCCCAGGCCCAGATGTGGGAGCACCAATGGCAGTATTGGATGGGTTGGAGAGAATGAAGGTGTGTCCATAAGTTGGGAATCCAACAATGAGCTTTTCAGCAGGGGCACCGTTGTTCTTCCAGTAGTTCATGGCATAGTTCTAGGGATGCAGAGATGAAAGTTTCTCTAGGGACTTATTGGTGATGTTCACTTGAATCAAATGTACTTTTTTCTAGAATATTGATTATTAGTTAATTACTCTCCCTCCCTACTCCAAATAAGCCATTTTTGAGTTGTGTCTCCCCAACTTAAGGGGATTAGACAGATTCATGGAGGATAAAATTCTACATGGCTTCTAATCACGATGGATGCCTCTGACTACCAGTTCCTGGGCAACAACAGTGGGAGGGACTATTTCCCATCACATCCTTCTTGTTGGTTTTCCATAGGAATCTTTATTGAGACACTTATGTGGCTATAAGTGACTGAGAGAGCATAAAAATAAACTCACAACATTGAAGTAGATGTTGCTACCAGTGTCAGTGGGACTTCTATACAGAGGGCTGTTCTCACCGGTGTATCCCTCCCAGGAACCATGGAAGTCATAGGTCATCACATGGAAATAGTCCAAATACCTGTGTGGGACCAAAGAGTGGAGCAAAATGGAGTTCAGGGTTTACTTTATATGTGATCAGTTTGCTCACTTGACAAGGTGGCAACTTGAACAGTGATATCAATAATGCTTATCTCTGCAGCACTTTAAAAATATGCAGAAAAATATTTTTCTTTATTTGATACATATTTGATTAATTAGTGATTCATTTAAAAAGGCACACAAACAAGCTAAGAAGGAAATAATACAATTAATTTGGTCTTAAGTTCAGAGCATTTGTATAACCTTTAATTATAGGAGATTCTGTTCATGTAGGTTGGAATCCTGCACAAAAGATTCTTCCAAAGAGAATCTGGATTCACTTTAAATAAGGGATGATATCCATGGCATGGATTAGGCAGTTTGTTGCTCAGGGCCTGTCTTTCCCAACTTGATGCCCTCAGTGTTTTGTGATAAAGTTTCAAAGATTCCCGATCATTGGCTATGCTAACTTGGACTGATAGGGTGGCAATCCACAACATGTGGTTGACCTAGGCACTATTACCATAGTTTTTGGAGTCTCGAAAGAGCCTTTCTCCATTGCTCCTATCCATACAGCTGTGCTGGTTAGTTTCCCTATATTGATAGGGAATATATCCCTATATATCATGTTCTCTTATCACATAACATGTAGCACTGCTTGTTTAATGCTCCTGAACATCATTGTTTGCTAGTCTTTCTGCTTCTATGGGAGTAGGGTCTTGTACTGTTTTATCTTCCCTTTGTCTTACAGCAATCCGCCCAGCCTGCTGTCCCGAAATGCTTGAAACATTGAGGGTCTAGCTGACTGGGAGGTTTTGCAAAATGATGGACAAGTGTTGGAGCCAATCCAACTCTTCCTTATCTCCATCCTACTGATAGGTCATCTTGGCTGCCAGAAGGCTGTGCCCTCATCTCACCAGGTACACACACTTTCAGAGTCTGTGGTCAGATTTTCTTGCCTGAAAAAGCTGCTACGACCATAGGTTACAGCCATGATACACTCCAAGACCAGAGGATTCACTTGGACAGTAACTCATGGGGTACCATGGAGCTCTCGCTCTCTGTTTTAAGGAGTTCTGGAGAAGATCAGTACGCTTCTGGGAAAGGACAGAGCTGAGGGATGAGATTGTGACACCCTATGTCATCCTCTTTCCATTTATTGCTGCATCAAAATTGCTGCTCCCTATGAAATAACGATCTAAGCTGCAGCCTATAGAATGCTGCTTATGTAGCACCAAGAAAGAGGAAATGCATCCCCCAAAAGGAGAAAAGTGGGTGCCAATTTGCATTATATTTTCATATGCAAATTTAAATAAACATTAACATTTTCATAGGTGCAAGTTTAGAAATTATAACTATGATTTAAGTAGGAATGTAAGACATCACAGCAAAGTGGGAAGGATTGACTAGGTGACCTGCATGCAGGTACTGACTGTGGGTGAGCAGCGAAGGCTCCCCTCTCCTGTCCCTCCCGGCGGGGTTCTTTTAAACCAGAAATCAGATGTGGACTGGATAGCCCATCAAGCAGAGAACACCTTCAAGCAGAGGTCTGACCTCTGTTAGCTTTCTAAAACCGAGATCTGGCTTCTGTAAAATAGGACAACTGGCCACCCTAGACTTGCTTAGGGCCATCATGCACAAGCCCATCTGAAATTATGGTACTCACTGGCCAAGCTGAGGAATTTGGTAGCCTGCCTGAATGTTGGAAAGTCCTGCAGCCACAGCAGCAGTGACCATGAGCCTGGGTTTATTTGTTTGCTGGGCCTCCTGCTCAAAGGCTTCCCGCATTTCCTATGGAAAATAATACATGTATAAATCATTTCTGTACCACTATATATAGTTACACACTCTTACTTTATCATGATCTCTGCTATATATTGTTATTTATGTGCAGTGAGACGTTATAAGGGTTTTAGCATGTCTGATTTAAATTACATTTAAAGAATTAAATTTCCTTAAAAGGAAGTCACATGAACTCATGGAAGTTTTGTTCGCATACACCCACACACACTGAGCATCAGATGGGAGTTTGTAGCATTAATGGAGTCCTGTTTCCTATCCTAGGGAAAACCATAGCGCCATAGATTTTTGCTACAGAGAATAAAATCATGGTGCAGCACAGACTGCTCAATAATCCATTTGCTTTCTTTGTTATTACCCCAAAAGAACAAGCCACCATCTGCAAGTGATGTAAATTAACTTTCTAGACTACCCACAGCTCTGTGCTCAAGGGCAAAGCATCCCTGAGTCCTTTGCTCAATGGGAAGGACAAGAGCCAGGATACATGCCTTCACCTGTTTGTGGCTACCCATGGTTTTTTTTAAAGCCCAGGTGCCTGTGACATGTGAGCCAGGTCCCTGAGTCATGCTGGCAACTGTAATGTAAGAAGCAATGCTTCATTGCTTGGACTTGGACATGCCCAGTGGAATTTTTTCCTTTTTTTCTTTGAGCAGCAGACCTCTGTGTAATAAACAGCTTTTGAAAAGCATCTCAGTTGAGTGAGGATGAAAAGCAGTTTGTCATGTGGAACAGGAGCTGCTGTTTGAGAAATACAAGCTTCCTTGGCTATGCAGAACCAACTTTGCGGCTCACTGGATCCCGGACAGTAATTAAATGTTTGCTCTCTGGGGTGTTTTCTATTTGGTTTTTGCTCATTTTAAACACATTGGCTAATTCTAGCTTTTTGTAAAGCTTTCTCTGAGCAAAGACTCCCTAAATGGAATCTTTTCAGGAAAACATGAGATCCTTAGATCTTAAGGGGGAGAATTTAATCTGCTCCTTCCCTTGTACTTGATAATGGTGCTTGCAGTAATTCTGCTGCAAATGTTCCACCATGTAACTAGCATCTATTTGAACTTATTTAACTGCAAATTCTGAAGGTGATAGACTATCCCACATACCTTAACCAGAACAGGAAGAGTTCCTTATCCTGAGCTGGGCTGCCTCGAGATCCAGGGTACTCCCAGTCAAAATCCAGCCCATCAAATTCATACTGACGCAGGAATTTGATGACTGAATTGATAAAAATCTGGCGGGTTGCAGAACTGGAAACCATTGCAGTGAATCTAGAGGAGGGGAGGGGAGGGGAGGGGAGAATGATGAGAAATAGCTTTGACTTGCACTCAGGAAAGCCACTCTGCAATAACAAATGCTATATTTGTTCTTGGTATTGTTTGTTCTTGGTATTAGAAACCTCAAAGGGCCATCCATTCCAAACCTCTTTCACAAGGCATGAGTCTCCCCACCCTCCCCACCAAAGATCAGCCCACGTAATCCTGAAAATTGTGTGCCACAATTGTATATTGAGAGTCCAGATGGCAGGTATCAAAGAACGAGTAATGGTAGAAAGCCCTAGGAACTGAACCAATTCATATGCACAAGGAAGCATGAAAAATGTCCTGTGCGTCTAGGAAATTCCACTTGCATCCCAAATAGTGGTGATGAATATTCACTCTCTGAGTTTTTGAGTCAAACCTTTCCACAGAGTCTTTCCAAGAAAATTATTATGGGCTTACGGTGCTGTTCCAAAATTCCATCCTCCAATAGCCAGAAGAGTCTTCAGTTGCCCATTCCTGTGCAAAGGGAATTAACAGAACCTGAGTGCAATTCTATATTCTTTGATTCAGCATTTTAATGATGAATATATTCCTGAGGCAGAAGGGAACTGATTGTACTTTAAATAATGACAATGCCAACTTCAGTAAGGTTATTCACAGAAGACATCCAGGACAGGACTCGTTTTACTTCAAAGAGAAAGTGCTGGAAATTTACAATTTGTTTTGCCTTTCTTTTCTCAAAAGGTGGAGGCTGGACATGGGCGACACAGTGTTATTTTCAGAATATTTTATGTCCTGTCTCTTTTCTTGGGGATCCAGTCCGAATGATGGGCTGTCATCATCATGCAAAGCATATGCAAGATTTGCCGAAAAAATATATTGGAGGAGGTGGGTCATTAGAACAAGTTGAGAGGCTCCTGCTCTGACAGAATGGTGCATTTTAATGGATTCAGTTGCTTTAAGTCACTGGAGAGGGACATCTAACTCCAGCTCCAAGGAAAAGCCCAGAGCTACACACCTGAAGGTGATATATTTTGAAGGATTTCACCCATAACCATGGTGACTAAGTCATGGGGGGGGGGCTTTCACACTTATTTGCTGTGTTAAAATTGTATTTGCACACAACATGGATGGCTATGAATTCCACAGTTCAATGGAATTGAAGCGGTATTGCATTTTCTATGCGATCAAATCCCTGGTGATGCCTGGTGCATTCTAGGTATGTTAGTTTTTGACTACAGTGGCTTCATTTAAAAGGATTCATGGTTCTTCGGTGTTAATTATGCAGAAACGTGTGGTTCAGAGTTGATCCACAGACTGCCTTAAACCAGGAACAGCTTGACATTGGGCTACTTACTGGTTCTTCAGTCCATTGAAGGATTTGTAAAGGGTCACATCATTCCATTCAATTGTGGTGATCTCATTGTTCTTCATGCCAGCAAATGCATAAATCAACTGGGTACACAGGCATGGGTCGATGTTATCAGGCATGAAACGTCCAGCGCCTGGTCTGTACTGGGCCCAGTTGGTAAAATAGCATGTCAGCTGGTAGGCAAAGCCTGTGATTAAGAGAAAAGCAGAGGTGGCAGTAGGATCCTACATTCCAAAATCAACCATGGTGATCCATAAAATAGAAAATGTCTTTAAACATGGATTAGTTGGCTACACCACTGAGTCCAGGCAATTGGTTCTGAGGCTCCATGAAGAGCAGCTGTGAGATAATTATAGCATGGGCTCAGCTCTCAGTACCGCTCTAAATCTCTTAAAGTCATATTGCGATAGAGTGGCCATGTGTCCTACTTTATAAAGAACAGTTGATGTCAGGTAGGGCAGTGGCCTTGAAGTTGTCCACCAGCAGTTAACAGCTGGACAGGAAAACGGGCAGCAGGCACAGAAGCAGCGGTTCACAGTCCTCCCAACTTATAGTGAGATGAACTGCGTTTTCTGTTAAAATGGTGATTGTTTCTGAATGTGTATTTCTATCTGTATAATGGGCACTGCAAATTTTATGTAAATATGTTCCTCTTTTTTTAAATAACGTGTAAGTAGCTACCGTAAGTGAAGATGGGTGCAATGAATGAGGATTGTGCTGTGCATGTTGAAGCATTCATACAATCACTTTACTACTATCTGTGGAATCTCGATTCATGTGAATTAAATCTCAGGTTGGAGATAAAGTATTTTGAGCACTTAATTTTCTAAGGCCATAGTGTAGATAATACTAGGCCATGCTTAGTTAGCGGAACAGCCAACTTCTAAAATTTATGCAGTTGTTCTTCAGGTGGAATGAAAAAGTTAAAGTCTGAAATTAGCTGACATTATCTCAATTGTATAGCGTATATAGTCACATCAGGATCTTGGCAGAACATAATTTTAAAAATATTTTTCGGCTCTCAAGGCAGGAAGGAATCAGCAAAGAAAGCTAATAGAAAGAAGAGGGTACAGACCATTAATACCACTACATTTCCATTGCTACATGTAGAACTGCTGCACAGGTTATCTTCTCACTTACTTTTATCTCATGAATTGAGAATAGGCAGATCTGTACTTTTCAGTTAGATTGATTTACCTGTTTTGGAAATTTTTGTTCTACTTCCTAGTAAGAAAACCCGTGACGTGGTGTTGAAGTGGCACTGGAGATGTTCACGCCCATTATTTTGCGTTCTACAAACTCATTACTTACCCAGCTGAGCATTCAGCAAAAGCACCAGACCTATGAGAGAAACATAACATCAAGAGGTAAGCCCCTGGAAGGGGATGTAAAATAGTATACTGTTTATAGCCTAAAGGTATTTAAATAGATGTTGAACCCTAAATTTTTTTATACTGCATAATAGCATCTTCCTGATATTTTACATGAGAAAAAATAGCTACATATCATGAATATTTACTAAAAATACTGTTGAATTTTTTAGTGAGAGTGCAGAAGGAGCAATGTACAATATCATTTGCAGGAAAAGGCAATCATCTGGATGTTTTTCAAGAGGACAAGTCCTTCAGTTCCCAGCATTCCTCAGCCAGTGTTGGAATGGCAGTTGTAGGAATTTTTCTGTCTAAACATTTCTTTTTATTCTCCCATTATTTTAATGTTTAATTGGTTTAATGGTGATTTTATTGTGAATTGCGGGATGTTGTGCAATTTTTATCTGCGCTTGTTGTGAACTGTCCTGAGACGTTAAGATTAGGACGGTCCATAAAAACTAGCAAGCTAGCTAGCTAGCAGTAAATAAATAAATAAAATTAGGATTATGTTCTAAGGGTACTGCATCACAGGTGTGCATTGACACAACAGAGGAAAACCCTTCTCTGTTCAGAATCCAAGTAGAAAAGGTGTAAGTTCTTCCAACTTTCAAATGTCTCTTATGTCTACCACTGCATGTAAAGGGCATCAGCATGGAGGAACTAAGAGTGCTGATGCTGGATATTTTAGATCAGCTGTTTGCTGGCAACTTAATGTCCCTTCTTTTGAACATCAAGTCAGAGAGCCTACACATTGAACGGTTGCCCCTGTTCCATAGGAGAGCCAGTGTGGTAAGGAGAGCCGGTGTGGTGTAGTGGTTAAGAGCATGGGACTGGGACTCAGACGATCTGAGTTCTAGTCCCCGCTCGGCCATGGAGCCAACTGGGTGACTTTGGGCCAGTCACAGACTCTCAGCCCAACCTTCCTCACAGGGTTGTTGTTGTGGGGATAAGATGGAGGAGGAGAGATGATGTAAGCTGCCTTGAGCCCTTTGTAGGAAAAAGGCAGGATATAAATCGCAATATAAAAACTCTCCATTGTTCTTGCTTTTGGAATTTTGATCTCACAATGTTCTCCCTTACTGTAATAAGCCACCAAGATACTTCACATGCTGAGAGACCCGCTATCAAATCACTTTCGAAAAGTCAACCTTCCTCAGCCTGGTGTCCTCTTGGTGTGCTGGAGCACAGCACCCATAATCCCTAGCCAGCATGGCCACCTATTTATTACATACAAACCTTGGGATTGTATGGCACTGTACTATACCTGGCTGCAGCATATTCCTGTGCATGTTTAATTCAAAAGTTAAGTCTCACTATGTCCAGCACAACATACTTCAAAGTAACTATAAGACTGGCGCCTCAGTCGTATCCCAGACGAACCCATTCAATGAGCCACTGCAGTATAAAGTCACATAGTTCCTAATCAAGTCACATTCTGCAAAGTGATAGGAAATCATATAGACTTACCAGTAAGGAGAGTCAGCTTAGCCATGGCTGAATCTGTGTACCACTCTTACACGGTTTCACACTGACTTTTATAGGTACAGCATCCTCCTACCATCACATGTTTTTTCACCGTGAATGACAACCAAAAGGCCATTCAGGGGCGGGTGGAAACTAATTGTAGTTAATGGATTAACGAATGGATATTTCCACCTTGCCTTTGTAATATGACATTTTCTTTCTAACTCATTCTATATTTGTCTTCCATCATGGAAATGGCAGCCCTAAGGTGATAACCTCCTAGAGATTATCACCTTAAGGTGATCCAATTTGGGAATGTGTGTGTTCTAGATGAAATTAATAGTAGCTATTATGTTTTTAATTATTTTAAGACTATTTGTATTGCTATACAAATAGCTTTTTCAAAGAATATGATTGTGGAACGTTAGTGGAACTGCTTTAAGGTAAAGTTACTTGAAAGTGAATTTTAAATGTGTTCTATGCTGTACTTGCCATATATGATCTAGATAATTCTGCAAGAGTTGTTTTTGTTAATTCCTGGGAATTCGCTTTTTAAAATTATTAAGTATTAAGCTTAAAAGTAATTGAAGAGCCTGAAAACCACTGTTTCCAACCCAACTTTTCCACTGGAAGCAGAATTCAGGATGTCAGTCTGAGATAATGAACTAACTCTCTCTCTCTCTCTCTCTCTCTCTCTCTCTCTCTCTCTCTCTCTCTCTGTGTGTGTGTGTGTGTGTGTGTGTGTGTGTGTGTGATTTATTTGCACACCACCTTGAAAGAATCAATTGTATAGCTGAATTGGGGGTTTTTAAGGACCCCACATATTCCATACATTAAACTTACATACATTAAACAGGACTCTTACATTTGAATTGGAAAGAAAACAAGGATGGGAAGATAGAAACATTGGAATGCACATGCTCATTTAGACCCATCTTCTCTTAATTTGAAGTACATGAAGAACTGTTATCCTTCCAATAGATCATGATATAATTCTATAAGAAAAACAAAGAAATGAGATGCATTTTTCCTAGTACTCATAGGTGAACATTTATTGGAGGTTATTTAGTTCCTTTCCTTTCCTTTCTATTTTCATTTTCTTTTCTGTTTTTGAGGGATTTTGCATAGACTTATGGTGGAGCTTTAGTTTAATGGAATGCTGGAAAGAAAGAACCCTGTTGTTTCTTCCTGTTATGCCGTGCAATGACATCGGTTCACAGTTAAGGGCTCCTAGGTGTTGACACTATTTGAAACCATTATCAGAATGTCAATACATTGAAAGGCAAGGCAACAGACCCTCATGAGTTTATTTGCTTTTCCAGTACTACCACTAATTCACACAAATGACTCTGTGTGATTTTTCTGTAGGGAGAAAAACACACACTTACATAATAAGGACATAGAAAGAGACGTGTTGGATCCGACCAAGTGTGTCCAGCATTCTGTTCACACAGTGGCCAGCTAGCTCAACCAGCTGTCTATGGGAAGCCCAGAAGTCGGGCATGTGTGCAATAGCTCCTTCCAGTCTGTGCTTCCCAGCGACTGGTATCCCAAGGCAAATTACCTCTGATATAGCAGGTGAAATTTGGCCACCACATTGGTAGCCCTGTCCTTCATGAATTTGTCTAATTCTTTTTTAAAGCCATCCAGGTCGGTGGCTATCATTACATCTTGCATGCAGAAGTGAAATTCCATAGTTTAACTAAACAGTATAAGCAAGTGCTTCCTTTTGTCTGTCTTTATCTTCCATCAATCTGCTTCATGGGATGAGCCTAACCCTAGTGTGGGACAGGGAGAAAAATATGGCCCTAACCAGCTTCTCCACACCATGCAGAATTTTGTACAGATGCTTTGTTGTTGTTAGTTGCAAAGTCGTGTCCGATCCATCGTGACCTCATGGACAACACTCCTCCAGGCCTTCCTGACCTTCACCATTCCCTGGAGTTCACTTAAGCTCACACCGACTACTTCAGTGACTCCATCTAGCCATCTCATTCTCTGCCATCCCCTTCTTTTTCAGTCAATCGTTCCCAGCATTAGGGTCTTCTCCAATGAGTCCTTCCCTCTCATTAGGTGGCCAAAATATTGAGTTTCATCTTCAGGATCTGCCCTTCTAAAGAACAGTCAGGGTTGATCTCCTCTAGGACTGACTGGTTTGATTGCCTTGCGGTCCAGGGGACTCGCAGGAGTCTCCTCCAGCACCACAATTCAAAGGCCTCAATTCTTTGGTGCTCAGCCTTCCTTATGGTCCAGCTTTCACAGCCATGCATTGCAACTGGGAAAACCATAGCCTTGACTATACACACTTTTGTCAGCAGGGTGATGTCTCTGCTTTTTAGTATGCTGTCTAGATTTCTCCTGGCAATCTACAACCTTAAAAAAAGTTGACCACACTAAATAATTTGGTGCTCTGAGCAAATGTGGCCATCTTACTGCTCACTATATGAAGAAGTGCTTATATATAGCTATTTTGGAGCTGTACTTTGTGTGCCCTCTGTGTGGCTACAGCTGAGCAGGCTTAATGCTTTGCTTCTTTATTAGAAACACCTATGTAATAGTTGCTACATTCTGTCCAGGTAGGGGAATCACTTTGAATATTGTTTGATGGGCCTGGAGCAGGCAAATTCAATTCTGATGAGTAGTACCTTCTAACTGGGTTGAAAAGAGCAACTAGGAAATAACAGTTAAGAGTTGACAGTTATAGTTAGGCGTCCATTTATTATTTATTTGATTTATTTATTAGCTTTATACGGCACCTTTTTTCTTACAAAGACCTCAAAGCAACATCCTGGTAGGTGTGCCCAGTCGTCATGTCAGGAATTGAGGCCTCCATGACCGCTGCACAAGCAGCTTCTAGATCATGTGCAACAGCCCTGATTTGTATTGGTGCACGTGAAGTAGACCAAAGTCTAGGATGTGCAACCTTCATTCTGAGAGCATTTACAGACTTCCTCTCTGCTCAGCTTGCTCTCTAAGCCAGGGCCTTCTGTGAGAGGAAGTCCATGAACGCCAGAGGGACTGATTCCGCAGAGCTTTGATGCATGCCTAGAAGTGTCCTCCTGGCCCTCTCTGGAGAAGGCTTAGGAGAACGTGACTCCTCCCAGCTGCTGCTAGTCTTGGCCAAGAGGGATTGCCAGGACACCCCTTTCTGACAGCTGTTACCAAATGCTGCTTGGGCACTTTGGGGGAGCTGTCATCCCTGGTCAGCTCTGCTCAGTCCTTCCATGGTGCACCTTGGAATACCAATAGGAGGACATGGGAGCGGGGAGGTGCCCAACCATCTGTTATGTTCATCGGGGTGCTGAGGCAAGCGAGCCAGAGTGTGTAGCTTTCTGTATGGTTTTACTGTGAAGACTCCAAGTCCTTCTAGTCTAGATACTAGAGTGCAGATAGATAGACATAGCTGCCTGATTCAAACAGATGCATACAATGATGCAACAAGGCAGATTTTGGGGTGCACCAGTGGATGATAAACTTGGTATATGTGGGACACCAGAAGTGGAAGGGCTGTCCTACTATTTACTGGAATGGAGGGTATATCTCTGCTATAAGGAACATGATTTAACTCAGTTTCTTGGTGACATGCCAACCAGGTAGCTGAAGATAAGCTGTTTTTTCCTCTTACAAGAATCTAATCAGCTTATGACTCAGAAAGTTGCCCTCTGCGCTGTTAAGACAGCCAACTTAAGTTAAAATGAGAAAGATAAAATCACCTGATTAAATGAGCCAGTCACATTTAAAAAGGGATTAGGGTCTCAGTGAGCTTATTAAAACTTACTTAGTAAAAGGAATGTCTTTTCTTCTCTTTTTAAATGATTTAAATATTTTTTATTATTATTGCTCCAGTTTTAGACTTTATCTTAAAGTCTATGTAGCTATTACTTGTTTTTAATGCATGCTTGTTGAGTCTGAAATATTAGCACAATGACATGCTTTGTAAAATGTAATGAGAATTGATCTTGAAATTCTATCTGAGGAATAAAATTATTCCAATTTAGTTTGCTGAGCAGAGCTTTGGCTAGAAGTTACTACAAACCAAAGAAAAATTGGTCCATAACTTACCAGCACATTGGAAGAAACAGAAGTGAGAGGGGCTGACTCTTGTTCATGGACACATACTAGTCATACTAGTGACATAATTGTATTCAACAGTTGCAATCTGATTGTTGGGCTTCTCAGCAAAGGAATAGATTGTGTGAGTACGCAGGCAGGGGTCAATGTTGTCATGCTTGTTGCACCAAAGGCCCAGCTGGTGAAGTAACATGACAGCACATAGGCAGAAACTACCAAGAAAAATGGAAACAACTATTATGAATCTTGAAGTAATAGAAAGCCAGGATGGATGGTCCGGAGAAGAAAGGTGGGCATGTCTTTTATTAAGCTATAATAGCAACAGTTTATGCACCAGCTTGTTCTTAACGTATACTGTATATTTTGCATGTAATTAGACAAAGGGAGTGATTGCTGGGAAATTGGGGAGGAAAAATGACATTTTTCCTACAGATACAAGTATGCAGTTTGACCCACATCAGTGCAATGAGACTTAGAGGCCACTAGAAAGAAGGTACATAGAACAGGTGATCACAGAGAAAAGGAACAGAGAGCTTGAAAGACTGAAGAACAGAAGAGTAGGTTTGTACCACACGATGCGCAACACATTGTGGGTGACAAAACATGGTTAGTTGTGCCATTTGATCTTAGATTCTATCCCACAAATTGGCTTATTCACGGGCAGCAAGTCACTCTGACAGCTCACAGTTTGTGCTAGGGGTTGTTTCCGAGCACAAATGCATAATTGTATTATGCATAATGCATAATACATGATGCATTAGTGTCTTGTCTGAACCTGGGTAACCAACCTCATTGTGGGTGAAGCCAAGTGGTAAACAAGCCTCTTGGCAAAGTCCTCTTGCCAAGCTTGCCTGGGCCACCACCTTCATCCTGTAGATGCCCCGCTAGCAAAACTGGGTTAGCAATCTCAGTGGCTTTCCCCACCATTTGCCAGTTTCCCCCTTTTTTCTCTTTTTAAAGAGATTGCTTTTTGCAAGCTCCAATCCGACAGGTAGTGACAGCCCCCTCAAAGTGCCAGCGTGGTTCATCAACACTTTTTTAAAACCAAAATGCCCGATTTGTTTCTGAATTTTTTTCCTAGTTGGACTTACAAAAGTGCACACTTGTGAGTTCCTGGGTCTGAGATGGCCAGCCAAGAGTTCTTGATAGCTATCAAAAGTCAAGCCATGAATGATCTTTGCTTGAGAAAACAGGGTGGCTGCTACATAAATTGTCATAGAGGGTGGCAAGATCCCTCTGTGGGGTTTTCTGGACTTGACTCCTCTCAGGTTCTTCTCACTTTTTCTCTTTGGGTCAATTCCCAAGAGGAATGCCTGCTGTTCTTTGACTATATATACATATATCTAAAATGCTTTTGACAAAATATGCATTTTGACATAGTTTGAGAACAAGAACCTGCGCTACAACAGACAGGAAACTTTGAAATTCAGTATGGGCATTGTAGGCCATTTTTGGTCAAAACTTGGATAGATCACACCTTAAACCAGGGGTCTCAAACTCAACTTACCTGGGGGCAGTCTGGGTGAGGCTGGGCCGCATCAAGCGGTGGTGGTGGGCTGCTCATCCCGTGTCCGGCCCGGGCGCCGCCGGCGCTTTGAAGGCCACAGGGCCCCTCCCCAGTGCCCCACCCGTCCCAGCAACTGGCCCGCGGGCCGCGAGTTTGAGACCCCTGCCTTAAACCTATAAGCTTGTGAATACTTCCTTGGGAGTAAGTCCCATTAAACTCAATGAGCCTTACTTCTAAGAAGCATGCCTTGGACTGCACTGTAAGGCAAGATAAGAACGATACCATTGATATCCGAATGGTCTTTCCCCCACTAAATTATGGCCAAGATGCAAGTTCTGGACTGATTTGATCTAGGACCCACTTGTTCATTTTTTGGTTAGTCCAGGATATTTGCAAAGCTCTCCTCCAGCACCATGTTTTGAATGCACCAATTTTTCTTCCTGCCAGCTTTCACAGCCATACAACAGTGATTGGGAATATCATGGTGTGAATGATCTTGGCCTTGGTCTCTAGAGAAACATCCTTACATTTGATTATAATCTTTTCTAGTTCCTTCATTGCTGCCTTTCTGAGTCTCAGTCTTTTCAAATTACTTGACTGCAGTCTCCATTCAAATTGATGACTGAGCCAAGGTATGCAACATCTTTCACAATTTTGATTTCTTAATCCAAGGACATTAGTTTCTTCCTTAGTACAGGAGTAGCAAAATACATTTACTGACAATCATCAATTGCTACAGGATGTCCAATTAGGCTGTCATTTGTCTGTGTTTCTTATTCCTCACTCATCCATTAAAACTATTTTAAAAACAGAATGGTAACAAGAAAAATAGTTGAGTGACTTATGGCATGGGGAATATTACTCACTGTTATTTAGCCAGGTTTTCTCTTGTGAAGAAGAACTATCAGAGATGAAATGATACTTATGTTAATTTGAAATTTGCTTGTATGCCATATCCTATACAGAAATTTTAATTTTAATTTGAAATTCAGATTTTAACTTGACATTGCTCCCAGCATTCCAATGTTGCAGACTTTGTATATCTTTGTTTTTGGCTGTTGATCTTGACATTTCAACTACCTTTGCATAAAAACTAAAAACCAATGCACTGGATTATGATGGAAGGAGAGAGAGCACAGGGCTGAGTAATGGGAAGCAACTTAAAAAATCCAGGGCCACCTGGCCAACCTCAACTTTGTTGATCTCTGAAGGCTGATTCTAAGCACATCTGAAGAGATGAAAGCACTGCAGCTCACAGCAATCCCCAGCCACTGTGGGAAGTATGCACAGGATTGCCTGTGAACAAGGTAATAAGGTACTCAAAGTGGTTTACATAATTCTCCTCTCCATCTCAATCTTAGCCTTACAATAACAGCCCTGTGAGGTAGGTTAAGCTGAGAGTTTGCGACTGGCCCAAAGTCACCCAGCTAGATCTTCTGAGTCCAAGGTCCTGCATGCTTAAGCACTGCACCACACTGGATGCTGCAGGTGGCAGAATATTTTGGCTGGCCTTAGGAACTAAATGGGCTCTTCAGCTTGGGAGGTGGGTGTGCTGCTTCCTCTCCTGTCTCAGTTGGAAAGTGTTTTGGGTCATCTCTCTTGGTTGCTACTATAATTTTTTAAAAATCCCTTATAAGATTGTCTTTCATACATCTAATCAGTTAGGTATGTGAGCTATGTACTTTCACTTAGAATTAAATCACTATTACAACTTAAAAAATACTCTATGTGTTGTTAGTTTTACAGTTTTTTTTGCACATTTTGTCATTTACTTTCTGGTTGTAAAGTGTTGAAGCAGAAACGGGATCCTGTGTATGTTTATAGCATGGTGAGAAAATGTGATCATGGGATTCAGTTTATTATAAACACATACTGAATGGAATGTGAATATATTGGGAGAAAGAAACCACAGAGTACTGTTGGAATGCAATGCATCTTTATTTATCACGTTGCACACTTCCTTCCTTTCTCTATATCAGCGAAGAGCAGGTGTATGTGGTGGCTGCAGTCCTCATGGCCAATTGCAGCAGGAACAGCTGGAGTCAAAAACAAGGCCAGTCTGGCAATTCTGGTAGTAGGTCCGCCCGTTCACACAATGAAAAAATCCATTACTGTGGGAGGGATCTGGGTAGAGGCCATTGGCTTTCCCACTGCAGAAGTTGCCTTTGCTACCGCCAGAACTTCCACTGCCACCAGAAGATGGGGCTGCAGTTGCAGGCTGGTTGGCATTGGTGCCGAGGGTTGTTGCTGGCACCTTGCAGTCTGAAAGAAAGATGAGAGCAGAGTTGCAACTTATTTTCCCAGAAGGTTTATATCTTCCAGTGGGTGGCAGACAGGGGAGTGGAATACCAAGTTCCTTGGAAAGAATACAGAGTTCACTCCTAAAATAGTTTCATAATTAAAGTAGCTTTTGGATCAGTGCCTGATTCTGTGTAATCTTGGAAGCTAAGCAGGGTTAGACCTAGTTGAAATCTGGATGGGTGACTTAAAATGTGAACTGTCCAAGAGCTCTGACTACAAGTGGCATAAAAATGTTAGGCAATAACAATAATAAGTACTCATTTGTTGGTGGACTTGAGAAGTAAAATTCCTAGTTATGGGAAGTGAGTGTGGGACAGGAGAAAACAGTGGTCCCCATTCTTGGCAAAGTACAATGTGCAGATTTAAAGTATTACAATAAAATATTGCATGGAGATGGACAAAAATCTATCAATTTTATGCAAGCAGGACTTAAAATTAGAAGTGCTGTTGGTAGCTTTTAGGGCAAAAGCAAGTGAAGTAAGATGCACCTTTGACATGTATGTTTTAAAAATGCAAGTATCCGTTACTTATGGAGACTCTAGCAGGTGGGGAGCTGAGAATTTAATCTATTCTTCCACCAAGGTGGTCCTGGGGAAAGATCTCCTCACTGAAGTTTAAGAATCAATGAGTTGTCATGCACAAATGGAAAAGAGTGAGGCCTCTGCCTGAAGCATGTCAGTCTCCTCTGCTTTGATGGTACAACATGTATCAGCTGCTTTGTAAATGGTACTGCATGAACCTTGATTGTTGGGTTGTTTAGGGGCTGAATAACCCTGCAGCTCACCAAGGGTTTTTGTTAGGTTAACTGCAAGGTTGCTTGGCCCCAAAACAAACCAGCAGTCTGAGTGTGTACACCATGCCCCGCAATCTCTGAAGGAGCTGATTGTGGGTTGTTGAGTGAAAGCGGCAACGCTCTGCGGACAGTGCATCTGTTCTGTCCATGTGTGACACCCTGTCAGTTTTTATACTGATCAGATCTTACATGTGAACCAGTCAGTATATGAACTGGAAGGAATCCCCCATTGGTGCAAAATGGTCTCAGAGGAAATAAGCCTGAAAGTGTGAAGACGGGCAGAGGGAGGGAATCAGCTACCGTATTTCATATAAATTAGTACAAAATGGTCTCTCCCAACCTAGTGCAGTCTAAATACATTGAACAATAGTCCCCATCAGCCCTAGCAGTTTCAGACATGTCATACCCTTTGCTTTATCCTAATACCCACAGCACATTACTCACTTGGTGTGGTGACTCCCAGTGCAGATTTCAGGGCATTCATTAGAGGGTATTTGCCTTCCCCACAGAATGTGCCAGTGAAGTCATCCAGATCAATAGCCCATACCATAGCTCCTCCAAAGTTGTTCTCCAACAGCCACTTAGCCTGTGGATTACACAGTTCATCAGATGGTTGCAAAAGGCTCCTTGAGAATCAGAACTGTTCTTTTCCTTGCATTATAACTAGGGAGGATAAATTGCCTCAATTTATCCTTCTGCACTGTGGGACTAGAACGCATCTAAACTTCCTGTTACAGGTTATAAGTCAAACATTGGCTTTAGAAGGAATATGAGAACCTTCAGCCCATGTTCTAAGTAATTAAGGCACAATTTGTAACATATTTAGACCAAAAAAGGCCCTATAACTCCCATGCATCCCCCAGCCAGCCATGCTGGAAGCTGTAAGGAAAGCTAAGGGTTGCTGGACATTTTTCCTGTCTAAACATGCATAATTTCACTGATTGGGAAGTAAATCCCACTAAATTCTGTGGAATTTACTTTCAAGACAGCATGCTTCGTAATTGCACTGGTAGAGGCATAAATCTCAGTAGGTCCCAACCCTCTGTATGTGTTGACAAGCAAAGAGTCCTTACAACACCTAGCATCCTTTTTTCCTGTCTACACATTACCACTACCTGCTGCTGCTTCCACCCCATTTTTCCATTTCAAATTAAGGTTTCTTGCTGGATTAGTTGTACTTGGGGTCCAAACAGAGAATGGGATGGCGTAGTAAGGTGAAGTAGATAATCGGTGTTCCTTGTACACTGACATCACTGGAGTCAAACAAAGCTAATTTGGGAAATAGGTGAACAGATTTGAAATAGTTGCTAAAAACTTCTAAAATGGGTGGCACACGTGGGAAGCTGTATGTGAGTGGTTTTGACACTGCTGAAAAGCATCACAAAACAAAAGGAAAAATCCTCAGCACAGTTAACTCAGACCTAAAAACAACTCTTCCTTGTCTTTTTCTCCTTCCATTTTCAAAGAGTGGTTGAATAAGCTACTAATAGGGGCACAAAATGGAGTCAGGAAAGAAGCTTACCTTGATGGCAAAACTCTTAGGGTTGTCATAGCCAATCCATTGATTTCCATTATAGGCATAAGGCACTTCCTGGGGTGCGTTCCATACGACAGTGGCACCATTCTTCAGGAAGGTACAGACCTGTGGGAACAATAGGTCTCATTAAGCATCAATGGAAACATCTGCTCTGTTTCCATTGCTCATAAAGTGAGCTAAACTGTGTTAGATTATTTCTAACTTTGTCCGTTCCACCTGCCTGTGGGCACCAAAGAACCATGGAAGTCACACAGAAGCTTAGGGAGATTTGACTTTTCTGCAAAGATTACATGCTACACACTCACTTTAGCTGCCACAGTGAAACCAGAGGCTTGTAAAGCCATCCTTAAAACAACATCCTGTACAATATCTGTACATCAGGTCTTTTTTGCTTCTTTTGTACAGAAAGAAAAACAGAAACAATGCCTCCAAATAATTAAAAAAGCCTGAAACTATACAAAAGAATCTAGAACTATAACAACATTGGGTAACAAGTCCAACTGAAAGATTGGAAAAAATCGCAGTACATAGACTAGCCACTTGAAAATATTCATTGTATCATAACAAATAATTTTTGATGTTGACAAAATGTTCATATCAGCGGACACATCAGTGTTTAAGACCTGTGAGAACTAATCAGTGTTTTACCTCAAAATATGCCAGTGTCCCAGCTTCTTGGGTGTAGGCTCCAGCTTTTCCTGGCCCAGAGGTTGGAGCATCCAGACCATGGTTCGAGGGGTTGGTGAGGGTGAAGGTACGAGCGTAGGCTCCAAAGCCCACCATCAGCTTCTCAGCTGGTGCACCATTCTTCTTCCAGTAGTTCATAGCATAGTCCTGGTGGAGTAATCAGGAAGTGATTCTAAACCACTGGATGTGTAAGATATGTCTGAAGATATTAGAACAAGTTTCACTTCTGTACAGTTACTTACCACATTAAAGTAAATATAAGAGCCTTGGTCTTCAGGCCCTGCAAACAGAGGGCTGTTCTCACCCGTGAAACCTTCCCAGGATCCTCTGAGGTCATAGGTCATCACATTGATCAGGTCCATGTACCTTAGGGGAAAAAAGCAAATATCCAAATATAGCTGCACATGCAGATGTAGCAGCCACAGTGAGGCAGGTTGTCTTCCTTTGATTGCTGCTGCTTTTGGTGTTCCATGTTTCATGCAAGCATTGAGGCAGGAACACTGCCATTCCTCAGCTAGTATGTGAGGATAGCCATCATGTCCCAAAGGGTGGCATTTTCACTGGACTTAGGAAAAGGGAGCAAGCAACTCACAGGCTCCCTAAACCAAAAGCTCCCAATTCCTACCATAGTGGGGACTGTGGTAGATGTCCTGTGCTGTGGCACAATTGCAAACTGAACAACCTTGTCCTGAATCTGACACTAATGCCTGTTCACTCCCCGCCCCCATGTTTATATTGTTTATAAAGGGATAAGGTATACATATGCATCTTACTTAGACATTTGTGGGATCTGGTAAGCTGTTTCGATGGTGCCCACTCCAGCAGACACAGCAGCAGAGATCAGCAGTCTGGGTTTGTTGACCTGAGAAGCCTCCTGCTCAAAAGCTTCATACATTTCCTGTTATTGGAAGAACCAATTGTAAGTAGATAGCCTTATAAGAACAAAAAACCCATGACTTTTTTCAACTGTATGTCTACACGTATGCATTTCTTTGTGTGTATGGAAGAATTCATTTAGTTGTGTCAGAATATATGGCCTCCGCACTGATAAAAAAGCTTACAATTTCCTGACATTTAGGTTACAAGAAGGTGGCATGTCAGAATGCAAGGCTTTCTGTATAGGATTGCAGCCAAATACTGTAATCGTATGCACACTTACATTAGAGGACGTATTACTAAACTCAAAGGCACCAGCTTATGAGTAGATATGCCTAGGATTGTACTGTAAGAATTTTATAGGGAACATTTCAAAAATAACTGCAGTGTAGTTACTGAAAGATATTTTATTACTCTGTGAAAATTTGAGGGAATGAATAGAATGTTTAGAATGTCAGAGCATCTCCCATGCATGTAAACACAAAGTAGTTAATTTCTGATAACATGCTTAAAGGTAGCCTTCCATAAATACGTTCCAAAAAAGGTGTTCAGAGCACACTTGAAAGTATGGTTATATGTACACAGCACCACCAGAAGCTTTAGGTGCATCACAGACTGCAATGTGGTAAATGCTCACTATGCCTGCCTGATTGAATTTTAAACAGTCATTTCCATTACTGCCATATGTCATGGCCTCTTGGTGTCCATATAGGAATGAAGACCATGGTGGGCATATCTCTCACTCACTTAAAGGTGAGAAAACCCCACATTCAACCCGTTTCTCTGTTGCTATTGACCTTCCATATTGCAATATCCTTCCCATCATTTGCCTCAATCCATTAACCTCTCAAGTTCTAATGGCATTTCTAATAAATGTGATGAAGTTTATGGGGAATGTGAGTAGGGGAGATGTGAGAAAAGCCATATCCAGTCCCAAAGATATGGGGCTGTTATTTCTCAGATGCTAATGATTCTCCTGTCTGGTTAGATTAATAGCACTGGGATGAATTCCAGAACAAATCTCATTCCATTGCTAGAGGGATATCTAGTCCATCTGAGACTGAGAGAGCACATTGCCAAAGCCAACCTTAAGCAAGACTGTGAAAAGTTGATTGGTATCAGCAGGGCTGCCTCTGTTGCCAGGATATTCCCAGTCAATGTCCAACCCATCAAAATCATACTTGCGTAAGAAGGAGATAGCAGACTGAATAAAGGTCTGGCGGTTTTGGGCAGAGGAAACCATGTCAGAAAACCTGCAAGATAAAGCAAAGCACTCAGAAAAGAAATGATCAATTTCACAAATTACTTTTGTCTTCATTGTTTGGAACAGCTTTCTTTCTTCTTATGGAAAGCATCATTTTTCCTATTTGCACACTCAGGCTGCTTCTCATGGATTCAGCTTAGTACAGAAGTGTGTGTGTGTGTGCGCGCGCATGTGCAAAATGTAACTTAGAATGTTACATTAAGTACCTGTTCTGGGCCCTTCAAGCATTAAGAAACAAAATAGGCATCAGTTTCCAGAAGCACACCACAGGCAGAGAGAGAGAGAGGGAGGGAGGGAGGGAGGGAGGGAGGGAGGGAGGGAGGGAGAGAGAAGAGCTTTAGGCACTACAGGAGGAAATTTTCTCCTGCTTTTCTGTTACAAAACCTCTAGGTGGCACTGTGCCACAATGGAATACTGCAAGCACACAAGAGGCAATCATGTTTTCTTTTGCTTTGATAATTAAATGCTCCTTTTCTCTAATATAAAAACAACTTGATCAAAGCACTAGTGTGATGCAGAAGTACAGGCAAAATTAATAAAGATCCATGAATAAGAATGATGAGTGTGCATCAGGTAGACAAGCAGGGAGAGGGAGAGGGAGAAAGAGAGGGATGGATGTTACCAGCATGCTCACATCACAGCATTTCTACCAGACTTCCTCAACCAGATACCCCCTAGAAGTGCTGGGTTACACCTTATAACATCCTGTCAGTTAGGAATGCTTAAATTTATAATCATTTACATCTAGAGGACACCGTGCTGAGGAAGGCTGTATTCTTGTGTGTGTGAAAGCTTTCTTAAGAATCTGGAAGAAGGAACAGCAACCTTCAGCTTATGTGCAGAGTTATGCATGAAGGAAACATGGCAGCTACTTCTGAGCAAGGTTTACGAGCATGAAATGAAAAATAAGCCATTCAGAATGCACATAATGGAAGACCTTACTTTTGGGTACCAAAGTTCCAACCTCCAACAGACAGCAAAGTTTTCAGGTCAGGATTGCTGTGAGGGGAAAACATTTGAGCAGTCAACAAAACCTCAAAAAACAAACAAACAAACAAAACAAAACAAAACAAAAACATTCATATAAAAGCCCAGAAAGTGGACTTGGCAGATCCTAAGAGGGCCCTGGAGCCATTAAGATTTGCACTGGAGGGCAGTTACTCATGAAGCATTCATACGCGTTGCAATTTTCTCTTTTATGCAAACCATGCATGCAGTGCCCTCTTGAGTATGAACGTGTAGCCGCTTGCCCCATCATGGTATCCTCCAGATCTGTTGGATCACGACTCTCTGTGTGGCTTATGGGAACTGTAGGCCAACACATCCAGAGGGCACGGGTTGAGAAGGACCGACCTGTAGCAACTTTAGCTAAAAGTGTTTTTGACCCTTCATGGTTCTTGCATCATGCATATCTGTTGTTCATGCAGGACAGATAGCAAAAGGCAGACATATTATTTAAATTCTATAGCCAGTGCAAAAACCAGGTGCAATCTGAGAAAAAAATTAATGCCATGGAGGTCAACATGCATTAGGCATAACACTTAATCTCTATTGTTCTTTGGATTCCCCCCATTGTTTTTAATGTATTTATTATCTTACTAGGTTTTGAGTCCATTGATCCCAGCATAGAGAGCCACGTCATTCCACTCAGTCGTCTGGATCTGGTTGTTAGTCATGCCAGCAAAAGCATAGATCACATGAGTACATAGGCATGGGTCAAGATCTTCAGGCATGTAGCGTGCAATTCCAGGTCTGTACTGGCTCCAGTTGGTGAAGTAGCATACAATATTGGTAGATGCACCTATATTTTGGATGGTAGAAGTTGGTTGACACATGCTAGTTAATAACTGGATTTGGAAAAAAAGCAATTTCGATGTATTAATTTTTGCCAGGACTTGAAAGAAACATGGTAGAACTTACCCAGCTGGAGGTGCACCAGGAGAACCAGACCTGTAAAAGAAAAGTGCAAAAATCACACATAAAAGTAAGGTGTGTGTTTTTCTTAGTTCATCTGACTACAAGTGGTGGACATACATCTATGCTACAAACATTTTCTTTTAAACCTGATGCGTGGCTTCCCCAAAAATAATTCTCAGTGTGGGAGTTTCTAAGAACACTGTCAGGATCAGGGGCTGAGAGATCCTGCGAGTACTTGCAGAACCACGAACACCTTTGCAGGCACTTGCAAGGAACAGCTGAGGAACATTAATGCCACTGCATGAAGATCAGCATAAAGGGCCTCCCTTCTGGCACAGCAACACAAGTTTGTGTGTCTCTCGTATCCCAGTCTGAGCTTTCCTTCATCCTTGTCTCTAGTCAGGCTCTGATTCCCAGGTGTGTACACCCTTTCTCCCTGAGCTTGCCTTGTTTTTGAATGTGATTGTCTTTCTGGAACTTGACCTTTGGACTTGACCTTTGGATTGAGATATCATGGACTCTGTTTGCTTGGATCTATTATCTCCCTGTCTTTGACCCTGGGCTGTTAAACAAGCATGCCTCTTCTGGCACTCTGATCCTAACTGGAGGATTCTGCCCTGCTTCTGTGCCCTAGTCTTGGTGTTCCAACCTTAGTTGCCTGCTGCCCATGCCCTGGATTTTAGAAATACTTGGTTAAAAATCCCAAATCCTTTTCACATAACTATAAATTCCAGGTTTCCCTGGGGATATAGAGAATCATTCGGAGTGCAGTTCGATTCATTGTCCCTTCACTGTTTGGAAACTTTGAAATTGTGCATACACTTCATGGTTCTTAAAGTTTTGCTAACTTTGTTCATATAGTACAGTATATTTATTTGTATATACATTAAAGGGATGCAGGTGGTGCAGTGGTTTAAACTACTGTGCTGCTGTGCTTGATTGAAAGGTTGCTGGTTTGAATCTGCACAACGGGGTGAGTTCCCGTTGCTCCGTCCCAGCTCCTGCCAACCTTGCAGTTCGAAAGCATGCAAATGCAAGTAGATGAAAAGGTACCACTTCGGTGGGCAGGTAACAGCATTCCATGCACTTCGGTGTTTAGTCATGCCGGCCACATGACCATGGAGACTGTCTGCGGACAAACGCTGGCTCCCTTGGCTAGGAAACGGAGATGAGCACCGCCCCCTCAAGTCAGACACGACTGGACTTTAATGTCAAGGGGAAACCTTGACATTAAGCAAACAATATAAAATGGTAACTGTCCTGATAGCCACACAGCTATAAAGAGTGAAACTGCACAGCTGTGAGGTTCCCAAACCTGTTTTTCTTACGATGCAGATATACAAAAATGCTGAGTGGGGCCTCCTTAACTGTTCCCATGACTGTTGATTGAGCCCCTGCAGGTTCTCCCCCCACCCCAACTAGTTTCTGATACCAGAAACAAGCCTTGCTGGCAGAAAGGTGGCCCCAGGAGCCATTTGCGAGTGGGGGCAATGGGCAAACATAGGAGAAATCTCTCTCGTTCATTCTCCAGTCCTTCCTCGCAAATCCTGCCCCTTTCACGTTATCCCAGCAAATGTAGGTTTGGAAATACCTTTGCTGAAGTCCCATGCAGTGCTACCCAGAAAGAATTATGCATCATTACAGAACAATATATTCCACTTGAACACATTGATAAGGTTATTTAGCCTTAAACCACATCTGAGACTCTCACCCGTCTTTTTCAGGTATGTAGCGAAGGCACTTCTAAAACTGATCTTCCAGTTTGGAAGTGTTTCTTGGCATCCACATGCCTGACTGGAATTTGAACTTCTTTTACATTTCTTACCCTGCTCTGAGGACTCTTTGCTCCATTTTTCATATTTCTAGAAACACTATTTTTTTTTAGAATGGCCATCAAATGCTGTAGATAACCTATAGAAATGCTGTCAGACTTGAAGAAAATTGGCCAACTCAGTATAAAATAGCTAGAGAACAACACAGATTGATAGATACATGTAACTCTAAGAATTTTTAACTAGTTCATAGCATATGTAAGTCTTTCATACTCACCAGCCAGAAGGATTAGTTTGCCCATTGTGATACCTGTGTACTATGTTGTTCAACCCTTTATCCCCTTTTATAAGATGAGCTTTGTTTCTGTCTCCCGCTGAACATGTGTTACCTCAGATGCCCCCCATTCCAGAAGTTCAATAGAAAGTTAATTTGTAGATAAAACTAAAATAGGTGCTTACTTTGGCAGCTATGGTCACCTTGGAACGTTATCTTTATCCTCAGTTTTCTAAACTTTGGTATCAGTAGGTATACACTGAATGAAACAAACTGTTTTCTATCCCAGGTTCAAAATCTATGTTATACCATTCTACTGGAATTTCCAAAAGAAAATTGGTATTAGATAAGGAAGACAAATTTACATATACCTGTGTGTATGTATATCAGTATCTGAGTCCATTTATCTATATCTGTAATATGTTTGCTTATGTAATTATTGGAATGGAAATACATCTTATGCCATAGAAATAGCATTGGAAGCAAGCCCACACATGACCCAATACGGAATATAAGGAATAACAGTTACTTGGAAAACAAATAAATACTCCTCATGTCAGGTTGGTTTTTCCTTCTTCTTGACATATTAATTACCCTGAAGTGTATTTCAGGCAATTGAAATGCACCTCAAAACTTTGAAGTTATTGTTATGATGAGTATTTTATATATATGGGAAAAAGTAATAATAACTTGGGGAACTGTATTATATAACAATTATTTTTTATTATCTCAACCTCTCTCTCCCTCTCTCCTCTTAACTGACTCCTGTTACAAACAAAGGTTGAAAATACTCCCAGTAATGGGGTAAATGGCTCTGAAGTCACCAGCTCAGTTGCCTGAATGAAAAGGCAGACCACAAAGTTAACGAGCTGGCTTTGTGTGGCACATGCATCCGACCTACAGCAAAGAAGGAGAACATCTAACTCAGTTTCTACTCCCTCTGTGGGGCAAGCTGGAAATGCTTTTCTTCACTTCACTGGGTGGGATCTGGGGGTTCCAGCTGTGCCCAACTAATGATAGGGCAGAGTGGGGGTTCTCAGGCACCATCTCCTGCTCTTCCTTCCTCGGCCCTCTAGCTGTTATCTCAGATATTGTGCACTCTTCTGCACTAAAGGTTCTTGGACCCTCGCACAGGAAACAGCAGGACTGGTTTGATGAAAACGATGAAGAGATCAAGGCCTTACTTGCTGAAAAGCACCGCCTTCACTGTGCTCATCAGAATGACCCGTTGTCAACAGCTAAGAAAAATGCCTTCAACAACGCTCTCAGGACCGTACAGAGCAAGCTTCGCAAGATGCAGGACTCCTGGTTGAGTGCCAAAGCAGATGAAATCCAGAAGTTTGCTGATAGAAACGATGCCAAATGGTTCTATGAAGCCCTCGGATCCTTGTATGGACCTCAGCCCTCAGGGAGCTCCCCTCTACTGGACTCAGATGATGCAACTCTCATTTCTGAGAAGACTCTGATTCTACAGCATTGGGCTGAGCATTTCCAATCTGTACTGAACTGCCAATCCTCCATCAATACCAAGGCGATTGACAGAATGCCCCAGGCAGATATCAGCCACAACCTGGATGTCCCACCATCAAAGACTGAAACCCTACAGGCCATCAGCCAGCTGTCCCGTGGCAAGGCCCCAGGATCTGACGTGATCCCAGCAGAAGTCTTTAAGGAAGGTGGTGCAGTGCTTGTTGACAAACTCACTCAGCTGTTCCAGTCCTTCTGGAATCAAGGATACATTCCTCAGGAACTGAAAGACGTGTCCATTGTACACCTCTACAAGAGGAAAGGAAATCGACAACTCTGCGATAATCATAGAGGAATATCACTGCTCTTCATCTCAGGCAAGATCCTTGCACATGTGTTGCTGAATCGCCTGATTTACCACCTGGAACAGGGTCTACTTCCGAGATACAGTGTGGCTTCCGCAAAGAGCGTGGCACTGTGGACATGATCTTCGCAGCCCGACAGTTCCAAGGGAAGTGTCAAGACCGGAATTGTGAACTGTACACCATCTTTGTGGATCTCACCAAGGCTTTTGACACTGTGAGTCGCGAAGGTCTGTGGCGCATCACGTCGAAGTTTGGGTACCCTGACAGATTCATCCTGATGGTACGTCAGTTCCACAACAGCATGACGGCTTGTGTTTTGGACGACGGAGAAGCTTCAGAAGCCTTTCCTGTCACAAACGGCGTCAAGCAAGGGTGCATGCTGGCACTGACTCTGTTCAGCATAATGTTTTCAGCCATGCTGACAGATGCCTTTCAGAACAATTCCTTGGGAGTCAGCCTGAAATACAGGACCGATGGGAAACTGTTCAACCTGCGAAGACTCCAGGCTGTCACCAAGATAAAGGAGATTGTGCTATGAGACCTCCTTTTTGCTGATGACTGTGCCCTGAATGCTGGATCAGAGCAGGAAATGCAAGCCAGCATGGACAAATTCGCAGCAGCATGCGACATCTTCGGCCTCCTCATCAACACAAAGAAAACCAAAGTGATGCATCAGCCAGCTCCGAAAGCCCAACACCAAGAGCCCACCACCACAGTGAAGGGACAAAAGCTGCAAGCAGTGGACCAATTTACACACCTTGGCAGCACCCTTTCCCGCACAGTGACAATTGACATCGAAGTCAACTGCAGAATCGCCAAGGCAAGCTTTGCATTCAGCAGACTGCTGACCAAAGTGTGGGACCACCGTGGAATAAGCCTTGCTACAAAGCTTAAAGTCTACTGAGCAGTAGTGCTAACTACCCTGATGTATGCCAGTGAGACTTGGACTGTATACAGGAGGCATGCTAGGCAACTGAACCACTTCCGCACAACTTGCCTCCGTAGACTTTTGAGGATCCGGTGGCAGGACAAGGTGCCAGACACAGAAGTACTCTCCAGAGCAGGCCTGCTATCAGTTCACACCCTGCTGATGAAAGCCCAGACACACTGGGCAGGCCATGTTTCAAGCATGCCAGACCACCGCATCCCCAAACAGCTCTTCTATGGTGAGCTGTCTCAAGGAAAGCGATCGCATGGGGGACAAAAGAAGCAATACAAAGACACGCTGAAAGCCTCTCTCAAGTCCCTGGTTATCGACACCACCTCCTGGGAGACCCTGGCACAAGACCAATCGACATGGGGCACGCTGATCCACCAAGGCTGCCAAAATCTGAAGCCAGAAGGACAACCATAGCACAAGAGAAGCGAGCACTCCGTGATGCCAGAGTTGCAAATGTTGCAACAGTGGTGCCCACACATGTCTGCCCGACATGTGGCAGAATACTCCATGCCTGTATCGGCCTTATCAGCCACCTGCGGACACACTGTGGACAGCTCACAACCCGTTAGATGTCAAGGTCCTCATTGAAAGCGATGGATGAACATCATCATCATCATCATTCCAGAGGATGCTGTAGGAGTACTGAAGGGAGTAGCACTGACACAGGCTGAAAGTGTGCTTGAACAGGACACTAAATCATGGTGGGTTTCCTAAACCTAAGGACTGAGCTGAAAGAGCTCTGCTGGAAGAGCTGAGCAGGGCTGTCACGGACAGGACTTTTTGTGGGCTTTCATTCATAGGCTGCCATAAGTTGGAGATGACTTGACAGCACATCACAGCAGCTGCTGTCTTTGGTTACTTCCAGACAAGGGCTTTTATTGTGCAGTTGTCCTGCTGCATCCAGTGACTTCTCTAGGGGTCCAGAAATCGTCTTCTATTTGTAATCTTCTCATGCTTTACCTTGCACAGAAAATCTGTGGAAGAAGGCAAAACCCTAGACCCTCAGCTTTCAAAAGTATTGTCAACAGTTCTTTACTGGGGAGAATGAAAGGTTGAATTGTAAACAGTGAAAAAAGTAATAGCATTTAATTAGAGATTATTGCTTGTTGTCTTAGCTTGTTCAACCTCTCAATTACTGCATACCAAAAAAAAAAAAAAAAAGATATTTGGACAAAATAACCACATATGCCCAAGTGAACCCCTTAAACCACAATTTCTCCAGCACATATATAATTGATGATTAATGTTGTATAATTTAGAGGGGCACAAATGCCATCTATGGGCTGTCATTTATTTGGATCTACCAGATATTGACTTATACAGTTTTGAGGACCACATTCTGATATAATATTTATTTTCCCCCAATGTCATTTTAGCTCCCATATTACTACTGTATTCATTCTCAATGACCATCATATAGATAAGTGAGACAAATCCTCCCCACTTTTTACTAAAATCTTTCATACAATACTCTTCAACTGTTGAAATATTGTTATACCTGTTGTATTATACAAATGATCTGTAAAGTTTATTTGTACTGAAATCAATCCATTCTGACTTGGATAATTTTATTTATTCATTTATTTAAAACATGTATATGCTGTCCTTTACAGCATCTCAGGACAGCTTACGGCATTAAAACCAATAACCAATAAGAACAATCAATAAAACAACACAATAAAATAGTATATAATCAGTAAAAAAATAAATCAAAAGAGAATGTTAAACTATAAAATTACTAATTTTTAAAATAACATTTAAATAAAAAAGTTTTGACCTGGCACCAAAAAGAATATAGGCTTGGTGCCAGGTGAACCTCTCTGGGGAGTGCATTACACAATCTGGGCACCACTGCAGAGAAGGCACTCCTCCGAGTAGATGTCCTTTTTACTTCCTTCGGGGTGGGGGGTGGGGTTTCCCAGAGCAGAGCCTCTCCTGCAGACCTTAAGGGGCATGCAAATTTAGAAATTTAGTGATAAATTAGAATTTATCTTCTAATTGTTCTATAGAAATTGGCTTTCTGTTTATAAATGTGTCTAATCCTATAAATTTCAGTTTATTTTCATAATGTAAACTGCATATTTATTTTGACAGATAAATTTGGGATGATCTAAAATAGAGCATAATGAAGATGTAGGGAGCTAAAAATTTCATATGTTTACCATATTTGGACCAATTAACTAATGAAAGGATTATGTATTTTAATTTTATTTCTTGAAAAATTTTGCTTACAAAAAGGCTACAAATTTAGTATTTTCAGATCCTTCTATTTAAGCCCAATGAGGGGCATTATTTGTTTTTATAAGTTTAACAGCCTGTGCTATTTGAAAAACCTCATAGCATTTTATTAGATTTGGAACTGTCAATCCACTTTTTGAAGCAGGTCTATATTTTACACTATTGATAAATATTAAACTCTTAGTATTCCCAGCTATAATAAACTTTTCTTTTTTTGCCAAAATTTTTATTTTTGTAAGATATGGATACAAAGGAATATTTTGAAACAAAATAAAAAATGTAATGCATAAGCTTCTACTGTCTCAAATGGTGAGTCAATAATAATGGGATTAGGCAAGTGATAATGAATGTGGCTTAAAGCATTAATGAACTGTTGAATATGGAGCTGGGCAATTATACCTCAGTTGCAGTTCATTACCTAAGAGAGCAACATACCCTGCATTTGATATTACTTGTCTAAGACTGCAATCATTCACAGAATTAATGGAAAGAATCCTTACTGAATGCAGTGAGACTTCTTAAGTAACATGCATAAGATATTTGACATAACTGCAATCCTATGCCTAATGACCTATGAGTAAGCCCTGCTGAATACTCTGAGACTTATATCTGACTAAGCATACCCAGGAGTGCTGTGCAGAAATGCAGAATGAGCAATTTCTATATTTATTAGAACATATGGCACACCCAGTGTACAACCTGACAGCCGAATTCCAGTTTCGGGAAACTCTTGGGAGGGGCACATTCCACTGGTTAGAAGGAGCCAAAGGCAAAAAGGGAGAGACCAAAATAAAACAAAATTCCATTATATTTTACCTTAAAACTTATTGTCAGTAATTAAGACATAGAGGCATTTCAGCCTTTTAGAATGGTGAAAAATTGGGCAAACTAGGAAATCACGAAGCAATTGGTGGCCAATGAAAAGTGGGGTCAGGAGGAGGGGTTGAGGTCACCTGGCAAACCCCAGAAGGACTGGATTTGCTCCCTAGGCCTTTTGAGGGCCGCTCTTCTGCCATCAGAACTGGAGTAGTTCTTTCTGCACAGGCCAAGGCCCTGAAAGTGAAAAAGCATCTTTGGAACAGACCCTGGAGGGTCATTCCATGTGGAGAGAGTAAAGAGGAGGTACTGCTAGCTTCCACCATATCCAGGTGGAGCCATGCAGCTGAGATATGGGGGGAAATAAGTAAATGTTTGTTGTACACATGGGGTTGGATCCTGACTTAAGCCATAGTTAGACTAGACTAAATTGCATCCCATTGAAAATTACTTCAAGGTATTCCTCAATATTACTTCAACCCTTTTAAAACAAGATTAATGGCATAAGCTCTACTTACCTCATCCAGAATGTCATCACAAAACATACAGGCACAAACATAATTTCTAAGAAATAGTGAATTGCTTCTCAATAAAGAAAACAAAGAACTTTCCTTCAAAAAAGCAGAAAAGTTTTATTGAAAACATTATGTAAATATCTAAAAACCAACAAAACAACACTACTGTGCATGCTATTTTTAAGACAGTAAAAATAGAATTAACTTTTGAATACTGTGATCAAAACACCAGAAAATAATGACAGAAGACTGCTGCAAAGTATGGATAGGTAGGTGGAAGGGATGTCTTTGGTCCACATCAACTGAATGAGTAAAGGTAGAACGACCCTCATCATGGAGTGAAGCAAAACTAGTTGTGGGTGGCTGCTTTTAGATACACAATTAAGAAGCAAGTAAATGTGTCCACATTTTTCACAGATTAGTTGTTCATCTGCATAACATCCCGAGATGAACAGCGTAAGCCTCTTCATGCCTTTAAGATTCTCCTGTGACAAAAATGGGCTCTTACTTATTCAGCTCTTCCTTAATAGCACGAAGTAGTGGATATTTTCCATCTCTGCAGAAAAAACCTGAAAAATCATCCATGTCAAGTGTCCAAACCATAATGCCTCCCAAATGGTTATTCTTCATATATCGAACCTAACGCAGAGAAAGGGGAAATCAAAAACATCAGAAGCACAACAACAATCCCTAGCAAATAAGAAATTAAATACAGTATCTCACACCACACATAGAAGCAGTTCAAGATACATTTGTGTGTTGACAGCTAGAAGATTCACAATACAGAAGCACAATCTCTAAATGTGTTTCATTGAGTGGAATGAATGCAGGCATTTACTTTCATAATATACAGCATCAGCAGCATATTCATTCACATGTGCTATAATAGGAATGTAATCACACCCAAATAATGTTTATCTTGCATGCTATGACAATTCATGAACTGGTAGCAGTTTAAAAAAAATTGTTTCTTATATTATCCATACTGGCAAGTGCCAAGTGGATATAATAGCCCTGCCTTCCAATAGTTCTGCCTGTGCACAATACTGGAAAGTTAGCTCCATAAAGCTGAGTAGGAATTATTTCCAGGAATGCATATATGATTATGGCAATTCAGGATAGAACCTCAGTCTCTGACAGCCACTTTTGGTGCATTCCTATGTGGTTCTGGGCTTCCAATCAAGCAGAGGAGGAGCATAGATTGACTCCATGCTCCCCTTGCTCTCAAAAGCACTTAGATGGTGGCATGGCTCCACCTGGATATGGTGGAAGCCAGCAGTACCTCCTCTTTCCTCTCTCACCCCCTGGAATGACCCTCCAGTTCCAAAGATGTTTTTCCACTTCCAGGGCCTTGGCCTGTGCAGAAAGAACTACTCCAGTTGAGATGATGGAAGGGTGGCCCTCAAAAGGCAGAGACCCCTCTGTGATCTCAGAAGGCTTTTCCAAGGTTGAAGTGGGGACTCTACCTCTTCCTTATGGCTGGCAAGACAGTGACCATGGATTATCCCCTTAATAGCTTTGTAGCTATATGAGAAATGACTCTCTGCACATGTTGAGTAATGTCGTGGCCTGGTAAACTAGGAAGTTGGACTGAAGGGAATGAATAAATCCTTTAAAAGTCCTAGACTGCCAGCCTTCACTTTGATTCTCTTATTTGCCATTATTTTCTCTTATTTGTGTAGGAAGCTGGGGTCTTCCCACTCTTACTCTGTTACCTGTTGTATCTTGAACAGAGGAAAAATAGTGCTCTAAAGAAGTTTGTTCTAATGCTCATAGGAGTGCCATGCCCTTCACTCTTTTTTCCCCTTAAGAATAAAAGGGGTAATTCTCACATAAGGATATGACTCTTGTAAGCTCCTTACCAGCATCCATTGGTGACATTATTTAGATCCTTTGTCTGTACTTACCTTGCTCTGAAGGCTTATCTTGTCTTCATATCCCACCCACTGGTTTCCTTTATGAGAATAGGGGACTGCTTGTTCTTCAATCCTTTCGGTCTTGGCACCATAATTAAAACTACAGATCTGGCAGGAGTAAATTTGAATAGTAGAAATTACTATAAATACTAGAATTCTCATATGAACATCTACATGATATTGCAAGAAAGAGAAGGAATTGCTGCAGGTTGCCTCCATTTTGCTCTGGCATCTCCAGTTTTCCTGCCTATGACTAACACATTAGACAAAGTTGCAGGATGTCAATGGAGGCACAATGGTTTGGTGGTTCTTCAGTCTGGACAGCTGGTATATTATTGCTCTTGATTGGGTCGCATGCCTTTACCCATGGAAGAGCTCGGGGTGTTCCTTGTTCTGACATTGTCCCTAGAGAGTAACTTGGGACAATTTCCCCCAGTGTCCGCTGGCTCATCAGCTGTGGCCTTTCATGGATAGGAGAGCCTCTGATAACCTCCAGAGCGCATTACTGCAATTTGTTATACTTGGGGCTATCCTTGAAGATGACCAGAGTTTTAAATAGTGATGGTAGGCTGCACGGACAAAAAAGGCACCCCGCTGCAGAAGTTTGGCCTCCTCATGAGAGGATGTAGGGGAAGCCATGTGTCCTCATGGATGGATGAAATGCATGGCCCAACCCCTTACTGCGTTCACGCTATTTCTTCATATGAGTCATGCATGAAGAGTTATATGAGTGTTTATTGCATGTGATTTCTACCCCAGGAGGAGGAGAATGATGTAAGCCACTTTGGATTCTTTAAAAGAAAAAAAGCTAAATCTATTAAATAAGGAGGAGTGCTAATGAAACCCTTCCTACTTCATAATAGGCCAGGGATCCTTCTGTTTTTGTGAAAGGGCCGGGTGTTCCTGGACCTGAGGCTGGGGCTCCAACTCCAGTCAACATTGAAGAAAGAGTAAAACTCCGCCCATATGTGGGAACTCCCATGATGATCTTCTCAGGTGGGGCACCCTTTGTCTTAAAATATTTCACAGCTTCGTCCTGCATAAAGAAAAGTAGATCAATCACTGTATACATTTCATGGGGTACTGCACATGTCTTCGTTTTATTGTGTTTCACTGTCATCTACAGCAGTCATCCAAACCAGTACCCTCCAGATGCTTTGGTCTATAACTCTTGGCATTCCTGACCATTGGCTATGCTGCCTGGGACTGACAGGGATTGAAGTCCCAAGCATCTGAAAGGCATCAGATAGTGTAAGGATAATCTATTGGTTCCATGTGTCTTAAAAATGTGGGACTTGCCATATCTATTGTTTTAACTAATTCTAGTTCCACCTTAGTTGAGGCAACACAACTATGAAACATAAAAGGCTTAAAATGCCTATTGTTTTAATGAGGTATGGAATGAAAATGTAATGACCATGTTGGTCAGAATACTCATCCATATTACAAATTCTTCTCCCTTTTCTGTGACTGAAGAGCAATAGAGCAGATGTTCATATGAGCAGGAAACAGTAATTTAATCTTCTATTGTCTTTCAATATTCTCCTCTACTCTTACTTTGTGAAATTGCCACGAAGAACAATCCATATTTCATGAATGCCAAAAACAGCTTTCCTCATATGTGTGTGAGACACACACACACACACACACACACGGGAGGTGCACTCAGCCTTGGCAATGAGTTGGTTCTGACCCATTTTTCTAATGAAAAAGAGAAATTAGGTAAATGGGTAATCTTGAGTTTATAAAATGTCCCTCACAAATGTGGAGTTTTCAAAATTCCTCATATTTCAGATGAATGTGAAATCTTTGATCCAGCAGAAGTAAACAGTGACCTGCACTTCTAGGATACAGAATGGCTGAGTACAACTAATGTTATAAGATGGCAAGGGTAACAAAATTTCATGAACCCTGGCCAAAGTTGCTGATTGCTGCCATCTGCAGATGAGTAATTTGCTTCCTATTCTGACTAATACATTTCTTATGGCGGAGTGGCCTGGCTTCTCCTGACCACCAAAGAGGTGATGTATTGCATATGAGCTGGATGTTCAATGTGTATAACCACCAGGAACTTTTAAAAGGGTTAGGGTTGAAAGGGGCCCCTGGAGGCTGAAGCTTCTATGGAGCCCTTGCATCACACGCTTTATTATTAGAATACATGTGTGAAAAGGAGAGGTGTACAGCTCCTTCCTCACCCAAAGGCCTGTGGGTAAATTAGGTACCTCTTCTAATACATAGTCAGATGAGTTGGTCACTTGTTCAATGGGAGTGGATATGGATAGGTGTGGAATCAATTTTCCCCCATTCCTTAGTTCAGTGGACCAGAGGGTATTGCAACCAAAGTTGCAGTCTGGATCAAAGGCATGATCAGGCTTGCTTGAGTAGCATCATACTTATGGAAAACTGCAGGCATTTTATATTATCTGGAAAAACTTCAGAAACATTTGACATGCTCTGTGAAATGACAACTCACAACATTATAAGAGGATGAAGCTCCAGTGTCAACTCTGCCCTTGTAAAGAGGGCTTACATGGCCTGTGTATCTGTGACTTTCCAAGTATGCATGAAAGTCGTAGGTCATGAAGTTAAAGAAATCTGCAAATCTACAGGAGGAAAATAAAGTGAAAATCATGGCACTTTGTATAACAGTGGGGATATTTATATTCAAGGTCTGTAAGGCTGGGCTTGTATGACATGGCAACCCATCAGAGGTGGTGAGTCGTGCTGGAGTTTGTATCATGTAAACCTAGACCACTTCCTCCAGTATGGCCTGTTTGGTGGCAATAAGCCACCCTGATAACCTATTGCTTTTTCTTGAGGTTGTTGAACTCTCATTGGACTGTCCTGCTGTCTGAACATGGGTTTACTGACTCCAGTGTGGGTTGCATGAAGTGGCAATCAAGTCATTTGGCCAGATTCACTAAATATGCTTGCTGTTCTTTGCCAAGGTCACCAAAACCATCACCTGTGACAGGTGACCCATTGATGTTCAAGTGGAAAGTCCATCTCTGTTACAGTGTTTCTCTCTGCAATCACAAAGTTTTCACTCACTGTGACTTCCCCTCCCTGTATTTCAGATATCACATTTTGGGACAGCTAGTAATAGCCCCTCTAGTGTTTCGAGGTATTGTTTTTCCTATTAACAACAAGATTAGTCAGACTTGTGCAAGTGCAGAGGTGTGCACTTGCAGCAGTCTGAAATGGGATGTCTCACCTGGCAATGTCCTGGGAAGTATCTGATATGAAAGTACAACAGGTATCAGCCATGGACATTGGCCCAGACAGATTGCAAATAGGTACATTTTTTAAAGTTTTTGCTCCTTTGACAGCTGTCAAAAGCTGAACTGTCAAGGGGGAAAAGTTGTGAGTGATCTTCACTCATAAAAGGGGGTGGAAAGTAGATTAACTCCTCTAGTTATTTTAATTACACCTGACTCTTTAAAGTGTCCTTGCACTTTTATACCCTTTTCTGAGGCACTAGGTGCTTGGTAGATGAAAAAGTGCATGGCACTCCAGCACTTTAGAGGAGCTGTCACTGGTTGCCAACTTGGAGATCACAAAAAGTGATCTCTGAAAAAGGAAGGGGAAAAAGCCACACCAAGTGAAAAGAGGCTCACAATCACAGCAGGGGAAGAAAGCAAGATGGTATTAGGCAGCAAGTGCCCAGGGGTACTGGCTGGAGGACCAAAGGGGAAGCAGGGGGATAACCCACAGCAAACCTGATCATCTGTTGTGTGGACTTTGGATTGTTCTGTGAACAACCAACCCACTGTTATTTATTCACAGGATGAGTTAGGATGATGTGTGAACTCTGAGTGTCCCATTAGCTGCATGAGAAATCTAGGTACGCTAGATTTGGATCGTAACTGGGAGAGGGAGCTTGCATATTTCTGCATCTGAGCTCTTACTTAAAACCACAGAACCATTCCAATTTGAGGACTTTAAAAAAGACTGTTCAATTAAGCCCTTAATCCTCATAGCATTTAAACTAGAGCCAATGTGAAGTACACTTTTCATTGCACCTTCCCAAAGAGCATGCTGTTAATTGTAGGTGCCTGACTAGTATACATTGCTTTTTGTATATAACAGAGATGGCCAAAAATACTTACTTTGAGATATGTTGGATATCGAAGCCATTATCGAGGACTTCCTTTCCTGCTGGTATTGCAACACTCAGGATAGGTTTTGCTGTCCCTGGATTTCTCCTAGCCTCCCTCTGAAATGCTATACAGAGATCCTAAATAAAAATTAAGACACATTAGTCTGATGTAAGGAACTGCTGAGCAATTACATTTTCAGATTCATTGCAGTGTACTAATAGCCACTGTGTCTTGCTGTTATGTTGGGTTATAACAGCAGTTATAACAACAGTTATGTCAGCCCTCAGTTACTTCTTTATAAACTGATTGTTCCTGAATAATCTAAACTGGGTCATATAGCGTCTAAGCAGGCCTGGCCCAAGAAGCTCTGTTCCCTGAAGAAGAATGACAAATTGCACCCCTCTGCCCCACAAGTCAAAGTGCATAGAACCCAAGAGAGGGAAATTATTTTGGCACCTGAGGCAGACAATTCTATAAGCCCCTCACCTGTTCCTTGGGAGTAAAATGTAAACATTATATATTCAATAACAAATCAGTTCTGTTCCAAGACCCTCAGAATCAGGTGCTTGGAATGGCTGCCTTAATCTGCTTCAAGGGAGGGATGGGCCTGCCTTTAAGGATGTAGAATCGTAGGAATAGTAGAGTTGGAAGGGGCTATGAAGGCCATCAGGTCCAACCCCCTGCTGTTGCAGGACACCAGTTTACACCATCACATTCCGATGGTTGTCCTGTTTCTTTTTTTCATGTCTCTAATGTGGGAGAGCCCACCATTTCTCTAGGCAACTGGTTTCACTGTTGTATTGCTCTGACAATGAGGAAACGTTTTCAGATATCTAGCCTAAGCCTGGGTTGTCACTACTTGACTTAGTTATTCCCTGTCCTACACTCTGGTATCAGTGAGAAGAGATTTTGACCTTCCTCTTTGTGACAGCATTTGAGGTACTTCTAGAAGGATATCATAGATAAACTTTCTCCTTGAGGCTTGAAGACTGCAGCTGAGACACCACAGCAGAAATGCACAGATATTTTTGTACATTGTTTTGAATCCATTGCTAGGTTAATTTTGTTGACATAAATGATTTTTATTTTAATGTACCTGAACCAGATCAGACAAACGTCTTTTAGTAGTTTCATCCGAAGAGTGCCAAGCAAGGTCAAAGCCATCAAATTTATGGGTTCTAAGAAATTGTACCACTGATCTCACAAACTCTAAGCGCCTGGTAGGATCTGTAGTTACACTTCTGTAGCTATTACAGAAAGAAAACACAACAAGTATTTGGATTAGTTATTGTAATGCACATCCATAACTGCATTCAGGACTTCCTCAGTCTCCTTGGTATCTACTGAAACAGAGAGGAAGTTGGGTATCATCCACTGTAGGGTAGGAAGGTTATCACAGTTCAATTTTTATCCACTGTCCGAAAGCCAGAATAGTTTGTTAGAGCCACACTACGGCCTTATGGTCTTCAATTTGTTAGAAAGAGCACCAGAAATAACCGTAGAGCTACCTTCTCAATCATTCAGTAGATAAGGGCTACTCTTGCTGTGAGAACAAAACGTTTTGCTTTACTGAAGCAGCTTCACCACCCATCTCCCAGGAAAGGGAAGGTGGGTGGGTTTGAACCTGTATGTACTGACAACCTCCCAAAAGTGGGAGAGAGAAAAAAACCATGGCCAAAGGCATTGTTCTTGATTTGGGGAGAGAAATTGATTCATCGCCCACCCTGGGAACTTTGGGAAGCCCATTGAGGATCCCTGGCTTCCTTTTTTATATTATGCATCTATTTTTCACTACTGTGTTCAATAAACTATGTATCTTCTTTGACATGGGTGATTTTTCTTGGCTGGACCAGGAATTGATAAATCAGTACAATTCAAAAATGCCCAAAGGGGAGGAGAGACAACTTGGTACATGTTATGCAGATACCAACAGTTCTCTTTGCACCTGTAACCTGTGATTAAGCGTTTACACACACAGGGACCTATCCAGCACTACACATAAAACCTTGTACATTGCATAAAACCTTGTATGCACTTACCTACATTTCTCCATATAACAAGTCCTTTTTGCTGCCATGTCTATTCAGCCCCTGAATGCTTCTTAAGAGTAAGTGTAGTATTAGCATGCTATCTTTCATCTTGTGGCACTCATTATTTATTTACAGTATTTAACTTTTGCCCTGTGTTATGGTTAGGGGTGTGCACCAGGCTAGTGTTAGGGTTATCAAAACGAGGTGCTCTGGCATGATTTTGATGGTTGGAATATGTTTAGAATGGGCCGAAATAATGAGCAGTGCAGAAAAAGCTACTCAAGGAAGGCTTTTTCAAAATTGCCCTCCTTTCAATGGAACTTTAGCCCTGTATTATGGTTAGGGGAGTGCTCCAGGGTAGGGCTAGGGCAGTGGTGGTGAACCTATGGCAGGCGTGCCACAGTGTGTATGCAGAGCCCTCTCTGTTGACACGCAAGCCAGCATCTCCCCAGAAGCCGAGCATTGGACAGCACCCATAGGGGCCATTCGCATGTTCGGAAAGGAGTAGTGGCACCAGGTAATGATGTCACAAGCCGTGACTCATCAGCTGTGACTGGTCCAAGCTTTTGTGTGGCTACACAGTGCACTGCCAAGGATATCTATATATTTGCTTGGACTGGCTGTGAGTTGTTTTTTCTAAACTAAAACCTCAGTTTTGACGTTTTATTGCAGTGTTGGCACTTTGTGATAAATAAGTGGGGTTTGAGTTGCAGTTTGGGCACTTGGTCTCTAAAAGGTTTGCCATCACTGTTCTAGCCAATTCTCCATGCAGATAGTTCAACACTTCCTATTTACTGGTGAACTATTACTGATGACATATAGGATTAATTAACCTTCCATATTAACCTCCCTACCCCCAAGCTGTGATTTCCATGAAAAGTACTCCTCTGAAGTGGCAACCTGTTTCAAGAGGGAAGCCAATTGTTTTGTCACAGTTTAGTTTCATTGGCCAAAGTAAACTAAAATGGAGAGGGTATTTCTAGACTTACGCTTCAGAACCTGGGCCATATCCACCAAGCGAGATAAGGGTCTTCAAACTGGGATTTCTAAAGAAGATAAATATGAAGAAAGTAAACATCAAATGAAGGACATAATTTTATTCAGGAAGTATTTCATCATGACTAATGCAAACCACCATAAATTTGGGAAGGACTGTGGAGCAGAAGTCCAAGGTGCCATTCACCAGAATGAGGAGGAGACCTCCAACACAGCAGGACCAACTTACCACATTTTGAATGAGTGAAATTGATGAACTACTATTCCCATTATCCTTCACCATTGATCAGGCTGGCTGGAGCCAGGGAGAATGGAGTTGAGCAACATCTTGAAGGCCACGTTTACTGCAGCCCTGATCTAAAGGGCTTCTTCTCTAAAAGATCATTAAGTCCAGAGGCTAAAACTTGCTAACTTCAGCACTGGAAGCAAGCTTTTATTTTTTAATATTTATTTATTTAGAGTTTTTGTATGCCACCCCATCGCTTATAGCCTCAGGACGGCTCACATAAATAAATAAACATAATACAAAATACAATTAAAATCCGGAAACACCCTGACTGCACAATTAAAACCTATAGATACTAAACATTGTTAAAATATTGTTTGAATAAAAAGGTCTTAGCCGGGCGCCAAAAAACAAATAACGACAGCGCCAGGCGGACCTCTCTGGGGAGCGCATTCCACAGATGGGGCGCCACCGCAGAGAAAGCCCTCCTCTGGGTACTTTGCCTCCTGATGTCTCTCACGGAGGGCTCCCGGAGGAGAGCCTCTGCTGCCGATCTCAAGGGGTGCGGGGGGGGGGCAAATAATAAGCAAGGCACATCATACAGAGAAGATGAATTAAATGGTTTCAGCACCACTGATTTCAGTGTACTTTATGCAAGAGAGGCCAGGCTTTCTGCGAAGTAGGATCAGTGGAATGATCTCAGAAAGTAGCATTCAGTGCACTTGAAAATAGTACATCTCTCTACCTTATTTTTATTTGCAAAATGTTTTTGAGCTGAAAAAGAACAAGGGCAGAAAGAATCAAGTGATTACTATTCTAAGATATAATCTGTACTCGACAGCTTTGGTTTAATATTCTGATCCCTGTCCCTTTATTGGTGGATAAAGAAGGTGAAGTATGCACTCCAAACACCCATCAACCTATGAAGTTAAGTGAGTCCTCCTTTCCCTCCCACTAATTGTATGCTGTTAAAAATATACAGGAGACATTAAGCTCCATATTTAACATTATTATTAATTTTATTTCCATACTACCCAACAGCTGAAGCTATCTGGGCAGTTTACAACTAGAGAAGGATGAACAAGCGATTTTTCAATCACCCAGATTCTCCAGACACAAATTAGAAGCTAATTCCACCTAATTTCCTGTGTTTATATGGAAAAAGTGTACATTATAAATAGAAAAATGCACACATTTTAAATGTGCATCCTCCTACAGAGTAAAACATTTCAAACACATTTTAAATGCACACTTCCAAGCAGAGATGCAAGTTTAGGAATTTGTGACTATTTCCAGAGAGCATACTTTCCTGCACCCATTAGTATTTAGAGCTGCAAACTTGACATATTTGTACTTTAAGCCACTGCAGCACGGGCTATGGAGGGATGCAACCCACCTCCTCCATCAGTATTACAGGCTGCAGTGGATTTGGGCTCTCTTTTTTATTTTAGAGCTTGTGTCTGCCTGATGCCATACCCACCTTCTTTTAAGAGCATGTATATTCATATAGGTTGTTACATCATTCCATTCTGTGTGGGTGATACGATTTCCTTCTATCTTGGCAAAAGCATAAATGATGTGGGTGCAGAGTCCTGGATCAATGTCATCAGGAATAAAGCGTGCAGAAGATTCCCGGTACTGTGCCCAGTTGGTAAAGTAACAAACCAGCTTAAAGGTAGAAGCTGTTATATAATTTAGAGAGAGGAAAAGGAAAAGGAGTTAGACAATGTTTAGGGACTTGCCACTGTCATGGGAGAAGCACATGGACAAAGCAGTCTATGCACATGCAATTTTTAGTGTCAGTTTATATAACCTATACAACAATCTTCTTCAACCTGATGCCCTCCAGAAATGTTGGGCTACATGCTGGATGCTGCCTGGGATGGTGGGAATTGTAGTCCATCACCTCTAGAGGGTAACTTGTTGGGAAAGGCTGAAGGCCACAGGTGAGGGGGTAGGTTGAACCAACGTGATCCTCTTTGCCCTGTATATTCGCACTCTGGACTGATTTTAGTCGCTCTTACTGGCGTTAGAGTCGATGGTCTCCATCCATTGAGTAATTTTAGTTACATTAGAAATGAATTTGGATGATGACAACATAGGATCTATACAACATGCACCTTTTATCCCGAATTTTATATTGGAAGTGGGGAAGAGTAGAAAAGAAATCTTTTCTACTTTTAGAAATCTGACTCCTTGAGTGCTTGTTAATGGTTGAAGCCTGCCTGCTTGCCTTCATTCCTCCCTCCCTCCCTCCCTCCCTCCCTCTGCAGCAGGACTGAAAACAAGAGACGTGGGCATATTAGAATCTGACAAGAGCTTGAGACAGTGAAGTTCTAAACCCAGCACGACCTTTTGGAAACTGAGAAGCAAGGAAATAGGGATGTACCGCATTGAAGAAATAGCAGTGCCGCTACACCTCCTGAAAAACAAAATACAAGAGGAGAACTTTATGTTACTATTAATCCTGCTGCACGCACCTAATCATCAACATCTCCCTCTTACACCCCCAGTATTCACAGTGTGCGCTCTTGATTAAGAAAACAGTACAGATGAATGAAGGGGACTTTATTATACTAGGCAAAAGGCACTTTGAAGCTATGTAGCCGGTCAGCCACAGGGGATATAACATTTTCTGGCAGGGCTCATGGAACATTAATAAGTTTGAACATTCAAAATTTTATTCATATTAAGTGACATCCCTGGGGAAAGTGGCCGCATGTTGACATCCCATACTGAATCCTGGGGACTCCACTCAAAAAAAATCCCACAACACTCCCCAGCATTAGTCTTAAGTTTCATCAAGCAGCCTTACCAACCAACAGAGACGGTTGACCCATCCTGGCTCTGTGCACTCCACTGTACGGTGGGAACAGAGTTTCCTTTCCAGTGCTGGATGGTAGCTTTATCCTGACCTAATTTATAGAGCATTAGCCGGGTGAAAGTGAAAGAATGTAGTTCTGCATCTGTCCTCCTTTCAGTGAGGGTAGTAGCTCTATTCTTGGAACGATTGTGCAATGTCTTGCAGGAAAGTGTTGCGACACCCTTCTTGCTGGCTTATTTATTTATCTATCTATCTATTTATCACATCCTGCTGTTTAAAGCCGGCTGATGCCAAAATGGAGAAAAACACAGCAAAACAAGGTCCATATCCCTTCGTATCTCTTCCATATTTCCCTTGATTATGAGTCCTGTTTTTACTTGGATCTCACCATCATCATCATCATCAGCAGCAGCCTTTTGCCAAAAAAAGAAAAAGAAAGGCTCATAGAAACTTACAACAAAAGTAAAGCAAACAAAAATTTTAAGTAGCTAAAAACAATTATCCATTAACATACCTCCCCACATAAGGCAACTAAGCATCAAGGACAACTCCAAATTACTCAACAGATGTATTAGAGTCTCTTATAGACCGTCAAATGTATGGGGATGGAGAAAAGCCATAAGCCAGCACTGAAAAGATTTGAATATAGGTGCCAGGCAGGCCTTGCTGGGGAGACCAATCCACAGTTGGGGAGCTGCTGTTATTATTCCTACTACTATTACTTCTACCAGTGCTTTTTTTATCATAGAATGCACCAGAACGGCATTCTGGCACCTTTTTTTGACGAATTTTTCCAAGAGATTGTGAATCTCCCTGTTGGGCGTAGCAGGTCGGCAGCAAAAATCATTAACATAATGCCTGTGGGCTGCTTGTGTGTTGGCGCTGCTTGTGGCTGTTGATTATGAGGGTGCTGCTCGGCTTGGGACGCTGCTCGGCTTGGGATCGGTCGTGTGGTCGCGCGCTGAGTGCTTACTGCCGGCGGCGACCATTGTGTAAAAGTGTGACCCCAAGAGATGAGTTCTGGCACCGTTTTTTGTTTTTTTTAAAGCACTGACTATTACTATTATTTCTATACTGCCCCATAGCTGAAGCTTTCTGGATGGTTTGCAACAATCCATAAAAGACAGTAATACAATACAATAAAATATAATAAAAGCAGAGAAACATTGGAAAGATTAAAACTGCTAAAATCAAATAGCAACAAAGTGATTCTATAAAAACATGAGGAATGGGTAATTCCCTCAAACTCCTGGCTAAGTCTTTAAAGGCCAAGGCATGAAAGACCATCTTGACCTGGCACTGGAAGGATGACAAATTTGGCATCAGGCAGGCCATAGTGGGAGAATTGTCCCATAGATGAGGGACCATCATAGAGAAAGCCCTCCCTCTCTTGGAGATGGCGCTTGGAGAAGGCCCCAGAAGCTGAACATAGTGTCTAAGTAGATTGCAGCTGGAAGAGGCACTCCAGCAACCACTGCAGTCCTAAGCCAGGTAAGGATTTATAGGTCCATCTGTAAGCCCATCTCTCTTCAGTCAGCTAGTTTTGCTCCTCTGCTATGTGCCCTAACCCTGACATCCATGTGTTGAGGTGGACATCCAAAAAGGGAAAGCCTGTCTGTGTACAGTTGCGGATGTGAAGGCTTCCCTGCAAATGGCTTCTGACTGTATGTAAAACGTCACATGCACACATGTACATGCGAAGGCGTCCCTTTGCATACTTCTGTGCTTGGCAGAGCCTTCTCAGTGGAGGCACCCTGTTGTTGATCTTTCTTCCAGCACAGAAGTTGCTGTTCCCAGTATTATTGTCATTGAGGTGACACTCAAGATGCATTTATTCGTACAAACTCTGTGGGATCGGTGAGTTTCTTCTCTGCTTCCTGGAGTTTTAGTGATGGTTTTATTGTATTTGTTATATATTTGTGATTTTAGAGTTATGGTTTGAATGGGGTTGTATGTTGCGCCACTTTGCATTGTTGTTGCCTGCCCTGGGCTCCTTGTCAGAAAGAGAGATACAAATAACCACACAATAAATAATGTGTGGGTGTCAAGAAGGACAGAATTGGAATGATGCACCATACCTTGGGGGGGGGGGCAGATGGCACTAATACACGCCTCACTCAGGCATCAATTAAACATTTGAACCCTGACAAGCTAGCAAGCCTATTCACAGACACAATGGTGCAATCCAGTTCCTTCAAGTTAGGCTTCCATTAATAACAGTAAACAAAAAGTTTGAGGAGATAAACTTTGTAGAGGAATACCAGCTAAGACCTTCTGGCTGACTACTGTCACCCCTGCTGTTTTGTTGTTTTCATTCTTGATGCACTTTAGGGATTCATTTTAGTTTTAATTCTGATTTATGTACACCGTATTGTATTGTACTTTTTAACCTCTTCAAATGGACAAATTGGAGACAATTCATTCTGAAAGGCTCTTCAGGATTCTTACTGCAGGTTGTACAGTTTGAAACCACACCTGCACAATTTGCAGTACACCACCAAGCTGAATCTGCTCTTCATCCATATGTGGTAGTTGCATCGCACATTCAGTAAATTATTATGTTTTTGGCTGCTGGTATGAAGGTGGGGTGACATTCTTCTCTAACTGTAGTTGTTGCCTTACTCAACTCCCTAAGCCTCAAGCTCTTTTGTTTAGCACAGGATTTTAATGAATTCACTAACAAATGTTCTTTGTGCAGAAGAAGCTAAAAGAATAAAACACAATAACAGAACAAAAAACAAACAGCATAGGAAAATATATAAAAGCAGCCGTCAAATCTAAAATGCTGTCAGAAGATATAATGCTGAAAAGATAACACTGTAGGGTGCCAAGCGAGTCTCTTTGGGGAGGGCATTCCAAAAAAAATGAGTGTCAGAACTAATACGAAATTCTGTCTTGTAGCCACCCACCTACCTTCTTTTAGCTGGAACACCTGGAGGAGGTCATTTTCAGATGACCTCAGGTATGAACAGGTACTTTTCAAGGAGACATTAGATAGTTTGGCCCCATCATCATCATCATCATCATCATCATCATCATCATCATCAGTCCAGTAGTAACACCACTGGTTAATGGATCAATCTAATTAAAGGGAGGCTGAGTCTGGTAGTGGTTTCTTGAAACTGTCCATATGTGTAAAGGGAAGCAAGAGCATCTGCTCCTTCCATTCAGTTACAGAATTTGCCAATCCTTAGACATCCCTGGGCATCCATATGCTGTGCTGTAGTTAGAATGTTTGCATATAGACCAACTCATAAATCCAACATGCCCAAGCCAACTTTAGAGTGTTGATTTCACTGATAAAATCCACTGGTCTGGACTTCTGTGTATCGGATTTTATGTGTACGTTTCCCATATGGATGCCTGGGAGCAAGTGCACCGGTGGCCAAGGATGGAGAGTGTGATTTTCCTTTTCTCCAAGTGTATAGGGCAGATTAGGGAAAGGTTCAATTTACATAAGATGAGCCAAAAACCTTTAAAACTAAGTTTCCTATGAGTCCTAAGAATATAATGCCAGATACTTTTCAAAGAATATGTCAGAGTTATTTAAATATATGGCAACTACAGCAAGAATTACAATTGCTTCTAAATGGAAATCACCAGAATCCCCAACAACTGAAGAATGGAAAATTAGCTAGCAGAATACACAGTGATGGCAAAATTGACTAATTATGTAAATAGAAGACCAGTTGAAGAATTTAATGGCAAATGGAAGTTTTATTATATCCAGTACAAATAATGGGATGTAAAAGGGAGTTATTTCAAAAGTAGTTGAGGTTCTATAATTGACTTAAAGTGATTGGAAAATTTGTTGGTGTAAAGAATAATAACTCCTTCTTTTGTGAACTTCCATAGAGTACTGAATGACAGAAACATAGATAAATATGTGGGTTTGAATGTATTGGTTGTACCTGTTTAAAATCCCTTGGCAACTTTATTCTATTTTAGAAACATAGAAACAAGGTGAGTCAGAAGGGGTCCCCTGGGCCATCTAGTCTGACCCCCTGCTCCAGCCAGCTCCACTCATGTAATCCCCACCATGTGGTTGTCCAATCTTTCCTTGAACACCCTCACTGATGGGGCCTCAACCACTGCTCTTATTTTATTTTATTTATTTTGCATATACTTTTTTCTTTGTGTATTCTGTTTATTTTAGAAAATAATAAAAAAGAACATAAGATGAGCCCTGCTGTATCTGAACAAAGTCAGATCCAATCCAGCATTCTGTTCCTATAGTGGCCAGTCAGCTGCCCGTGGAATGCCTGCAAGCAGAACATGAGTGCAAAGCATCAAGTAACTTGCATCTAGAGGCTTCCGATTCTGCAGAAATATATACCAGTTATGGCTAGTATTCATTGATAGCCTTATTCTCATACATGTGGAAAATTCCCCTTAAAAGCTGTCTAAATTCACAGAAATTATTATAGTTTGTGGAAGTGAATTCCATCATTTTGCAATGCCCTTGCGAAGAGGAACTTTTCAGTCTGTTTATGGATCTTCTACCATTTAGCTTCATTAGATGACCCCATGTTCCAGCATTATGAAACAAACTTCTGTTCAGTAATTTCATTCTCATCATTGAAAAGGAAGGGATCGTGCATGCACTGGATGCATTGAACACCAGTTCCTCTTTCTAGTAGGTATGATAAAAGTCAGGTTTTTGTACTGTGCTGCTTCTCACTGTTTCTTTTGACTAGGCATGCAGACGGGTGGTTGGAGGATATTTTGTGGGAGATATGTAGAAGCATTTACTTTGGAATGTTTTCAGAAACTGCTGTTGTGTTTTGATGAGTGAATGGAAGGCTATGATGGTGATGTTCTATGGATTCCCCCCACCCCCGCCCAATATACTACTTTCCATACATTATCTTAATATCACTTGATTCTATTGTGCAATGAAAGTTGCTGCTGGAACAGAAAAATGTGGGTCCAAAAAAGACTTTTGTATGGGTTGTGCAAATCTTCCCCACACCTTGCCCCATTTCACTCATGATTCAATCTCCTCTGTTCAATGTGGATTATTCTGGAATAAAAATAAATACGATTTTGAAGAAGTGCTTTAGTTTTTTGTGCATTATTCTTGTTTTGCTCCTAAAATTTGGAATATGATCCCTCCAGAACAATGATTAGCTCCAATTCTTTAA